AGTGGGGTTTGCTTATAAAGTAACAAAATACGAAACAAGCCTGACATAAATTTTCAAATATGCCAACCCACAATTTTGTCAGAACCTTAATGCACCCAAAATTCATAGCAAATGCCAACAAATTAAAAAAGATCAATATCAAATGAAAACCACAATTTCCAAATGACCCAAATAAAATAAACAGTATGTTTCTTATGAAATGGCAAGTCATGCATTTTATTTTTATGCCCAAATCACTCAGGTTGCAGTACATGCTTACTATATCCCTGAAAGGGGTAAGAAACTTGCAATCTCCTTGCCATTAGAAAGGATCACTGGAGACTTGGTAAAAAAATTCCTTTGATATTACTTTGAAATTTTTTGATTTTCATCATTGTGACTGGCTGGGTAGTAAAATATTGGAGATGCAACCAAATCCAAGTTTTGAAGAATGCCACAAATTCTTCACAGTCAAACCTGAAAATTCTCATAAAATATCAAATAGAAAAATTTTCAAAGCAAGAAAAACAAGAAACATTACACATACTACCCTAAATGTGAAAAATATACATGTATGTATAATGTTGATATAAACAAGCTCTAAAGTAAGAAATGGAACTGAATTTGCTACAGCATTTGGAAACTGGAATACTCAATGTTTGGCCTTGTTTCCTGAATAAAGTCTGGTGTCTACAGACTTCCCCAGCTCAACACACATCTGCTCCCATAAGCACCCAGAATGTATATTATCAACATTGTCAAATTAGGTTCCCTGCTGCTAAATGCAAGATTGATTGAAGCTGCCAACAGAAGGCAATATAAATCAAATTACACTTATCACTATCCCGTGATCCAACTGAGTACTCCTGGAAGGAATATATTCAATCAGTGGCCAAGAAACTGTTCAATACTGCAGATGCAACATCGCTTATGCAGTCAAATTTGAATGAAAGGTGCCACTTTAAACTAGGTAGAGGCAAATTATACATAGATAGAAGTTGGTTTTTTTTCTTTGAGATCAAAATTTCAATTTATCTTAGCCACTATTTTCATGCAGTAAGATTCTAAAATGTTCCATTCATTTCCTTGATGAAATTTCTTGAGCCTTAGATTGAACAAACCGTTTTTTGGTAGAAATCCATCCATGAATGAACAGTAAAATGGAAATTTGAATGTATTGAGCCTTTGCTAAATCATTTAAGTTCACCTTCAAAACCTATGAACCTTTCCCTTTAAATTGCCAGAAATTAAAAGTGAAAATGCAAATGCAAAAACCATGCGGCTCAATTGACATCATATCTATTTGATTAAAGAGAGCTCCTGAAAATAACCATGAATTCTTCATGTAACACAAAAGTATTTGAAGTTGACTGTTAAAGATGCGAAAATAGTAGCTAGAAAAATCATGAGAACAAATCGTAGCTAGAAAAATCTAAATCTATAAGACTCAGCTTCACAGACAGATGCTAGATGTTTTTGTGCCAAATGATATATTGACAAATGGAATATCTGATAAAATGATATATTGATAAATGGAATATCTAGTATTTAAACTCTTGACCATTTTGCTGTCTGGGAAGGTTTTCATTCCCAAATCTATCAGAATAATTCCATCATTTCTGTAAGAATACTAGATATTTAATTTGTACTATGCAGCCAAATCTTCAAAACTGTAAGAGTCCTTCTCCTAAGTTCAAACACTTTCAACTATTTTCTTGGAAGTTTTTATTATTTCAATTTATATTTATGGTATGCTGCAAGTGGGGACCAGTGGACAACAATTTAATGATAAATGCAAGTGATAAACAGACTTATGTTTTTCTAATTTCAGATGGAAGGCCCATTAACTTCTCGGCCATTTGGGCAGATCTCATCTACTCACAATCAACAACCTGTCAGTCAGCAGCAGTATGTTGCAGGTGGGGATGTAGCTTCACTCCAGCGTCAAGTTGATCGTATTACACAAGAAGGTCAGTTCCTTGGGATTCAAGCTACAGATGTGCAACAGATAGGTTTACTTGAGAATCAAAAGCTGCTTGTATACCGTCATCCACTGTTTCCATTGTTGGGTAAGATATTTGAGGAATGTGAATTGGCAACAAATTCCCTTGATGCAGTGAACTCTCAAGCATTTGATCAAGAAATCAAGACATTCATAACACTGCAAGCAAAAGAGGGGAAACCATTTTTCACAGATGATGCTGACACAGATCAGCTGGTATGATATTTTTTTAGCTTTAATATCTCAAGTAAGATGTCTAACAAAATAGGTGCAGAATGTTTCAATTTGTCGCCAGCTTGAACAGGCCTCTTTGTAAAGATTCTAGTAGGTGTGTGGCTGATAACAGCCTTGAAGCAAAATTTTTCATCGAGGCACACAATTCACAACTTCCTGTTTAAATCGCAGGGAACAAATTGATGTTACAGCTTTTCCGTGTGGTTTTTAAGCTTTGTGGTACAAAATTATTATAAAGCATCTGTCTTTGAAATGTTATAGACACCCAAATAAGAAACTTCTCTTATATTAATCCCAAAATAGATTTGCATAGCTAGGCTTTTAACAAATGTACTGAACAAGAGAAGCTAGAACTGAAAATGTTTTTTTATTCTAAAAATTATATCCTGTTATGGTAAGAGTGGCAATGCAGATTTAGAGTGGTTCTTTCATCACACTCAACTGCAACATAATGTTTTCCTTTGTTAAAAATGCGTAGTATCATGCTATTCCATAAACGGTGAATGCTATGAATAAAAGATGATTTCCGGGGCAAGAAGACAATGTTTCTGATCAAAAAGTAATCTTTGCAAATCACACAATATTGCTATTTTTTGAGAAGCAGGTGCTTGACAAAACTCGTCTAGGTGCATGCCAAGAAGCAAGCACACAATCACATGCCTCAAACTTAGAAGCCTGAGTTTGAGTCATGCAACAGCTCAGAAGTGCCTGATGTCATGCAACAGCTTAGCAATTTTTCCCTGTTGTGAAAATATTCATCTGTCTTGTTTGGACAGTCATGGAAAGGATTCAGTCATGGAAATGGCTTTCATTTTGCTGTCACTGCTTAGAGTTTAATACTGCGAAATCATTTCCTCAATGGAAAACTGTTTCATATCTTCTTTGCTTTGAGGAATTCGAAGTATTGTAGATTTGTAGTTCGTTATACGTTCACATTTTGAGAACCATTTTACAAGTGTTCTTGTTTATGGCCAACCAGGTGCATCAGCACCCTCTTATGCCCTTAAAACTGGCTTACTTCTTTCCTTGTTTTGCACCAATCAGTACTCCTAACATCAACCATAAATTCAAGATTCTTGTAATCCATCTTAAATAACCACATTTTGAAATATATTTGTTAGTTGCCAGTGAAGAATATTACCAGTGTATAAAAGCAGAAGTTATAGTTTTTTCAACTGCCACCAAATGCTAATTGTAAATCTACCAAAGATTTATAGCTGCTAAGAGCAACTTTTTGGTGATCAAAAGATTATGTATTCCACACATTTTTTATAATGTGGGTTAGTTGATGGTAAGCCAATATTGTTGTCGCGACGCTTTGGTTTTGTGAAGAAAAATTTTGAAGGAATGCTGCATAATACAGAAGTCTTGTTATCAGTTGGTTGTGCACAAATTCTGCACATCCATAACTAACATTGGTTGTTAATTCATTGAGTCATTGTCATCTTGCTCCTTGAAGGAAGATGTCATTCATGCCCAATGAAATGCAATGAACGATATTACTTCCATATTTTGCATATCGTCACATACCATTTTAAATTTTTACATTGGCTCTATAACATATGAAGTCAAGAACATTGAGTCTGCAAGATAAAACTGCTTTATCGCAGCATTAGGCATTCTATTTTTGTTTCTCATGTTACTGCTTGGATTGGAAGAATGCTTGATTACATGTCACCATATTACAACTTTCTCTTCAAAATCTTAAAACAAGTGGATATTATTTTTCAGATTTCCATCTAGTTATTGTCTTAGTTTGTAATTAGCTGATAATATACTTCTTTTTTGCGTGTGACGTCATAGCTTTGCTTTGAAAATGGGTCTTCTTTTCTTTTTCAGCAGTGTCATTTGTTAGCTGATTAGTGCTAGACAGCTAAACTGCCAGTGGTATATTAACGTGTTTTGTTTGCTTTCAGATGCTAAAGGCTCTACAGGTGTTAAGAATACATCTACTTGAAATGGAAAAAGTAAACGAGTTGTGCAAAGACTTCTGTAGCAGATATATCGCTTGCTTGAAAGGAAAATTGAACAGTGAAAATCTCATGCGAACTCTGAACGTGCATTCAGTGTCTCCGACACCTGATGAGTTTTCTGAGAATCAGACATCAGTTCCAGTTAGTCAGGTACAACACCCCCAGCCTGTTTTCCCACCGCAGCAGGCGCTTCACGGACAGTTTAATGGCAACAGACCGGTAACTAAGTCGCAATTTACGAGATTCTGTCTTGTCAATGCATGTGTCCCGATCTTAACATTAATTGTTTCAAGCCTTCTTGTTCTATTTTCCCTAAGAAAGCGACTATCAGAGGCTAAAGTTTTAATGATTTTTCCTTCCTTTTTGAGATTCTTGACATAAGTATGTTTGATAAAAATAGGCATCGGTTTATTGCACACCGTTTTTGGTATTTTTCTGCAGTTTGAAGGGGGTTTTGGAGAATCTGAGGCTTAGTTTTAATAAGAATGCCACAAATGGTTATTATAAAGAAAACAACAATTACAAAGAAGGCAAAAACAATCTTGCTCCCACATGTGTTCAAAAATAATACTCAAAAAGTTCAAGTTCAAAAATATTGGTTAAAAAAATTTAGAAATTGATAGCAGCACATTCAGTTTGGTTGCGAAATTTAATCTGATAACAATCATTTCATGACGAAGTTGTTTCAATAAGGGTGTTCCTTTGATGAAGTCACTGCAGTAATTGACAAGGAAGGTTCTTTTTAATAGGTGAATCTTGCAACGACCCAGCCACAATCACCCCAACAGACTCACTTAACTATGGCGCTAAACACAGTTACCCCAAACGCCTCTCTTGTATCTGACGTATCCGATGGAAGCCTGCCCTCTACCCCGTCATCACCCAGTGAAGAAATGCCGAGCCTGGGTGGATCGGATAAGAAGAAAAACAGCAGCAAAAGAGGCATCTTCCCGAAACACGCAACGAATATAATGAAAGCATGGCTGTTCCAGCATTTAGTGGTGGGTTTTTCGATTCTTTAACAAATTGACCGTGTTTTTAGCAGACCTCTGCTGATTACCGAGGGGCAATTCAGGTTCTGTTTACACAGGATCGGATCCATACGGATCTGTACCCAAAGTGGTATAGAAAGGCTTTGCGTTTACACGGGATCTGGCCCATCCGATTCCATTTGGATCTGCTATCCGTACCGCTTTTGAAGATGCTCCCGTTTGGATCCGATCCCAAAAACATCTCGTGTAAACAGTTGGGATCGCATCCAAACAGGTACGGATACAGAATAAGGCGGAAGATGTCTATTTCGATATACTTTGTAATAAATTTATTGTTTCGAATCTTTCGACCTGGTTTATGCTCAGCAATCAAATCTATTTATCAAAATATCTGCTTTTTCAAAATGAATAAAGAGGCTGATAAAGGACCAAAAAGTTTTTGGTTGGACTGATGAGGAGACGGCTCTACCGCTGAAATTTGTGCTGGAAAATAAAGTAAACAAAATTCAAGGAGTATCTTATTGAGAAACAATAAAACAAAATTAGGAAGGCAGATACAATAGCATTCAATCGCTATGAAGGATCAATTATTTTCTCCCTTCTGTGGTTGAATAATTGCCGCCAAAATTTCGTTATTGGAGTGAGCACACAAATCTGCGCATCTTGGATCCATACGGATCCGATCCCGTGTAAATGCAAATATTTTCAGATCCGATCCCGTGTAAACACCCGCTCAAGAATGAGTTCGGATCGATATGGATCCGATACTGTTTGGATCCGATACGTGTCCGAGACTTCCGCGAAAACAATTCATCCTTAAATCCCTCAGTAGGTTTGTGAGCGATTATCTGGTAATGTCATCAATGAAGGCCCTGTAGACAGTATGTTATGTAAACAGTAAGCTATTATAATGTATGATACTTTAAAACTTACTTGAATAAAGTGTCCATTGCACACTGCAAAATAGCTAAATTTGTCAAGTTTGTTGAATTTTTTTAATGAATAGCATAGGGTTGGTAGAGTATTTAACGCTATTAAAGTATGGAATCAATTTGTTTTTATTAGATCGCTGCTAAATTCAGAAATGATAACCCTTAGCCTCTTGATCCACCGGCCTCGTTTACGCAGATGTTTTTTGTATAATTTATTTTAACCATATCTTTGCAGCATCCATACCCAACGGAAGATGAAAAGCGGCAAATCGCTGCTCAAACAAACCTTACGATATTGCAAGTGAATAATTGGTATGTTGACTAGTCATAACCTTTTGAGGCCACGCCCTCTAGAACGCCGGAAAACGCCCCTTTAGAAAATACTGGTTTATTTCTACTGAGGTTTTATAAACAATCTGTTTCAGAGAAGATATCAATAGCTTTGAAAATAGATAAAATTGGCTTGGGGATAATAAAACAGCAAGAATAACACCCAAAAAAGGAACGAAAAGGGTTCCCAGTTAAGAAGAACTACTACTCCTTAGGAGTATACGATTCAATGTTGCGATAGAGCATAGTTAGAGTAAACTTTCCAAAAAAATTTCTTATCTATTATTGCAAAAAAGTGGAGGGGCTATAAACTCTGCTAGCCCAAGGGCTGCGCAGTGCCTGGGTCATATACGTGGCGTAGATTTTACTTCGTTCTCCTTAGGACTCACATGAAATTATTTTATGGAGATGTCTGTAGAATAAAAAGTCTGATTGGTTTTCTTCCAAGCTAGCGCATGGCCTTCTATAATCTTGTCGTTATTTTGTCCCAACTTTTCATGATCCAACCCCCTCCCTCCCCCCCCGCCAAAGCTTTCGTTTTCTTATATATCTTGATAAATGTTTTGAATGGATATTTCTTCGTTTAATTGCTGGAAACTTGACCACCTTAAACAGATTCCTATTAATAGCAATACCGCAACAAGGCACTGAATGGAAATATTTTCGGTTTAACCTTTGGTATAGTGTCTTTTTGGCTAGACGTGTTCCTCTGGAATACATTTCAACTGAATATTGTTGTCTGATAATTGCATCATAGACGTAGAAAGGGGGTACGTAATTTTAAGAGTGTAGAGGGGATACGTGCAACGAGTTATGCCTAAAAGTTTCTCATCAAATTCGGTTGTGGATTCCAATCAGAAACATGCAAAATCCCAAAAATCTGAGAACCACCGATATCCAAAAGAGCCATTTCTACGATGGTAAAACGGTTTTATTTTGGTATACGTAGCCCGGAATATCCATGAATGTAGCCTGAAATCTTGTAACCTGCCTCCAGGCGCCTGAGCTCAGCGGAAAGTGTTTTTTTGTAGGTTTATCAACGCCAGACGTCGAATACTGCAACCGATGCTGGACAGCAGCACTTCATACGCTAGCCTTAGTCGAGCCAAGAAGATAAAACCACAGAAAGTTCCTGCACAACGTGCATGGCCAGAGTCAATTGGAGTCTACACACCCTATCATTCGGCAGATGGTATTCAGTATCACACAACTGGTGGTAAGTTTATCTATAGTGATCTAGGGGAATTGTACTGCATTGAAATGGAGATGTGGAAGGAGACCTAAGGGATGTTGTCCAGATGAAGCAAGAATCATCATCATCAGGTACCATCTTCTATCAGAAGGTTGGCTACCATGACCCTCCAACTATCCCAAAATCTGAGTTTTGGTTTGTTGTCATGGTCATAGATGAAGCAAGAATGTCTACCCATAAGCTCTCTGTCATAAGTCGAAAAATCACAACAAATTGCTACCTTAACTCGTGTAAGGAAGTAATAATTTATCCAAATCGGAGTAGCTCAGTATTTGATTTTATCCTTATTTTTCAGGTGCATTGCCAGCTGGTTACACTGTTGTAAGCCCCGGGATTGCTCCCCAGGGCCAATTAATCGTGAATGTTGGAACACCAGCAAACACCCACCAGTCACTTGCCATAGGATCCCAAGTGCAGTTTGTCCAAGTCTCGACGGTGCCTACTGTTGTACAAGCATTGCCTGCTGGTTTGATCCAAGTGACTCCATCCGGCCAGGTCACTACAACGAGCGCCATTACTGCCATTGCAGTCCCCGATGTTCAAGGTAGCAGTGACCTACGGGGAAGCAATGCTGCTTCTTCACCGAAAACTGTCACAACAGCATACTCAATCGGGGAAACTCCGAATGGGGACACCAATGTGCTTAAGGGTGACGGGTCAGAAACAGAGGTACGATGATGATACAGCCTATTATTCGACCCTACATACCGAAGTAGCGGCTATCCATAGTTCATAACATAGTAGCACAAGCATGATTCAGTACTCCTTATTCATTTTTCAGTTGCATGTGTATTAATGGTCATGGATTGTTGTCGTGTACAGTAGTTGTGAGGTGAGTGCTAGGCATCATTGAGCGACTCGGTTTGAGAATGAGGCTCGGTCCTATCCGATAAACATAGGTTGTCTGCACTTTGAATGAGTCCCAAGGACAGGTTAGAAAATATCCATCAAAGGAGCTCTTCTCATGTGAAACTTCATATTTTTTGCCACTTTTTAACAACCTGCTTTTATTTTGCGTGTGTTTAATTTTCCAATGGCCTAAATAATGCAAAGAATATCTAAAGTTATGCCTAGCACTTGTACCTTTTTCTGTTATAATAAAACTTTCCAATTTGCGAAATGTGTGACCGTCAGTCTCGTCTTGACTTTAGTCTGGGTAAATCTGTCAACCCGTATGAGATATTGGTTGTTTGTTCAGATTTAAGTAGAATTTTTGATTTTCAAAGTTTCTTTTTTATTTTGGTGCTCTGATAACAATTGTCACAACTAGATTATATTGTATTGTATATTACTATGCAGAAAATAGTATACTGTGATTTGAACCTAAATCGTACAAGCCCAATAAAGTTTTACCCACTCATCATCTTTTCCCTGACAAATATTGATTGCTTAATTGGTAGATAGTGCTTCTTATAAAATTGGCCAGAACTTGGCATGTGTGGCGTGGTGGGTTGACAGGAAGACATAAAATCCTAGGTGCATTATTACATAATTGCTAGATATAAGTTTAATGTGTCAGAATGCTGTCTGTGAATTGTTCATTTTTTTATATCAAGGAGGGCATTGCGGCATGTATGTATGTATGCATTCTGGGGCACAACGAACTTTTTTGTGGATCTCGAAGGACCTTGACATAGTTTCGTGCATGAATCTGTTCAAGGAAAACACCCCACCCTGTGGAATTAGCGACAACGTATCCACTATTGATACCTTTGCTAAGGGCTCTTGTGATTATTTTTTTTCCTTTGCGAGCAGCGACATACAGCTCCTAAAACTTAGTCGAAACCTACCAAAGTCATGTTCGTTTGAGTGGAAAGATGTAGGATCGAGTGTTATTTCATAGCAACTGAGTTAAAGGGCTAAACGATATTAGTCAGTCGAATTTTGCTTTTTTTATTAAACAATTATATTTCTTTGATTTAGACTGATATTCTACATATAAATGATTTTAGGCAGTGTATGTAACTGTGAATTGTCAGATCCAATACGTCAAATGAAATTTTTATTTTCCTACTTGTTGTTTTATCGAGCCTAAGGCTCCAGAGATTTTGATTACACGCTGTAAGCTTGTTTTTATGTCATTGTACATAGAAAGATCGTAGATTTAGACAAACCTGTTTTTCCTTCAGTCTTTTTCTGCCATAGTTGTGCTTTCGCCTCAAATTTAGCACACGTTATCTCCTAAATTTATCAAGGAGAAATCAAGAGAACGAGTTAAAGAGAGCACGTCCTTGTCTGCTAATAAGGACGATTTAAAGAGAATTTGTACTAGATCTCCTAAATCCAGCATTGTTTATCATTTTTCGTATCATATCACCTCGAACCTCATATCAGCTTGATTTTGCTATGCTGTTGATTAGCCAAAGTACTTTGAGATATGCACAGGCTATTAACAAGGTCAGCAATTATATTCTAAGTTCCAGTTAGCCGCATATATCTTGGTCTTTCGGTCGAGTCAATTTCCTAATGGGTTGATAGTGTATGCCGTTAGAGAAAACAGGAAAGGAAGAAAGGAATACACAAATTTTTTATAAGCATACGGTATATTTGAATAACAAGGCTGGAATCTAAATTTACAATATTTAAGACATATAATTTTAACAAAAAAATGATTTTAAGCGAATGTTACGCACAATAACCAGGCTGAAAAATGTATTTAATGTGAAAATCATACTTTTTATAACAAGAAAATCCTTGCTTGTAAGAAAAAACAATCGCGTTATTACAGAAATTCTCCTCGTGGGAAATCGCTGTATCCTCCGGAAAGTTTTTATTGCAACTGTTTTATCCGGGTAGCTGAAGAACTTTGGATAAAACAGTAGGGATCAGGATAACACACACATTTAATGTTTAAAGTATGCTGGGCTTGCCGTTCATTTTTTCTCATTTTCAAAATATTTATGCACAAAACCCCATCAGCTAATCTTACAATGAAAATAAGGATAAGTTAGCTTAATTAAAAATAACTTTTACTAAGGCAGTGCTAAAATTGTTTAATTATGTGTTTACGATTTTTGATTTTTAAACATTTTACAGCTGTCCTTCCTAGGTATCTTGTTTTGGAAATGTGATTACAAAAACCAGTGTTACGATTATACAAACCGACAAATTACAGTAGTAATTTACTCCTATGCTCTACGTTTGACTCCAAGTGACATTTTGAGACCTTTAAATTACTTTCGCCGACGGTTTATATGAAAGCCAATGAAGTATACAATATTTTTTAGCATGATTATTTGTTATTGAGAAACATAAACTGTTTTTCTCATTTAAAGCATCTTATTTGCTCTGGAAGCATAAATGAGTGGAAAAAATTCGAAATATAATTGTTTGCATGATGTGGGGGATGGAATAATGCATGAAAAATACGCACAATGTTTGTGGGTCAGAAAGGGCCAGTTTAACAAGCCTGGCGACAACTTTGTAAATTTACCATTACTCTCTTTATAAGAACCTGTTAATTTTAAGTTCAGACTGGTTGTTCTCAATTCCTTCGAAAATCTGAGGTTGGACTGTTCTTAATTTGTTCTTAAATTAATAGGGTGCAAGCAGTGCAATTGCTAGCTATTGTGCTCTAGGAAAGTGTTCAAGCCGCATTTGCCAACAATGCGATTGAGACATTTTTTATTTGCCGACAAGTTTGAAAGTTCACCGAAGAAGTACCCCTAGATGGCAAAAAACGTCTCGTTTTTGAAAGGGAAAAAGTTCAAAGTTACATTTTACAGTAGTAGCTCAGCCTCGGCTTATTTTATAATTTGTTCTTAATTTTTGAACAATTTTGAGGTTCGTGTTCTTATAAAATTGTTCTTATAAAAAAGAGAATATAAACGGAATATAATTAAGATTGAGAAAAGATATCATAAATATAACCTTAGGGATACGACTTACCTTGAGGATTATTTTAGTGATACGGGAACGTAGGTGGGTTTCTCACATTTTGAACTTTTAGGGCAAAATTTTCTGCAGGACAATATGCATCTACCCCCCAACAAAAAGTATGAAGTGACGCCCCTGACAGGGGGTGCACCCCGTTCCGGTTGATATCATCGATTTTGCCTCTCGCTATTTTCATTTCATTTTTCATTTAACCCATATTTAAAGTTGGCATTTTACAATAGTAATTATAAGCATACTAATTCAAACCAACTATTTTCAAAGAAATGCAACATACTTTATAAAAAAATTAGCGGCATAATTTGCAAGCGCATTTACCGCCAGCCCAGTCTTTGATCCTCTTTGTGAAAGCTGCAAGGGTTGGTTCATATTTAACACTGTCATCTAAGGTATTCCAAAGTAGACTCGCTCTAAAGGAAAAGAACAGGAATTCTTGCCCATTACCCTGTCTCTTTATTAATGGCAGTTTGCAGAGATTTTGTATCCCTACATGCTTCTTTTCATGAAATTCTCATATAATCGATGGGTTAAGATGATTCATGGGCTTCTAGATTTTTGTCATTAATTTTTGCAAGTTTCTAACATGTATGCAAAAGCTGCAATCTTTAAAGTGCACTCGTAATCTTTAAAGAGGATCCGAAGAGCACGTTTGCGTGTGCGGTCACGGTCTTTGTATGCAACTTTGTTGCCAGATCAAAGGGCAATAATTGAAGTTCGACAAGAAAACCACGTTGCAAATTGCTAATGCCTGCTCTCTAGATATATGTTTATTTAGCCTAGAAAAGGGACTGTTTTTTGTTTACTTTTGAGCATAATGGTTTAACGTGATTGCTAAATTTTAATTTGTTGTCAATTTCAATCCCACAATCCCTAGTAATTTAACATGATCTGTGGCAGACCTGTTTAACATGCTCTTCAGATTTGAAATCTTCGACCTAAGACAAGTTTGTACTGAAAATTTCATGTTGTTCTGTCGCAATTTACCTTGTTAAGATTATTTAGATAATTTTTTAAAATTTTGCCGTAATTTGCTGCTGTAGTGAGAGAATTTCCTATTGAAATGTACAAGAAAAGCTAAATTTTGAAAATGGGGTAGTTCACTGCCAGACAACCAAAACAATATAAAGTTTTTGGCACAGACCAATTTCAACATGAAGATTCCAATTATTTGATCCATTTTTGGCAAATTTGAAGATAAAAGTTTTACCGAGACCCAGAATTAAAAGAATTCATTTTTCTATGATATATGAAGTTATTGTATTACTATTTTTTGTATTAGCAATTATTGTCATGAGTTAAGATCTAGAATTGTAATTCTCTTCACATATTTTTATTTAAACTTTAACTTGTATTCCTTGTCGTTTGAAAGAAAAAAATGATTTCTAATTTTTTGTTGACGGCTGGCTCTGTGAAGGAGCCCAGAAGGAGCCTCGTACTAATGTTTCTGCGCAGCGGCTATTACTAATTTCGCAGCTTAGAGTCTTGATCAAGTGGGTGAAGGTAATTCGGAAAGTCAAATTATATCAATTGGTACAGGCCAGACTTGCTTGCAAGACAGTTTACTTTCTGCAACATCAACCTGCTGAAACGTTTGTTGTGATGTAGCCTTCAGTGAAGTTTTTTGTTTTTGTAAAGTGACGTTTGAATCGTAGCCAACTTTAGCGTAGGCCTAATAATACAAAACTGGTTTTGGATGGATTGGCGTCTTTTGAATGCAGCCCCTTTCCAACCCAACGAAAAACGACACACACGAAGTTAGACCGTGTAATGATTCTGGTGAGACGTGCTCAACTCTGGAAGGCAAAGGTAGGTCGCAGAAAAGGAAATTAGAGGTTAGCGTGCTTGATACTACTTCGGAGACAGGTTGCAGCAGTGACAACTTGAGAAGTGGCAAAAAGTGTCGTGTGGACGACATCATGGAACGAGGAGGTAACAATGGCCACTCGCCCAATAACGGGATAATTACACCTATGAATAACCAAATGAGACAGAATTCTTCTCGAACTAATCATTTTCATCAGACAGGAAAGCTTAATAACACGGCCACCGGGTATGGCGTAAAACCTTCCCAGACAAAGAAGTTAGTAATCAAGAACTTCAAAGGTGAGCTAAAGAGCTTTTTTGTTTGTTATTATCAGTAATGTATTAACAATAATTCAACATTTCTTAAAATACCATTGTTTTTTGGGATTTCAGCCATAACTGATGCAGATGTAAGGGATATAAAGATCAGTTTGCTGTTAGCAGGGAAATATGCTTAATATTAATTCGGTCTCCTACTAACGTTTTTTAGCTAAGCGGAAACGGTACCCAAATCATGCAGAAATATAACATAAAGAAATAAAGCATACAGTAGCTGTTGGTTGAAAGACATTTATATATTTATTTCATGTCTAATAAAAGAGCTTTGTTGCTTTTTAGAAACCTACTAGGTGGCTTTAAAGCAAATTAGATAATGTTTTTAATTGCAATCTAGGGAAAATTTTTGGGGAAGTAAAAACTTAGTTGAAGTGAATCTCCAAAACAACAAATGCTTTGAAGAAACTTCATAGATTTACCTTCCTTAGAAATGTTGATATATATTTTAGAAATAGAGTTTAGTGGTTTAAGATCAGTTTATACAAAGTTTGTTAAAACTTTTTTTGTTAATCACAACTAACCATAGCTTATGTAAAATCCATGTAAAGCTCACACCAGATATTTGCCAATAAACAATTTGAATTCATTGGGAAATTATTTGTCCACACCAGATATCTCTAGGTAAGCTACATGGATTCCACACTGGACCAAAACCCTTGTTCCCCTCCAGGTCCCCCTCAAATGCAAACGGGGTGCTGCACATGGCTTAAATAAGTGCTAAAAAGGGGTGCTGCACTTCTAAAAAGCTAAATCATTCTTATTGAAACCAATTTATCCTTTTTTTGGTTTTTTTATTTATCAATGGCTCGCCTGACAATTACTAGGAAATACAGGTACTGCTTCCCTGCTAAACAACCTATGGCTAGGCCTGTATAAATCATCATCATCCTCATCATTTCTGCGTTGTTTCCAAATAACAAGGAAAAACATCACCCTTCTTGTTGGAAATTGTGTAGTAATCATGTTGATTCTTTCTGATTTACCTGTCATCAGTTCCCTTTATATTTTGTTTCATCCAGGGACAGCGCACCACTCTAAAAGTGGAGGGGCTGAAATAGGTGTGGCCGAAATTTTTTGAGGCCACGCCCTCTTGAATGCCAGAAAACGCTCCTTTTAGAAAATACTTGCTTATTTCCATTGATTTTTTATAAACAGTCTGGTTCAGAGAAGGCGACAATAACTATAAAAATAGATAGAATTAGCTCGAGGGTAATAAAAAACCAAGCTAACCAAGTTAGAAAATACAACATATCATTAAATGAGATAAAAAACCTAGAAAAAGAACAAAAATGGTTCCCAGTCAATGAGAACTGCTACTACATAGGAGTAAACTATCCATAGTTGCATCAGAGTAAACCTTCAAAAAATTTTTCTAGCCTATTATTTCAAAAAAGTGGGTGGGCTGTAGCCCCTGCTAGCCCCATGGCTGCGCGGTGCCTGGTTTCATCCTGCATCCATGTAGCCATCAACATAAATTGAGACCTTTTTAACCTTTTTGTCCACTATTCTCCTATTAACACTATTTATTATTTGAAGTAAAATGGCCTAATGCATGGTCAAAGTCATACTATTTATTTGCTCTCTGGATCTAGCCTAATCTGCAATCCATGTATGTTTCACAGACATCTTGGAAAAATGCCAATCCTTTGACTTCACATGATGATATTAAGTGATGCTTTCTCAATATTTCTACAGAGATTTTTGAAGCACAAATTTTAGAGATGTATACTTTTTATCTCTAATCAAGTCTGTACCTGGAGGGGTGCTGTATTCACAGCAAGGATGACTTTTGGCGCTTTAAATAAATTTTTCTGCTAGCTATTGCTCTCTTGACCTTGTATGGGAGAGGTCCAACAATGTGATTTCCTTGTGTTTGTTTAAATTACCTTCATGTTTTCAATTTTCTTTACATACTTTTTTTCTATTTCTTCACTTTTCATTTGAAACCTAAATCATTCTTGCAAGCTGGTGATATTTGAAATGGTAGGGATCTAGTGTTCTACCACATGGTCTTTGTTTCTACTGTTCCTTCTATTGTCCTTTTTATTGTTTTTTTAACCGTTAATTCTGAAAACTCCAGCTCAGTGCAAAGTGCAAAATACAGAGCAAATATGCATAGACAGATGAGATTAGATCAAATTTTGTACTTTTGTTGTGAAATTACAAAATGAACTATTTATTGTAGTGCATCCTTATAAGCTCAACTTTCCAAGCAACTCCATGTTTTCATAATAGCTAAAAGCAGTCTCACAAAAGGACATTGGACATTCATTTGGCATAAGACCAGTTAGTAGCATACCAAAAGAAAGATATCAGCTGTAAATCTCCAATAGTGATTTTTGGATGTCAAGTTAAAAAAAATGCAGAAGCTATGTACAAAAATCAAAATTGACTTTTGTGCATTTGCAAACCCATTATCTTTTAAATGAAATTTTTATGTTACAAGGTATTTTAACAAGATCTGTATTTTTTGATCCAATCAACTGTTCTATCAGATAGGGTATTTGCTAAATATCTTTTAATAAGGATATTTGGCTAAAATATAACAAATTAGAGAAATTGAAGATTGAAACCCTAAAGTAGAATAGGTATTCCCGACTATTCTGCATCTGATGTGCACTCCTTTGAAGAATTGCTTTTTAGCCTGCTTCCTTTCTCTCCAATTTCAAGCAGTTGATATTTTCATCTGAGAATATCCCAAGACCGACTATAACTTGGAATATTCACTATAGCTCAATGCTGGTTGGTTACTGTCAACAAAGAACAAAACTTCTGATTCATCTAAGTTTTAATATTAGACCATTCTGCGCTCAGTGTTTTATATCTTATCTGGAGCATTGTTTGAAATATTTCAGAGGCATTGTGATGAAACATTGCCAGCATTGTATATTTGTAAATGGCATTATGAAGTTGAAGCTTATTTTCCACAAAAATTATGTTCTCATTTTCATTCAAACATGTTTTTATTATCGCTTTCAATAAACTTTTCAGCATATATACAATGCTCATTTTCAGCAAAATGTTGATGTCCATCTTCTGCAAAAAAATTGATGATAACCATGTTTACTGGAATTAAGGCCCCTGACATTTTTACAGCATGAAAGGTCTTTTACCTGGTGCATTCTTCTTGATTACAAGGATCTAAGTTCAAGAATAGATTAAGCTAGACAATACTGGCAGCCAACACATTTGTTGATCTTTGTATTAATTTTCAGACAACAATGTTGACCGTTTGTTACAATGCCTAGGGCACTGCCTCGCTGTTATTAAAGCACAGCATTTATTCAAAGTCTGTTGTTGATTGGAGTAAATAAGGTATTTTCAGTGAAAATGAATGATGATTTTAACAAAGTTGTGATGCTTGATTTGATCTGATAATTGGTGCTTAATTTCTCCAACAGCAGCAACTGTTTCTTGACATCAGCTGACCAAGAATTTGAATGGTACAATTTTTTTGCAAAATAATGCGTGCAAAGTTGACAGCCAGAAAGCTCTATGAATTATTCATCAAGATTATTTTAATGCTAATTGTAGTTAAATATTGCATTTTTAGAAAAGCCAAATCTTCCAGACAACTATAAGGAATTGACATGGGAAAAGCTGAAAGAAGCCGTTCATGCAATACATGCTAGCAAGTCTATTTCATCAAGTTTAGAAGAACTTTACAAAGCTGTTCAAAATTTGTGCTCCCAAAAGATGTCACAGTTGCTCTATGAAAAACTGAAAGATGTCTGTGAATCACATGTCAAGTCAAATATCAACCAGTTTATAAGATATCCTTTTCTTCACATATTTTAGTTCCTTGAATTATTTTTGAATATTCCTGTTATGAATATTTACCAAGATACAAAAAATGTAGCAGACCATGATTGTTTGAATTCTTGAATGTCATAATGCCTACATGCCTAAGTGTAAGTTTTTGTAATTTCCTTTTGAAACTTATTTTTATGGCTCAGATGCGCAATCTAAGTGTTAAGGGACACCTTATCATATAAGCTTTATCTGAATAAAAATAATTGCCAATAGGAAAAACCACTGATTGTAAAAAGCCTATGTAAAGTCAGTTTCCAGCTTCAAGTTTCCTTGTTAGCATTTCTGTCTTTATTCCGGGTTTCCTTAATTCGTCTTCACTGGTGCGACTGACAACGTTGTTTTCTGTGATCGACTGAATACATGTTGGGAAAATCATTGCAGGCAAATGGTGAGCCTCTTGCTTTACAAATCATTTTGTCTTTCTTCATGTTAATATAATTCAACTTTCTTGGTTAGCAATCAATCTCTTTGATTGAGAATTACATACTAATGTTTTGATAACAGGTAATCAACAAATACTTTATTGGCTCAAGCCACCTGCCAATCAACTATTGGCCAATCAATGAGCCCGTAAATGATATGATGCTTGCTGATTGGCCAATTGATAAATATGCCACTTTTGTAACTGTCGATTACCTTGTGGTCCATCTGAAACTAAATTATGTCACCATAGATTTTGATGGAGCTCTATTTGATGAAAATCTGATTGATATCACCAATTCATTTTCTACGAATTACTGTTCTGTTTCAGTTAGTTCTTTAGCTCTGTTTTAATCCAAATATTGTGGCTAGATAAGCAAGATAAAGTTAATTGAATATTTCCGAAGAAAAAATCCAGCTTAAACATTCATTTTGAGAAAGCTAAATTGTGATATTCTTTTTTTTTAGATTATGATCCGAAGTATTTTCTTGTATCTTGATCGAACATACGTTCTACAGAGCCCCTCTATTCTTTCAATTTGGTAAGCTTCCATTCAGGCCCTTTTTTCGCTAAATCTTGTGATAATATCACGTTTGTTGCCAGGCAATGAAAACGTCTGTTCTTGTGCACCTGTGAAATTGTCTCAGTTCTAATACGTATCTTTCTACGCTATGCAGTGAAAAAAGTTCGTTTAAACACATTCAACCTTCAATGATTTATTTATTTCAGTCTGGATGATTTGCTTTCCTGCTGATGGTTGAAACTATTTTTTATGTCCATACATGATATTTTTTAAACTCAGTCCTTTTTAGTACCACTTCGAAACCTGAGCTGAGAAAAAATTTTGGTATTCTGCTCATCTCCCTAGAGAAAAAGCAATGGGACTATAATGTTATTTCTATAAGCATTCTCATTGAAATGCTATTTTCAAATCAAGAGCCGAAGTATACAACCATGTCGATTACTTGATTTTTTTTATCTTAATTCCAAGAATTTGCTGTTCAATACTTAATTTGAGGAAATTTTTCTACAGGGACATAGGATTGAATTTGTTTAGAACACACGTCATGAGCAATACTATTGTCCAATCAAAGACCGTTGATGGCCTGCTTCATTTTGTTGAAATGGAGAGGTAGGATTGCGTTGAGTTGTGCTTTCTAAATTACAAAGAATTGTGCAGGCAACACTGTACGCTTTCAAGAAGGTGAAAGAAGAAAGAGCCTGGTCTTTTATCGATTTAGAGTATTTTAGGAAGTTCTGCATTCCGTAGTGAAATATCTATAATAAACGTGCTATTTTATGTACTATTTAGCCTATTGCTTTTTGTAAATGCAGACAAAATTCTGCAATGTCTGAAGAATTCACAATTAGAGTGAAAATATTTTATTTATCTTACCGCATTTGTCTAGTCAGCCAATAAACATGTCCAGTCACGTGCCCATTTAAAAATTTCCAGTAAACAATTTAGTAAGGTCTGATGCAATCTTGTGTATGTCCAGCTTTTCTGTATTTAGATTCCCTCTAACGAGAGCTGATTTGGTTTATTTTTCTTTCAAGGAATGGCGAATCAGTGGATAGGAGCCTCCTAAAAAGCTTGTTGCGCATGCTTGCCGATCTACAGGTTGTTAATTTTGGCGTGTCTTTCTGAATGATCTACAACAAGCTTATTACAACTTCAAAAAAGTTTTCAGAAGTGCAGAGCTAAATCCGAGTTTTAAAGTTATTTTATAGGCGAGAAAGAACTGATTTGCACGTGTAAACAAAATACGTAATGGTTAGGAATCTGTTCAACAATGTTGCAATCGAGGAAAATAGCAGTGTTTAACATTACAAATTAAGCACGTAGTAGTGTTTGCAGTTTAAAATGAGAAACAAAACAGTGTTTGCAGTTTAAACTGAGAAACAAAACAGTGTTTAAAGTTTGTATTGGGGAGCAGAACAGTGTTTACAATCGAAAATTAGCAAAATAAATGTTTTTGTAAAGTAATGTTTCGTTACAGCACTTTATTTGAGAAATCTTCTTTCCACCATTTATTTTTCATGTCTTTGACAGATCTTTAGTCATTCATGCGTTTATGACGTCACTATCTTATTTTCTATCAAAGATGTACGAAGATGTCTTCGAGAAGAGGTTTCTGGTGGCAACAGAGAATCTCTACGCCGCCGAGGGCCAGAAGTATATGCAGGATAATGATGTATGTCTAATTTTGTTATCTTATATAGTATATTATAACACGTTGTCGGTTCTTAAAGTTAAATTGCGCCAAATAAAATTGCGGCGCTTCATTTTTGTACAAGGATGTAAATTCATGTGTAGATTAGATATAGTATATTGCTACAGGAAATATTATTTGCATTTGACCACATAATTTATCCTAAATTCTTTGCTAACCGAAGTCATAATGGTGCAAAATAGACGTGCGACTCTTTCTCTATAAAAGGGTGTACATTTTTCATAAGTTTCGAGCCTTTCGAGTCTTTTTCATATTTAAGAAAGAGTTATTGAAACGTAGTGTTGGAAAAGAGAACTTCAATGATAAGGCTCTTAAACTGTAGATTAATCCGGAACTGCTTGATTTGAGGGATTGTAATTCGAATAACGTCAATGAATCGTCAGTAATAAACTCCTGCATACAACCCCAATTGTTCTGTGTGTCCGTGTGACTTCAGCGGCTTTGGGAGGATCTAAGATTAATACGTCTTCAATGCATTCAGTACCCGCGAAAAAAGTGCAGGGAAGGAAGAGAAGGGGAAAGGGGTGGACCACAATCGCTTTCCTTTGGACCTAGAACTTTACCACACACTTTTCTACCCACATGTGCAATAGCGTTGAGTTGAATTAGAAATCTGTATGTTAGGAGAAATGAACAATTAGTTCGAATGGGAGCCTGGTACAACGAGGTTGTCTATGCTGATCAATCACTTTGTTTATTGGAAAACATACCGCGCATTGTTGATCTATGGTTTTCTTGGGGACAACAGTATGATATATGCGATTGCATTTTAGAAGTATGAATTTACTGGTACTTCGTTAAGATGAAAATGCGTTATATAAACCCGTAGAGAACTATAAGTTCTTGTACCTTTAAGAAAATTTTGTGCTACTGGCTATAACGTGTTGTTGCGAAATTACAGTACAGGTTATTGTTTGATTTTTGTTCAAATTTTTTTGCAGGTGCCTGAGTATTTGGCTCGCGTCGATCGTAGATTGAAGGAAGAATCAGATCGATTGCTGCATTACTTAGACTCATCCACAAGGCAAGCTGCTTATTACAAGACCATTTTTTTATTTTTATATAGATAACTCTGCAAAATCGATTCATTCAAGCCCTGTACTTTTGTAGAGGAAATTAGACTTACGGATCAGTCGACTTTTGGGGACGTTTAATCGATTCAACAGTGCTACGTCACTCGTTGGTAGACTCTTTTAAGACGCTTTCAGTTATCAGCAAAAATCTGACTTCAAAAACAAAGGCAGTGCTTTTATAGCTTCAAATTGCTCGAATAAAGATTTAGCATGCGATTAATTTGTTCATTTTAGTTGGACTCACACCTTAATTTTTATTTGAGAGTCTTTTAACCAGACTTAAAACTAGAGATTTTAATGAATAAGAATAAGAAAAAATCGGAATCAAGCTTATTTCCGACCTATGCTTAGCTACCTTTTTGCATTCTAGAAGATAATTTGTGAAGTTGTCTTGTTCTTTGGCTAACTTTGTTTCTCAAAGATTTTTCGTTCTGCTAAGCAAATTTATATTCAATATGCTTTTTCATAATTCCTGGGGCTTTTCTATTTACCCCGTTGCTTTGTTTTGATTATCTCTTCTTACGACTTTCATCAGCTCTCTTTTTTGTTAACCATGCTAATTCTTTAGATAAAGTTTTCATTTTCTTATCAGGTAGTTGGCGTCTCCATCACTGTAGGAAGTTGTCTGATTGTATCACTTTACCTTTGATATTCAATTTTGCCCAGTACACACTGAACTCTTCCTTGAAATCAGAAATTTTCTCCAATTGCAGAAAGCCACTTATTAGCTGTGTGGAAAAGCAGCTCCTTGGCCTCCATCTCTCAAACATTCTTCAAAAGGGATTTGATAACTTACTTGACGAAAACCGAGTTTCTGACTTAGCTCTTATGTACCAGTTGTTTTCAAGAGTAAAAGCTGGCCTAGAAGAACTATACAAATACTTCGGTGCTTACATCAAGGTGCGTCTAAACAAACCCTTGGCTAAAAGCTTTTTGTCTACCTTACGCAATGATAGATAAAACTATGGTTCTCAGTTCACATTGGGAAGCTGTAAATTATTATTTGACTATAGACCCCACAGCTTGCAGATGGGAGTAAAGTTGTAAAGTATGGCTTGCGTAAGGGAAAAGCTTTTCAAAACTAAGCAATCAATAACAGTAAATATTTACAATGTAAGACGTTAGTTTTATTAATTATGAATCTTTATCACAATTTTAAGTAGTTTTTCCTTATATTTCCTTACGATATTGTTTATTTAACTCTGTATATTTGAAACAATGAGTTCTAGTAAGCTGATGATCTCTAGCAGTCAGAATTTAGGACATTGGGCAAAGTTTTTATTTTTCTTTTGGAAAAAGAGCTGTTTTGAATTTTGCCAATTAGGTTTTTAATTCACGAACGAATCTAGTGGTGTAATGCAAAAACTTCCTGGATTTTGTAAGTCTGAAGTTTCGAAGAGGCTGACGGAGAGGTGTGAATCTTGGCACGAGTAAACTTATTTCGTAGCCAAAATATATTCATACTCATATTTTGTATGCTCGAAAGTGACATTAATGTTTTGGTTTTGCGTCTTTTTCAAGGCAAGAGGTGCGGCGATTGTAATAAATCCGGAAAAAGATAAAACTATGGTGCAAGAATTGCTGAATTTTAAAGAGAAGCTCGACAACATAATCGAAGAAGCATTTGCGAAAAACGAGAAATTCGTTAACACAATGAAGGTTTGTTTTTCAACATATCGTTTGTTGTCTCACTGTTTCTTTCATGACAGTGGCTGGGATTGTAGAGCCATTTTCCTTTGAGTTGTAGATCAAAGTTAAATAACTTAGTAGAAGCCCAAATTTTATCTACCTAGACTCAACAATACGCCCTTCTTTCAAAAAGACCTGTATTTAAATATTAATACCCAATGTTTTCATTGGAAAGTTCATTTTTCAAAACCCTTGTGTCTCTTTCTAAATCCACTATTCTGGCTGTTGGCTTTTTCAAAATGTCCTATCAGACTTTTGACATTTGCACTAGTTGGTTTTATAACTGAATGGCCCTGTCCTCACACTGTGCGCCTTCACAGTTTTTCGTGGATGCTCGCGAGCAGCAATGTACAGGTTTTAACGCATAAATAAAGATATTGTTCTAAACCTGGCATTCTATAAAGACTATTCTCAGGAGTATTTAGTTCATTTTTAGTTAGCCTCCCATTACTTTCCTAGGACGCCTTCGAAAGTTTTATCAACAAGAGGCCAAACAAACCTGCCGAACTTATTGCTAAATTTGTAGATACAAAACTCCGAGCTGGAAACAAGGTTAGTATGGACTGCCACAGAAGAACTTCTAGAAAGAAGTTTTAGTAAGAACTTTGACCAAGGAAACACAAAATTTGTTCGTTTTATCAGAACAGATCATGGTTTGATAGTTAAGAATTAATCCTTTATGTATCAGATAATGCTTTATTAGGGGTTATGATTGATTTTGATTTCTAAGAAAAAGCTTTACAAGCGTTTCTTTGATGTGAAAGCAGATCAACAAAGCATTGAAACAAACAGCACGTTGTCATACTTAGTATCAGATCTGGTAGTCATACATGAAGTATTTAGCAATATTTTTTCCCGGTCTGTAAAATAGAGCTGCATGTTTCAGACAGTAAGGCCCAGGTGAACATGATTTCTTTGACGATGAAAAAGGGCAGAATTGTGATGGAGTGAGTAGGTTATTGCGTAAGAAGTATAGCGGAAACTTTTTAGTAAACATTGGCTTCCTATGCATCGTTTTATGCATTTGGTTTTTAGTTGCATGCTCTGATATTGAAAACCTTGTAAATTAGAATATCTACTTTAAATGGTTGTTACTTGGCGTATCTAACACTTGTCGCATTTGTAAAGCTCTATTGCTTTGATTTTAAATCCTGAATTTGCCTTCCAGGAGTCAACAGAAGAGGAACTTGAAAGACTTCTTGACAAAATCATGGTTCTTTTTAGATTTATTCAAGGTAAGAATTGCCTGTGGTTCCGGCGTAGTAAAGGCACCATGCCCCGTTAGTCAACCGTTCAGAGTTGACAATAGGCTTTGAAGCGCTTTTGTGATGGAGAAAACATTGCGAATTATTAGCCTTACGTCGCTGATTGGGATATGTAACAATAGATCTATAGTGGAATCCCGATATAGCGAACTCTGAAGGGAACCAAAAAATAGTTTGTTATATCGGGAGTTGGCTAAATGGGGAGAAAATGTTTTTTAGGTCTTTTCGCAGTTCATGTCTAAAAAACCTGCGGTGAGCTAGGAGAGGCTTTCTCCAACTTCTGTGCACATGTTACTCCAAAAAACCAAGCTGAATTTAAATATTACTAATGGTTAGTCATCGAAAATGAAAATCTTTATGCTCCTCCTATTACTATAGAATGACGTCTTCGATTACTTTACATTCTTATTTTTTTTCTTCTGCTTCTCCGTCCGTGTCTCTCAATAAAATTTTGTCGTCGCTCATTGCCAATGCCTCATATGTAAAGGGGTATTCCGTAGTATTCAGTGTACTCATTCGCATTAATTTTTGACGCTATCAAACTTTCATCTCTTGCACTGAGTCTATCAGACAGTGCTTGAAATGTATCATCAGCATGTTTTGCCGATGACAATAAGGTTTTCCCCCAAGAGAAAGTGATAAATGAACAGCGAAAATAATCACTTTCTCGAAGTATAAATAAAAGATGAAAAATTTGTGAAAATTTCGTTATATCGAGGGTAATTATGATGAGAGGTTCGTAACAATTTGGCTCGTAATATCGAGAATTTGTTTTATCCAAGGTTCGTTATACCGAGAGAATTTGTAAGGAGTTTTTTAGGCAGATTCAAGGGACCACATATTTAGTTTGTTATACCGGGAAATTCGTTAAATCCGGGGTTCGTTATATCAGGATTCCACTGTATTGTCTATTGTTAATTAGTTTGCTTTAGGTAAAAATTTCCGTCGACAAACGATAACAAAATAGCAATGTCACAATTCAATGAGAGATGTATCGATGCACCACATGTCTATTGACCGCATATCGATGCACAACATGTGGCGTCACGAAGATAGTACGCTAACAATGATCTTGCATTTCTAACAGGAAAGGATGTGTTTGAGGCATTCTACAAAAAGGATTTAGCAAAGAGACTGCTTGTGGGTAAAAGCGCCTCAGTGGATGCTGAAAAGTCGATGCTTTCAAAGTTAAAGCAAGGTGATTCACCGATGAGTTTGTTTACCGTTAGATTGGTTTCATTCGTTCTTAGGAAACCAGGGAATATCGTAATATCCGGACCCATTTCCTTTTCATTTCATTTTAAAATCTTTATACACGAATTCCCTATCAGCTATAACATAAATAAACTTATACTACAAATTAATTCTTTAATATATATATAAAATAAAGATGTTGCTGTTCTACCTAGGAATTGTGTTTTGTTTTGGGAATTTAATAACTTTGTAGGAGTCCCTTCAAGTTTCTTTCAAACATGAAAATTTTGGGACTCATTCTGACGTTTCTTGGAATCTCATTGCATGTTTTGGCCCCAGAGTGAAAGAAACTTCCCTTTGAGAATTCCAAATTTTGCCTTGGGATGTCAATATCAAGCTGATTCCTTGTCGAATACCTGGATATCTCTGATCTAGTAATAAATTTACCTTTAACGCTGTCAGGGCAAAGACCATTCATCATTTTGTACGTCATTATGACCCTGTCATATTTAATTAGCTTCGAAACTGAAAGCCATTTACAAATCTACCCGTCCTCAAATTTTGCACTTTAAATTAATGCTTGAACCCTGTCTTGAAGACGCTGAAGATGTTCAAGCTTTGTAGCGTTTTAGATTCTGTGAAGTACTGTTCAAGATCTGTGAAGTACTGTGAAGTATTGTTTTTGATTAAGGTGCTCTCTGTATAATTGCTTAAAAATTCTTTTGTCAAACATCCTGAAAAATTTATGCTTAGTTACATAAGTGGCAATGATTATGAAAAAGGCAGTCTAGTTTTGTCTTGCGATTATAGGGGATGTCTTTTCTAATTTTCACCCAACTGCAGATTCACGATCGCAAAGATATTTTGACCCTTTTAAGCTCTGTTTCCCTTTGGATTTCTGTTCCTCGTTAGGGTTCTGCTCTCCCTTACTAGTTCACATAAGAGCCTAAAGTTCCTTGACTAAGGTCGTGTGTTTTTTAGAATGTGGTGCTGCTTTCACTAGCAAATTAGAGGGAATGTTCAAGGATATGGAGTTGTCCAAAGACATCATGTCAAGCTTTAAGCAGGTGAGGTTTTATAACAAGTTCGAAATTTGCTTCAGTTTAAGAAATCCAGGCTGAGCCATATGCAGTTTTCAATATTATTTTCTATTCAATGCAATTTCCACGAGGACCGATTGAGGATGATTATTGACTTTGCCTTGTGAATAGAAAAGGTCTTCAGCAATTGACATTCTGCAGATTCAGTTCTTCCAAGTCCAGTCTGTGTTTTGATACACATTGTATTTTTCTGTTGGTTCTGGCGGTCGACACAAAAGCATAGCAAAACAAACTCAAATGTTTCCATCGACATTATTGTAAACCTTGGCTGAGTTGTAAGAAGAACCTTTCGGTAATAATTTTCAAATTGTTGCATCCGTTGCTAGATTAACCTAATGTAGTGAATCGCCTTATCAATTTACTGTCATTCTTTTAGGCTGCTTTTCGTGCTGCATTCCTCGGCTCCATCCCCCTTACAGCTTGTATGACAGGGTTTCACTAGCTTTAATGGAGCGACAGAGAAAATATTGTGTGCATGTCCTACTGAGAATCTATTTAAGAAAGTCATCAAAAGTATAATTGTTATAAACAAGCACATTAGTTTCCAGTCCTATAATATTTAATGAGCCACTCCCTCTTTATGATCTCTTATCATTATTTAGAATCATCATTTTTCGCTCCTTTTTCCACAGTACTTACAGAGTCAACCAGGCGCAACCCCTATCGATCTTACTGTTAATATTCTCACAATGGGCTACTGGCCAACCTACACACCAGCAGATGTTCATCTTTCTTCAGAGGTAACACTTTTCTTCTTTTGCCTTTAAGACCTCGTTTACAATGAAGTTAATCCAGTTTGAATCAGATTCAATCCTGTTTGTACCGATAAACTTTTTCCTTACATGGGAGTCAGTGTGTTTGATATCGCTGTGGATCCGCTATCCAAACACTTGTATTCTGGGCTATTCTTTCTAGATCCAATCTGGATCGGATCCAAAAGATCGCAGATAGACTTTCAATAACACGGGAATTGATTGGTTCGCTATCCTTTTGAATCCGCTTTGCCAACACTTGCATCCTGTGTGACCCTGTCTATATCCACTAAGATCGGATCCCCTGTAAATTGCCGTTGCATGGCATTTTCCACAATCCGCATTTTGACAATATTTTTTTTCATCTTAGATTTCATCATATGCTTTGCTTTCACGATACTAAACACGTCTTTTTCACGTCTTTTTGTGACGCTATCGTTTAGCTCTTGTATTATGTGTGGATTGACCTTAATATATTTTCTAGATGGTTAAATTGCAAGAGAATTTCAAAAATTTCTACCTAAGCAAGTATGTGGGAAGGAAATTACAATGGCAGACCACCTTAGGCCACTGCGTTGTAAAAGCTTCATTTCCATCGGTATGTAGAATTTCAGTATGAATTCCCAATTCTTTTTGCATTAAACTTGCTTAAAAGCATTATTTCCCGTCAGTTGACCGTTCGTATCAAAAATATTCTTTGCATTGCACTCATAATCGAGAAATTTTAATAATTAGTCCCGCGTCGTTGATTGGATAGTATAATAATAGCCTATTGTGTATTGCAACCAATGAGAATTTAGGCGAACACCAAGTGATTTAATGTCAATTCTTTTCACGTGTTTTTCAGTTACCTCTAGTATATTTCTAAGTACTACATAATCTAACTTTGACTATAAACCATTTTGTATAATCTAACATCTGCTTTCTTTAAAGGGGGATAAGGAGCTTAACGTTTCGTTATTTCAAACGTTATGTTTGCTGCTATTTAACGACGGAGATGGTTTTACTCTTGATTATATAAAACAAGCCACCGGAATAGGTGCGTATAGTCAAATTTCATTATTATTTTTCCATTTCCTTTCTAACTTTTTAGTCATTGAATGATGCCTGTTTGTTGTACATCAGTCAAAGTTTTTTCATTTTCTTGAAAATACAATTCTAGTTAAAAAGCTTTGACTAGATAAAAACTCGTATGTCAATAGATTAGTTTATGTATTATTGTTGGTATAGTCTATCAGCCAGTTTAACACCTTCATGTGTCGATGTCCGCGTAGTTCTGTATTCTAGAACAAAACTACTTCAGCTTTTATTCAAAGTTTCATGCGAAGAGCGACCGATAGCCTGGTAACATGATCAAAAATCCACATTTTTCAAAATATACTGCTATGTGCTTTGAAATAAAATGAGGTATTTTTAAAACATTTGGACAATCTCTGTAGTCCAAGGCTGTCTCGTGTGGAATTGTTTACTCGATTAACTCCTGTTTTAAGACTTAAGGTATACGAGGAAGCATAATTGTTTGTTTGTTATTAGAAATTATTATTATCAAACTTCCCTGCCTTTGAATGCTTGTTTTCTGTGATACCACATATTGCCCTGCCCATAAACACGTTTTCTGTGAAATGACATTTCCTTTTCCATCTTGTAGACGATTCTGAATTGCGAAGGACACTGCAGTCATTAGCAGTTGGGAAAGCCAGGGTGTTAAGAAAAAAACCAATGGTGAGAGACGTGTAAACCCTTTTATTTAACGCTTAATTTTAGATGCCTAAGACGTGATATTATAATAGACGTTTAGATCGCCAAACCACAGAATAGGAATTAGGCAGAAGGGGAACTCCTGCCTATCAGGTGAAGCCTGAAAAAACTAGCGCATGCGTTAACTTATACGAGGCTTAACATGTATCTGTCGGGGAAATTTAAAAATAATGAAAGTAGACAAATTTATTTGAGACGAAATGCCCCATGATAGTGAACAAATTCAATTATGTATCATAAATCGTTTATATCTGATTAATGAATGATAATTTGTCATGGCTAAGTTCGTCTAATGAAATCGAGGTTAAAGGGGAATTAAGGAATTCTATTGTTGACTCAGGCTTCAAAAACAACAAATAAACCAACGAGAGTTACCCTTCTGCCTATTTCCTATTCTGTGGCCAAACTGACAAGAGCAAACAAAATGTAGCATTGGGAAGTTTTACTGTTATTTTCAATTTTTATCATTAACGAAAGGGAAACTATGATTAACCAATTAAATTATGACTCCAATTATACTCTAAAGGTTTTGCTATGTAAATGACGTCTCTGCTGGAGATACAAAATTTGCAAAACTCTATTCAAATGTATTGAAAACGTTTTTAGCCTTAATATTGAGTAGAATCGTATATTGTATAATGAGCAGCGTTTTGCGTGGGAAGAAAATTTTCTGTAGGGGCAGAGAATTGCTGACCTAACAGCATCTTTCAGAAAGTGAAGACGAACAAGCGACATTAGATTTTTATGCGGTGGGCTGATGTTATTTCGGTATCCGTGGTTATGTCATGGGTTTTTCTAAAATGGTATCAAGGGTATCAAGACTTTTCTTTGTCTTGTTTCATTCTCAATTCTTCTACCCCTGTTGTGCTAACATAGAACAGACTGGTCAAAACGAAGCCAATTAGGAATACCAGCTGTTTAGACGGAAGGCAAAAAGTCCCGTAGAATGCGAATAAATTAAAACGTGTCACCTCATCCCTCTTCCAAAATGGTGTTTATATATTTTGATAGCTGAGATATGAGCATGAAAGTGGGGGGGGGGAGGTTTGGGGGGAAGTTGAAAAGTTGATATGGGCAGGAATATCATGGTTTTCGGATACGTTTCAGCTGTCACCACCTTTTGGAAATGCCTTTATGTCTAACGGAGCCGTGAATAATTTTATTTTGTGTTTTACAGGGTAAAGAAATTGAGGATAATGATGTGTTTTACTTCAAGAAAGATTTCAGTCATAGACTCATTCGAATAAAGATCAATCAAATACAACTGAAAGAAACGGTAAGAAAGTCAAGTTCAAAACTTTAGAGTAAATATTCTTGAAAAGTATTAACTTGTTTTATAATGTTTTTGCGTAATTACTGCTTAGGAATTCATGCATCCTTTCACATTAACAAAAGCTCTAAGGAAACAATCGTTGTATAATCTTTTCCACTTAGAGTTTCCATTCAAATGTTTCACCAAAATATGTTATTGTTTTTGATTATTTTTTCATAGCCTGAAGAAAATATTAACACAACGGAAAAGGTTTTCCAGGACAGACAATACCAGGTAAGTATCGAGATGTAACTATTTTACTTTTAAGTGTCTTGTTGACATTTTAAAAAGAATGAGATTGAAATAACAAGTATGGAAATGTAAATTTAAGACTAGAATGACAATGAAAGATATGCAATAAGAAAGGCTTATAGATAAATTTTCCAACTTTATTTTATTTAATTCCAGGTTGATGCGGCAGTAGTACGAATAATGAAGACAAGAAAGACTCTAACACATAACTTGTTGCTTGCTGAACTTTATAACCAACTGAAATTCCCTGTAAAGGTATTTTTATCACTATCTTTATATCCTCTTCTCTGGTAAAAATTTGCTAGATGCTTAGTTTATGGTATAAAAATGAAAAATTTACGCCTTTTCTTAATCTGCGAGAAATGATATGATATTTTTGTGATATTTTGAGGTGATTTTTTGCTATCAAAAGACTTCTGCAGCGGTTATCAGCTCACAAAGAGAGGACAATTTTTATTTGTGAATATAATAGGATCTTATGTAAGTGAATATAATAGGATAAGATTTACTTAAATTGCAGCAGACATCTTGTCTGCTGCTATTCGCTAATATTTTCGCCTGGTATCTAATTTGAGAGACAGTGTAGTGTTCTTTGTTTTTTCTCTTGGTAATTCATATGTAAGTTGTCTTAGTTTTTCGTGATGCCACGGAGTAGTCATAGTATTTTGCACCCAGTGGCATCGTCCTTGTTTGTCGTTAAGTATTTTGTAGGTAGTGTAACTAGTAAATTTGTATTGTAAATTTTTATTGGAATGTAAAAAAAAAAAAAATTTTATGTACTCGTCAATGGGAGTGCCTTTGGAATTAGGCGGAAGGCTTCAACTTTAACCATTTTTCACTGTGGTTATCTTTTTGAGTTACTTTGAGGGCACATTTACGGTTAGTCTGTGAAGTGAAAATATATGTTTAGCGAATTCTTAGTTGCTGTTTCTTTTCTTTCAGCCTGCTGACGTCAAGAAGCGAATCGAAAGTCTGATCGATAGGGATTACATGGAACGAGACAAGGACAATCCGAACCAATACCACTACGTTGCCTGAAGAGATTTATTACCACATTATCGTACCGCATATTTCACAGAATTGCTCCCGGTTCGTTTCCGATTTAAGCTGTCTTTGCATGTGTTCTGGTCAACGCGGGAAAAGAAGTGCTTCTTTCGTGTGTATGCCAAGCTCTCTCATGGTCGGAGAAGTGTCATTATTTTGGTATAATCTGCAGAAAGCTATGCTGTTGCAGAAAGTGTTTGATAGCCCAGACTGAATTCGTCAACCATCAATACTTAAATGTCGTTATGAATGGGTATAGTAAGGACATTGCTAATGTAGTTCCGGGTTGGTTTAATGATCATGTGGTACAATCCTGGGCACTTGAGACAAAGCCTTTCACAGTTAGAATGTATTCATGTTTGTAGCAGGTATTTTCGTATTGAAGAGAGAAAGAGGAATGCAAAGTCTGACCGCCGTCTAACTAGGTTTTTGTAAATACACGGTTTAAGTTAACACCCCTTCTGAACCACCCAAAGAACGTAAAGGCTGGGGAGAGTTCAGCGCATGGTTAGCCAAGCCTTCAGAAGGAACCCCTATTTTATACACAATCCCTAACAACTTAGCCGGGTTTTTAGGCACTAGGACAAGGGCTAAACATTCCTTGAACTTACAAATTGGGATAGCACTTCCCCCCTGTCTTTACGATACCAATTTTGAAGATTTTGTTGCTGTCCAATCGTTTTTTGCATAACGAGAACCATATTAAATGTTTCACTGATGCTAAAACTGCATGCTTGATTGTTCAAGCAAAGCATCTTTCTCAAGGGAACGGCTTTGCTTGTTTTGCATCTATAGGTATTTCCTTGTGGACCCAAATTTAGTTTCATTTAAAATCCCATTGCCTGGCTTGTTGGAGCGTTTATTTTTTAAGGTAGCATCAAAATTGTCCCATCTGAATTGAAATCCCATCTGTATCATTTAAATGTTTTCTCGATTGGTTAAGTTGCTTTTAAAGATGAAAAGGTTTTATAACTGAAAACATTTATCAGTGTTAGTCAAGCTTTATTCCAACTTTCAAACCAAAGACGAGAAGTTGCTTTCCTAAACATATGTTGGTTTTGTTGTTGTTTTCCAAATTAGATCACAGATTAGAAACAAGTGGCTTTCGCTTGGTTTTTTTGTTTCAGGCCCTTGCATGTCGTAGCGTGCATCTTGAAGGGCTGGTGGTGCTCGATAATCCAGGGCGGGTGTTCAAATATAGAGGGGCATCACTCTTATCTCGTAGAAGGCATCTTTCTCAACAAAAGAGGTCTATATCTTGTTCTGTTCGTCAGCAAAGGGGAGCTGGCGGTTCTAGAGGCGTCGTGAAGTAAGTCTCTAGTAAGGAGGTACCAAAGGCGCATTTGTTTACAATGTAATGGTTGTGCGTATGATCCTGGTCTCCTTTAGGCGTGGTGCTTCTGTAGCTTTCCGATATAGATATAAACGAGGTCATTGGGCTGAAAGTGATTTTTTAGGTTAAGTATCTCCCTGTCACCCTGTAGCACGTCGTGGCTCTTCTAGCCATGCCATTGAAATTCAATGGCATTTGCTCAGTTACATTTGATTAAAACGCTGTTTGTAAAATTAAACACGCTTTGGAAAGTAACATCCCAAAATTTGATAAATGTCTAAAGACACGTTTAAGACACAAATTTTGCACTTTTTGGCGCTACGCTCTTGGTCATATAATCCAAACTTCATCAAAATATTCATAATGACATTTAGATTATTTTTTTCAATAACATTATTTCGAGATAAGTTTGTGTCAGCTAATCATATGTACCTTCAATGGTAATGTGGCTTTAATTTTCGGTCAGCCTGCAGTTAGTTAAGCCGACAAGAAAATTTTTGATTTTGGCCTTAAAAGTCTAAGTCACGATTTCGGGGTGAAAAAGCCATTCCAACTTTTACAGTAGGCTCAAAAGGAGAGTCTCCCTGGCCCGATAGCAATTTTGTTGTTGTTCTTAATAGCTTTTAAAAACCGCCGAAGGAATAATTGGACCCACAAATCATAGAAAACGATAATTATTAACAAATATAAACACATTTGTCTTAGATCGACAGAGATAGATTACGTAAAAAGTGTCATTCAGTTTAAAATTTTGCCACAGACTTGAAAAATCTTTCTAAGAATAACAGGCTTGTCATATTTTGCAGCTGCAAAAATTGAGAGTTGCAAATCTAACTGACCAGGTAGGCTATTAATCATCTTTTGGATGGGATGATGGAAAGCGTAGAGTTGACTGTTAAACCTCCCTTTTTAAAGGGGGGGGGGGGGTTACACGGACTGGGGCTCGGCTTCTGTCTCGTTAGTTATGGCATTAGCGTTAGAAATGACTAGAAATAGCAAAATGGCTATATAGTAAAAATACGATTCTGAACTCAAGAACTGGCGAAGGAGACGTGACACCTAGCTTAGGGCTGTTATCGTTTTTCCATTTCTTATATGCATTTTAATTCCCATCTGCGCTGTTTATCATTACCACTTGTATTATGGGTATACACTTGGCGTTTGGTATGAGGCTGTGATCAAAAGTGGTCCTGTTTGCTGCTTTAGAGCCAACTACATGGGGTGGGATGTGAGAAATTCCGCTGCACTTCAGCCTTCTCAGATTAAAACCACTCATTTCTTTTTCTGTTACTATTCCCGTTCGATGAAGTAACTGTCTATGGGGACGCGGCATTCTTGCTCGTGACAATGAAGTATCCATGCAGGTCGAACAAACTCTAGACTTGGGTTACTTGTGAAGGCCTAAATTTGACGAAGGAATTACGTATAGTTTCATTACAGAAAAATTCATAACAAGATACAAGTATAATAGAAAATACGTTGGCTATCCCTCGAGAAAATAAATATCTGAAAGTACGAATCATTTCATTAAAAACATTACATTATATGATTGTTTTAAGATAACTTCATTGCCACCTGTTTTTAGATAGTTAACTATTTTCTTTGCCTGCATGCAGACATGTGCATTCGGATGGATATTTGGTTTTTTAGAAAACACTCAGCATGTCATTGCACTACACTTTTTCAAAAAGTAGCAATAAGGAATAATTTTTTCCTGCTTATTTCCTGTAAAGGATATTTTATTAATCCCAGTTTAACTATTGTCGAAACTGTTTATTTAAAGGCAATGAAAATGCGAGCCTTGAAACAATGTTAAAGGAATTCAAGAAGCCTTTACCTCCGTGAAAGTTTCATCCCAATCATTATTCGACACAACAAACTTTGTTCCAGTGCTCATATAATCATCAACAACGCTAAAAAAAGAACATTTTCTCTTTAAAGATAACTCAATTCCAGGTTATGTATAAAAACCCTCTGCTAATAAAGAAAGGAAGATTGTTCGTGAACAAAAATCTTTCGATGATGTTTGGAAGCTGTGTTCCTGGAACATGGCGTCAAAGTTGACAAAGACACAAGAATCATATTTATTAGTTTTGTTTATAAATTTTTTATAGTGTTCAAACGAATGAAAAGTGGCTTTGTCATAATTATCTATAGATAATTATAATACAGCGAGAACAACACTCAAAATATAAAAAAAATCTGCACCACTTGGAGAAAGAGTAATAAACGAAATATGACTTAAACGGGTGCAAAATTCATCAAACGAGTTATTGAAGAAATATCAAAATATTTATAAGAGAAAATGGCGAATTACTGTATCTCTCACCCGTTGTAAGCTGTTATGTACCGATTAAGAAACCTTCGTTCTGTATGCTCAAATTCACCATAGAGCAGGAAATGTGCCCCGTCAAAGAAGTCGGGCAATTCAGGCAAACTTGGGCGTTCTTTTGGTTTGGCACTTTGATCTTCATCCTTGTTTCCTGAAACATAATTCGTATAAACAATAATTTTGCATCTGATTGATATAAAATTACATTTTACAATCCAATTAACAGTTAACAGAGACTTTTTATAGAAAGGGTATAGGCCTATATTATCAATGCTAAAAGACTTCAGCACTAACATTTATTTTCCATGTCAACTTTGATTGAGCCCCTGTTTCAAGAAGAGTGAAAGAAGAGACTTTTTGACGCAAACAATAGATCGCAATTGGCAAATAATTGGGGGCTAATGTAGCACTCCCTTTCAGCTCCTTCCCTTCCGAATTCTTTTTATGATTAGCCAAGAAGACATACCTCTTGTTTCCTTGTCGCTTTCATCTTCGGTGGTCCCTCCATAATCATCATCGTCAATATCCCCTTTAAACCTTTTGCCTTTCTTAGCCATGTCTTCCTTAACCCTTTAAAAGCGTTAAAAGGTGTGCTGTTCAATGTTCTAAATACTTTAAATGAAAGTTGCTGTTGTGACGTCATATGGCAGTTGAGACCCCTCGTTTTAATTCAGAAATCGTGATGTGACGTCATAATCCCTATTCTGTTCGAATACAATGCTTGTCTACAGTCTCGATCTTTGACAATTTTCTTCAACTCAGATCAATTAATGCCTCGATCAGTTAAGGCAAATTATTTTCAAAATACGTGAAAAGGAATAATAAAATAAACCTATCAAGTTATGCACAATTCAGTAACAAGTTATTTCTTTCCTTTGTTGTTACACGAAGTATCTAGAGGCACTCACTTTCTAATCTCATCCTCAGTATCCCATCCTTCACTGCCTGAATCGTAGCTGAGCGTCGAATTACCATGCTGTGCTAGACGAGGAATGGAAGGAAGAAAACAGTCATTTCAAGGACTAAGTAACCTCTAAAGAAGAAAATTTTTGTGCAAAAATACATCTGGAATAAATATTCTGATTTGATTTGATTCCTAAGAATGCTATATTTTGTGGATTTCGCGGATCTGACCTTACCCTCAATTTTGCCGCAATGATTTTTGGTAATAATTGTAAGGGATCGCAATATTCGTGAGAGATCTCATCTCATGGTATCTCATGTGAAAATCAATGAAAGGGGTGGGTGTGGGGGGGGGGGTCTAACATCGATTTGGTAGCGGAAATGTTCTAGAACGCAAACGTCTGCAAATAATTAACTTCATAAAGATAGTGCAAACTTTTAATATCAAGGGTGTAAAGGCTTCATCTCTATCAAGAAACTCGTTATTGCCGTCCAAATAGCTTTAAACCTGCTTGAAAATAATTAAGTTTCTTTAAATCACCATTTGAGAATTACATTACTCTACAAAGGCGTTTCTTTTTACCATGTGATTCGACACATAAACAGTTAAAAATATCAACACGAAGACAACAAGACCAGCTTTCATTCAACCAGTCAGTGGAACAACGCTTGTTTTAAGTTTTCAGGGACCGCGAAAGCGGGAAGAGAGGGCTGAGGAAGCTATAGCCCCCCTCCCATTAGATGTGCTTAAAACCATACAAATAATTTCCGTGCCCTTGGTTTTTAGCATATTTAGCTCCCCCCGAACGCTTAAGCCCCCTCAATCTGTAATATGCTCCGCGGTCCTTAAAATTTTCCTTGCTAATTCCAACTTCTAGTTTTCTTACCCCGAGATTGTATTACGTGACAGAATTTAAATGATTGCATTTTCTCCCCAGTTTAAAACGATTTGGAAATTTGTTGACCGCCGCTAAGAAAACTGTTTTCGTGAGGCGTGGTATTAGGGGATGTTTGCACCTGCTACACCTAAAGGGAAAGGAGTGCAAACCTTCTAACTGGTGGCAATTAGTCCAGCCCAGTTTTCACAATAACATCACCTCAGTTTCAAACACTTTGCATGCACACACAAAGATCTTTGTTTAATCTACATGCCCCTCCCTAGGATCGAAGGACTAGATTTGGTTTGCCAATTAATAGAAGGAATTTGAAAACAGAAAACCCTTAAAAAAGGGACAGCTAAGACCTGTTATTGTCTCACCTTAAACATGTCCTGGACTACCTCATGTTGGGTAACATTAAAAAGTGAGCAAGTGCTGAGCAACAACGGCTAGGATCTCTTAAATCAAACGACTCTTACTTTGTTCTGCATCCAACGTTACGGCCTCCTCTTCGCGCAGCTCTTTGCTTTTGTCTGTATCTGTATCATCACCACCAGTCTCGATCTGAAATATATTACAAAGCACGCTTGTTTTCCCTTCATCTTGAATAGCAAATTCATTAGTTTTCCTTATAACTGAAACTTTAATAGTCTAGTGCTAAGGGTAATTTTATGCAAAACACAAACAAACGCAGTGGTTATGTAGTGAAAAAGTTTTCAAGAACAACCACATAGTTCCAACAATGTTACATCAAACAGTTAACGTGAAACTGATTTAGCTTCTTTTAGATAGGTGAAGAAGCCTGCTTGAACCGTAAGCCCTCCAATAAACCCGTGGGGTTTAACAAGCCAAAATATTTTAGGGCGGGCCTTATTCGACAGCAAATTTATGTTTTATTCATTTTGCAACCACTGTGTTAAGTATAGGTTATTTTTAAATTGTAATTAACATTTTCTATGGCCTTCTGAAAACCAGTTCTAATTAACCGACGTGCCGAAATAATTTAATTGAACTGAAATGCAATGGCTTGGAAATGAATACACGAAGGAAAGGTAAAACGGAAGGATTCTGTTGATAGTTAAACGTGATCAATTTGATGTCAGCATTCAGCAATAGTCTGAAAGCAGAAACGATTTTAAAAACTTGGGTCATCGAACACAGGAAAAGTTTTAAAAGATCTCACAGGCTTTGAAAAAATCTCAATTTACTCTGGCAAACAAAGCTAAAAATTAGAAAAAAGAACAAATTTAACACGATCTCAGAGTAAAACATACGAGAATAAAATGTCAAAAGTTTTTTCAAAAAATGAAAAAGAATTGAAAAATAATAAAAATTCAAAATATGACAGAAAAGGAAAAAATTAAAAAAAAATCAAAAAATGCAAAAAAAATCATTTGAAAAGCCACGAAAATAGCACAGACACAAGAAATACATCAAAAATCTGAATTTTGCTTTTAATTGCGACTGGAAAACAAGGCTAGAAAGTAGACACACAAAGATGGCAAGAAGGCATTTTGCCATTTGCTGTTAGTTTCTCACTAAAATGGATGCTTTTATTTTGTGAAATCAGTTAATTAATCCATCAAATATTTGGGAATAAAGTTCAAATAGAAGAAAACAATTTGATAGTCATGACCCCTAGTCCTAGCCGACTGGTTTCTTGTCCCCCGAGTCCTTTCCAGCGTAATTGCGAAGGAGGCTTCGCAACGTTTGATAAATAATATCGCTTTGTCGAGCATTTTTGATTGCCGGGTGTTGTGGCGCGCACCTGTAATCCAGCTGCTTGGAGGTTAGAATCGTTGGACGGCTTGAGTTCGGGACCACTGGTTGCTGTTTGCCTATGTCGATCGGGCGTCCGCACTAAGCCAGACGTCAACATGGTGACTTTGAAGGAATTCAATGTGACCAGGTTAGATAATGAGGAACGTATAGGCCCAGGGTGGCAACACAGCAGGCAAAAGTTCCCGCGCCGGGCAGTAGTGGGATAGCGCCTGTGAATAGGGAATAGTCGCCAGCCCGCGCAACATAGTCGGACACGGTTCTGCTTTTTCACAAATTCTATTAACATTTTTCAAAACTTTACTTAATTCGCTTCTGTTGGTAAATTAATTTCTGGTTTTTGCTATGAAACAATTTTGTCTAAGAATAATTTTTCATTAAAAACCAAAGGATTTTAAGAATATTGAGGTGTTCTTATGAAAAGGGATTGATTTAATTTAATTAAATTAAATATAATATTAAGTTTCCACTATTTCGTGCCATATTCAAAATTAATTGCATATCTTCAATTTTTTAGCCTACGGCGATGGCAATTGAAAATCAGTGTTGCATACATTTGTACGGTGGCCCACAGGTGCCACGGCAAAACTTTCTTTTTCACGGCAAAACTTACTTTCTCACGGCAAAACTTTCTTTTTCACGGCAAAACTTACTTTCTCACGGCAAAACTTTCTTTTTCACGGCAAAACTTTCTTTCTCACGGCAAAACTTTCTTTCTCACGGCAAAACTTTCTTTCTCACGGCAAAACTTTCTTTCTCACGGCAAAACTTTCTTTCTCACGGCAAAACTTTCATTCTCACGGCAAAACTTTCATTCTCACGGCAAAACTTTCTTTACGTGTTGTTGTGTACGTGATACTTAGATCTAATCAATGCTTTAGACGTTTTAAACTTCGCAAAATTTGCGAATACCTACATCTTCTCTTGATAATTCTTGCAGAAAGACAGCCCAGAAATGTTCTAGAATTTATCTAGGTTGGGCTAGGCTAGGCCTATATGCCTATCTCAACGAAACAGTACCGCATGCAAGGTCTTTGATTCCTTTGTTTTGAAAGCAGTGAAAAAGATCAATTCGTTGAAAATTGGCGTGCACATAAAATTCGTGCAAAAAAATCTCGTACGTGCACTTGGCACGCTCGATTGTGGCTTGTAAAAAACCTATAAATTGGGTATTGTGTTTAATATCATATCATATCGTATTACTCACAGGGTGGGTTGATGGCTAGGTACTTAATTTTTCGAATAATAGTAATAACAATGAATAAAGAAATGAAATAATAAGCATGGGCATAATATAAGGGGAGAAAAAAGTGGTTGCCCAACAAACAACATCCATTGTTTATAAAAATTTTGCCCGACTGAATCATAGTAGATTTCTGCCTGATTATCGCTTTTTTGGAAACTTTTCTATGTTGAGAAACTACAGTTGCCGCTACAGCCCCCTTATCTCCCCAGACCCTTGTCTACTACGCCTATGTCAGAAAAGCAAAAGGAACAAAGCAATACGACGACGAGAATCCAATGTCACGAGATCAAATTTTCAAAATAAATTTAATTTAAGTAATAAATTAAATTCAAAGAAAGTTTTGCCGTGAGAAGTAAAGTTTTGCCGTGAGAAATAAAGTTTTGCCGTGAAAAAAGAAAGTTTTGCCGTGAGAAAGTAAGTTTTGCCGTGAGAAAGTAAGTTTTGCCGTAAGAAAGTAAGTTTTGCCGTGAGAAAGTAAGTTTTGCCGTAAGAAAGTAAGTTTTGCCGTGAGAAAGAAAGTTTTGCCGTGGCACCTGTGGGCCACCGTACATTTGTAATGAAACATTTGAAATATAAATTTTTCTACTAACATTTTTTTCAAGAAAAGTTATCCGGTAAATTGAAATTTAAACATTACAATTTTTCCCCTTAGTATTTTTGTCTTTTAATGATATTTATTACCGTAGAAAGCTTAGTGCGATTTTATACATAAATAATAACATTAAGAATTATTTGTGACATCCTGTGGAAAAGAAAATATTTTTCGGCACTCAATTCCTTTGAACGTTACAAAATAGATCTGAAGCGAAATGTTAGTTCCAGGAGCGTTTACATATTTCTGGAATTAATGCATACTACACATCTAGCAATTATATTGTCAAAGGCAAAATAAAACGTTTATAGTCCAATAGAGAAATTGGCTTTGAAAAAAAAACAATAATTTACAAAAAACTTGATGTTTCAAAAAATTTGTTTTTGTAAAAGCCATTTGTTATTTTTGTACCACCAAAAATTGCTTGCAAAAGAACATAAAAATATTTACCGGTATTTCATAAATCCATTGTGATAAAAATTCGCTTTTAAAAACTCATTTCAGTAAATATTTCATGTAACTGTGTAACTTATTTCGGAAAATTAAGGGGGCTCTTCTAGAGAGGCTTTCTAGAGAGGATAGGATGTTACTAAAAATTCATCCTGTCTTGCCTTAGGCATTTTTATCTTGTAGTTGGCTTTTGTTTTTATCAAATATTTAGTATCTTAAAAGATTGCAATTTAGTATTCATAAGGTTACCTGGCTATCAAAAACTGAAAAAAAATAATTCTTAATTCTAATATGCTCCAGAAAATTTTCATATTTTGATTGAAAACAAGTGACCTTTGCTGCAATGGATAAAATTCTTTTCAAAATTGCTGTTTCTTGAGAAACACTTTGCGCAGTATTTAACGCTGAGGCATAATGTAATTCCACTTCACTTATAAAAAGTCACGAAGCAAAAATATTGCTAACTAAATAGTGTCACATTCCTTCTTAAAATTCTAGGCAAAAATATTGACTATGTAAACATAAGTGTACTTGATTATGTAAAAATAATGTGGTTTATTTGTTTGATTGCGCAAATTGGCTTTCCAAGATGACATAACATTAAAAGCAATAGGAAGACAACCAACATAACCTATTGCCTTATCAAACATTATTGAAAAATTATAAAATAAACGAATTGAATGCTACATACTTTTCTTCTATTATGCTAGTATTATACATTTCCATAAATGCTTTCATGATAAAGAAATAAAGTAGAATTGAACAATTTTTGGCGGTACAAAATTTGAAAATGGCTTTGAAAAAAGAAAACATTTCACAACATTTTGAACCACAAAAGAGCCAAGTTTATCTTAAACTACAATGGATTGGCAACATTTCCTTGCGATTCACAAGTCAGATTGAACAAGCCATCACAAAATATTCGCTGTCCATCCTTCTATTGTTTACAGCACTAGGAGAGCCCTTCCAACAGTTCCTAACTCCGAAAAGAGTTCTGTTGTTTATGAATCTACGTGCCAGTGTGATTTTGGCTACGTAGAACGCACAACCCAAATATTGGGGGATAGGATATATAGGCACGAAGTACTGATTGGATAACTAAACTGGTCATGTGCTCGCATTATTCTGTTTGGCCTATTTCGATCCAAAAATTGTTACATATTTTGAATCTTGTTCATTCGGAACCTTATTCTAAGGTTTTATACATTGAGGAGTTTCAGACGAAAAAGCTTTTAGAATTTTGCAAAATGTTTGCTTTTTCAATTTTTATATTTGTGCTATAGTAAAGATTTGTGCTTTAGTAATTATTTGTGATAGGACTAAAGATTTAAAACTTACGGTAGTGGCAAATCTTCAAACCTTTATTAGCCTGATATCATATACAATTGATAGTGTTAATATTGTAAGGGAGAACAAGAATTGATTAAACCAAACAAACAAGGTATAAACAAAATTAAAATAAAGTTTGTTTTAATTATTTACCCATTGTTAGTAAAAGAGTAAACGAACCTGGTCGAGAGATTTTCTTCTTGTGGGCGATTTTCCAGGCGAATCATGTTGTGGTTCATTATCATCTTGTTCAGATTCAGAGCTGGAACCAGATCCATCAATACGATACCTAAAACAATAAGAGTAAGAATCAATTACTTCTCGTCTCAAGAAAGAAGAGAGACATCTGAATTAGTTTATAAAAAGCCGAGCTAGCCAGTGGCCTAAAATCATTCGTCTACTCTGTATTATTAACTAAATGTCTCAATAGAGCTGCCTTTGTTCGCCATGGCGTAACAAAAAACTACGACAAGAATAATATACAGACGTGATATTTTTCCAAACTTTTTTGAACAAAGTATAACTAGTCCAAACTTTGGCGACCTCGCGAGTTACCAAAGTAGGAGAACTAGTATGAACTATGAAAACAAAGCCATTTTCAAGCTACTTAATATTTGACAAAAGGATTTAAAAGCTCGTTCTGTATTTAAAAGAACTGAGACTCAATGTTGTTCTAATTAGAATTAACGCACATACTCCTTTACTGATATTCTTTCTTTCCTTTTGGCACAATCCTTTATCCATTTATGACCAACGATCTTTCCTTTTCCTTTTCAAGAGATAAAAGCAAGATTATGATACGAGTATATTTACATTGATGGTGATTATGACTGATAGTGAATATGATTTATGATGATTATGATTGATTATCATGACTGATGATTATCATAACTGATGATTATTATGATTGATAATGGATTTGATTCATGATGATTATGATTGATGATAATGATTGATGATTATTATGACTGATGATTATTATGACTGATGTTCATTATGATTGATAATGGATTTGATTCATGATTATTATGATTGATGATAATGATTGATTACTATTATGACTGATAATCATTATGATTGATAATGAATATGAATCATGATTATTATGATTGATGATAATGATTGATGTTCATTATGATCGATAATGTTTACGATGGTGCTGATGATTGATCATGTAATGATGACGTCATTTGTTCAAGGTTAAAGAAAAAGCACAAACAAGAAATTGTGACTTACATCTCTACCCATCAACAGCAAAATATGAATAAAAATGACAGCCATACCTAACACTTGGTTGAACTTTGGTGTGTTTTTGAATGCACATCTAAAAATGACAAATGAGTATAAGGAGGCCCTTTAAGATATCTCTATATACTAATGAGAACGGTTCACCACAAGTATATATAAAATAATTCTTGCAAAATTCCGATCACACACCAGAGAAAGGGGGAAGGGATTATTGTCTTCCGATTGAGCGACGCTTCAGTGTTGATTTGAGAAACTAGAGAATCTTCTGACGTCATGTTGAAAGATTAAAAATTCTATACATTGAGAAACTGTGGGGTAGCAAATATACTGCTGTTTCAAATCATTTAAGGTCCTTCCAAGTAGAAATGACGACAACTGGCGCTTAACATAGACACACATATAAATTGACAAATAAGGCATACCAAAGACCCTAAAACTGAAGCTCTTATACATTCTCTTCAAATTTGATTTTAGGACATTGATTGCATAACACAGATCAAAGATTTAACCAGATTATTTTTTGCTCAAAATTTAGCATTTATTTTAAAAAAATTCATACATCTATTGTAAATTATGTTTAAATTATTGTAAATTACTTATTGTAAATTATATGCTGATGCTTATTAAATTCGATTTGTAAGCAGTTTATTTCTAATAACAAGTATTAAACATGGTTCCCTGTAAATCATATCTGATTATCTTAAGGCCGCAGACCTTGCCAAAGTGGAATGAAAATTGATTCCATTTAAAGGTAGACCAAGGAATAAAATACCTTACATCAAATGGGTACATCCAGGAGCCCAATCAGGACGATACTTTGCACCCATTGAGATTGCTTTGTCTCTCAAATCACTTCGTTCTGGATTCTTGTAACCACTGAGCACAAATACGACGTTCTCCTTTTCAATAAACAAACAACTTTTACTTACTGAAAATTTTACGTACACAGGCTTATCACATAGAACAGAAAAGATTTTCCCATGAAGATATGAAGTTAAACAATTTACGGGGTAGGGATATTTGGAAAAAACAGCAGCTTGGAAAAAATATTAAGGCTCAACGACAATATGTAAATTATTCTTTCGATGGAAATCGTCATCAAGAAATCGAAGCCTGAGAGCAATTGCTTTATAAACCATCGGAAAAGGAGGATGTGACCAAAATTTGAGACAAACTACTCTTTAACGACAAAAGCCAGATTGTTTTAGAATAAAAAACCATACCATTAATTTATGGAAGGCCAGGCCTTTATATTTCACGCGTTCTGAAACAAAAAGGAAGGTTAGCGAGCAATGAATAAATTAAAATATATGATAACTATAATAATGGTAAAAATTATAATAATGGCAAAAATTAGCTAATAATTAAGACTAGCCATCATAAGACTGCATTAGCTCAAATATATCTGACAAATAAAAACGAGCGATATTTAGTCTCTGTAAGGATTGATTAGCCTGTGCCCCAGTCCACAAATGGATTGATACAGGCTAGGATTGATACCCCATAAGAAATAATTAGCGATCTAATGTTTGATTATATTTGAAGGATTCAAGGAGCATCAAAACTCAAACTAGAAGCGAAGAATAACGATCCTTTAAAATAAATTGAGAAATGAAGAAAATCACTTTTTGATCTTTTCGGTGGAGGATCTTTTACTTCTGATTCTCTCTTTGGAGGCAGCTGCAAAGATACGTAGGACAAATATAAGAACAGGAACAACACAAAATAGGTTTTACTGCTCCATTTCACTAGAAACCCGTTTGGCCATTACTCATGCTTGTCTTGAGAGATCAAATGGTTGGTTGATAATGGTTACTACTGGTTGCAGCTGTTAGCGACGATTACCATTGGTTACAACTGGTTACTACCAGATACCATAGTTACAACTGATTACAATTGAATGCCAATGGTAACAAACGACTACAACTGGCAATAAAGGTTACAAATAGTAATTTTACGTAATTTCTAAACGTACAGGCTCTATTTTCAAATCCGTCTTTTTGATTTCATCATATTTGCGTTTTGTTGCCTAGAATAAAAATGAGATCTTCAGCATTTCCATCTCTTGACACAAATTCTTTGTCTTTCACCAACAATATTTTGCTTGGATAAAATTGTACATTTTTAAAAGCATACCTTTTGTTTTCAAAACATTTTCAAAACATTGGCACCATTAACTCCTATAGTCAATTTCAGTTTTCTACATTTTAAAACTCCACTACAATACTATATACAATAAAAATTCAATTAAAAGCAATACAAAACAAAGTTACAAGATAATAACATGATAATTTCTTAATGAGGATAATAACATGACAATCCCTTAGTAGCTAGGCTAATCGAGAAGAGAGCTCTCCTTGCTGCAAGATTGGATGAAGCTTAGGAGAAAACAATTTCCATATTCTTCCTTCTTCTTTTATCTCTTTTTCAATATTTAATTTTCACTCTAGTACTTTTTCCTTTCTCCTTTTCTTCATTTCTTTTTCGGTGAACTAATACTCGTGTTTCCAGCATGTCAATTCTGTCACGATACTGTTGTAATCAAGGCCAGCTTAAGAGATCAAGCTACAATCTTAAAAGCAACTAGCGAAAAAGTCATTCCAGACTGACTTGATCATTATTCATTCTGCAAGTTAAAATGGCTCTTTCGGTTTTCAATAGGATTATTATAGTACTATTCATAGAATTAACATATAAGTAACAATTCACGACCATCGCACCTCTTGCTTTTGGCCTACTGTGTGAGCACTACTGACTTTCGTACGATGTTCAGGTCGTTTCATTTGAGTTTGGCCTGATGAAACAGGAGTACTCTGTTTATATGACGCTGAAGAGGGCATTTTACTCTTTTCCACGCTTGCACGTTCATTTTCAGAAGAATGCTCTTTTTTCTTCACCAAAACTGCGCTCTTAACCGAAGGTGATGACGTCACATAATTTGACCTTATAGAAGAACTTGCATCTCTAGCAGCAGCAGCCATTGTTGGAGAAGAAACAGTTGATGAGGAGTGAAGCCTTTTTGCAAAGTAGGAGCCCACTGCAATTTCATCCTTGTCTGATTCCTCTTTCAAAGCAAATCTTCCAATCTTGGCTTTAAAATCCAACTACAAAAGAAATCGATAATTTATATACATACACAACAAACTTTGGTGTTAGAAATTTACAGTTTTAAGCTGGAGCGAGTTTAATGTGATAATCTGGCAACCATATTTAGTTTTTATGTACCTGCAACAGGATTTTTTTCTGTTGTCGACATTTAAAAATAAGTTTGGGTCTTCTCTTCAAGATTGAATTGTTGTCAGAATTAAGGATGGCAAGTTTTTTTCCAAGCAAAGTCAACCTTATTTAGATTTGTTAGAAAAGGCCTCTGCCATGTAATAGAAAAGTCCTCTTGCTTTCAATTAAAAACATAATTTCTCCCTAGTTTAAACATAAGAATTTTCATATATTAATGCGATAAGTTTTAAAAAAAGTGAAAATAAAACTCCCAATTGGATGGCTCTAAGCTGCTAAGAAAAAATGGAAGTAGAAGCACAGAGAAGCAGAAACATCTCATGTAAAACTAACTCTAAGACATAGAAAGATGAAGTTTTAAAATACAAAACTTCATTGCATAGGCAAGAGGCCTAAATGAAGCTTAGATATCTATATGCAGGGGGGGCTGGTGTATAGAGGTGTAATGCATTGTTTACAATACTGTACACGTTTGAAATACTGTACATACAGAGTTGGAATTTTCGTTGGCAGTTGCCTGTTTTTCTTCTTGCGGAGGTGAGTGAAGGTTTATAAAAGACAAGCCATAGCCATCATCCTTTATGGAAGATGAAAATAAAAAATTAGCCTTTCAGCATTTGCGCAATAGTTTAAAAAAGTGCATTTAGAAAGGAGAAGCACAGCATTTAAATTCTCAATACTCTCAATTTTCTTACTTAAACCTGGACAATGTTATAATCTACAACAACACTGAACATGGAAATAAAAAGCATATTTATCTTAAAATTTCAAGAGGATGGTGTCATATCTGGTATATTTTCCCATAAGATTGATTAAACACATTGAATATTATTTCATTTATGTACTTGATCAGTTTAAAATAAATGAAACCATTTACTCCAAAGTATAGTAAACTAGAAACAAAACATTTGTATAAATAAATATGCAGAAAGTGCAGAAGAGAAATATGATAATGTTGCTAGTACTAAATTCCATGTATTGTCAACCTCCCTCCCATAAGATCTTATCCTTGTACCTTGTTATAAGGTTGTGAGCAAACAAGCTTTACTCTGTCCCATTTTTCAGATGCAACTGCTTTGTTGAGCTTTTCATTTCCTGAAAAAATAAATTGGCTATTTGCTTAAAAAAGTAAAGATAGCAAGGACAATGGCAGATGATATTAGTTTTCAATCCTCTGAAACAAACTAAACAGCTGGTGAACAAGTAACTTACTTTATAGGCCTGCAGGTTCTCATGCTGTAGTTTCCATTAAACATTGGAAGACAGAAATTTTCAAGACTTATAATTGGATCATTTGATTACCATTTTTCTTTAAGAAAAATAATCATTTTCCAAAATATTTCCAGAGGGCATGTTAGACCTTTTTGCAGCATGCTGGAGATACTAGAAAATCATTCAAAATCAAATTTCACTAATTTCAAACAATAAGAAATATAAGTTAATGTTTGAATACATATATGCAGGAGATTACATTTACAGCTCTATATCTTAATCAATAATAATAATTGCTAAAAATATAAGAACAGTAGTACAATAAATTTGTATATTATTTGTATTAGTTGTTTCAGAATGCCAAAAAGCTTTTTAGGTGAAAGAAAGAAAATTGAAAATAGACTAACCAAAAATACGAACTCTGAAGGTACCAGCTCCTGATTTGCTTTCTGCTGGACTCATGAATGATGAGGCAACAAGTAGAACCTGTTATGAAACATAAAGAGCATCAGATGAAGCCTTTTTTGCAGGCATTTTTACAAATCGATTTGATAAATTTGTTCTACTTGTTCTAGAAAATCGTAAAAGTTGAAAGAGCTTTTAATGGAGAAGGAAAATTTCCAACTGGCCTTTAATTTAACACATAAAACTTAAACATCTTTAGAACAGTCAAAGCTAGCAGAAAAGATTTCTACATAAATTTGACAGGCTTTTCTTATAAATTTGACAGGATTATCAAATAATATATCTTGCATGTAGGGAATACCAAAAAAATATATTTTCACCAAAATATAATTGCAGTTCATCAGAGCAAGAATAAATTTGACTCAAACATAAAATGGTTCACTTTGAATTCATCTCCTGAATCCCAAGATGACCTTCCAACAAGAACTTCGACAAATGCAGAGCCATTGTTTCCTAAAAACACAAACTGAATTACAATAACATAAACATATATTTTGCAGTTTGAAACCTATGAATGATTATTAATAGTTGACCTTGTAACTCTAGCTGACAAACCATAACAGTATTAAAGAATATTATATAACAAATTAATATAAAATAGTATTATATAAATTAATTATAATCGGAATATGATATGTTGGGAGGTTAACACATGTTTACCAGTTTCACTACCCTGATATGGATGCAGAAAAACTGGGCTGTGCTGGAGTAGCTCTATTTTGAAGAAAAAAACAACACTTCAATGTGAAATGTTTTTTTCCACCCAAAGTTTTCAAGTAATAAGCCGCTTAGTCAGGTTTAGCTAGAAGGGAAACTGTCAAACTTTACATAAACCAGAGAGACCAAGAAGTTCCATAAAACGTTAATTGTTAACACATACCAATATCAATTGAATGAATTTGAGTAGCCTTTTCAAGCTGCAAAAAAAGACAAATAAATGTGAAGCTATCTTTCATTTTGGAAAAAACCCTTTCCATGATCCAACAGAAAAATTGATAAATAGAGCAAACAGATTGAATTACATCAAACAGAGTTGATGATTTACAAAGGAAACAAAGAGATTCATGATAGAACAAAACCTTATTGTTAAATTGTTGCATTAAGAAATCACCTCAGATTGTGATACTTTGATATTAAATAAATATATTATTGATAATTATTAAATAGATAGCTAGTTAGCTATTTAGTAAGTAAGCTAGTTAGTTAGTGACTCAGTTAGTTAGTTAGTAAGTTATTTAGTTAGTTAGTTAGTTAGTTAGCTAGTTAGATAGTTATTAGTTAGTTAGTTATTTAGTTAGTTAGATAGTTAGTTAGTTAGTTACTTGGTTAGTTAGATAGTTAGTTAGTTAGTTAGTTAGTTAGTTAGTTAGTTAGTTAGATAGTTAGCTAGTTAGTTATGTAGTATATTGGGTAGTAGCTTCACCATCTAGAGCAATTTCCAAATTTTTTTTTGATATGTAAACCTCTAAACATTTTTTATAATTTCTCACAATTGAATAAAAGTCTTAAAACTTTGAATCACCAGTCATACATATTTTAATTATATCAAATAGTTTAATCAATAGAATCACTGATTATCAATCAAAATCCAAAATTTCAACTAAGGGGTTGCTTTCTCCTGATTAGTTCACCTTCTGAGCAAGCTCCTCCTTTAAGAAATTCCCTGCATACAAATTGCCTCATAAAGCTGTTTTCTTGTTAGTTTGTGTTTCAGTATTGTCTCTAATTTTGATGTAGCATAATAATTATTCCAATGGTCTTTGAATGTAGTGGGGTTTTAACAGGACTGAACTAAAATGAACTGAACCAAACCAAGCTGAACAGAACAAAACTGAACTGGTAGTTATCTAGTTGGTTATACATATAAGATTGTAAGCATAATTGATAAGAATACTTGCTCTCAAAATCAGAGAGATGTTTATTTCATAATCAACCTTAAATCACCTGAAGAACAACAATAGCTTTGCTTTCTCCTCCAGAGGCACACTTCCATTTATAGTAGTCTTCTAGTTTTAAAAGATTATCAGCTGGATTTTTCTGGTGAAATACAAATGCACAAGTCAGCAATATATTTCTAAAGAGTAGGTCTGACATAACAAAAGAGGTTCAGACAAAACAAATGAAACAACTCACAAGAGGCTATCTGCAGGAGCACAAACAACTTTAACAATGAGGGAGGGGGCTTAATCTTTGAAAAAATTAGCCCCTTGTGCAACAATAAAAGTGCAGGGCATGTTATTATGATACACATCTACCAGACTTGAAACTTTTCCCTGAATCCACTGATTATTACCCAAGCACATCCTAGTCTGCAGTTTTTGGCCAGGCAAAAAGTTATTTGGGTTGGGGTTATAACAGATACCCAAGAACCATTAACATGCATGATGTTACAAATTAGGATAGGATCTAGGCTAAATCATGGGGAGTGTCTTTTATTGAAATTGGTGTACCAAACTTCAAAAATTAACAAAGTTTTATGTGTATAAACGCTTACCAATCCAGCAGTGCTGACCAGTTTATTTTCTAATATAATCGCTTTTCTATTATCAAGACTAACCTACTAACCGCTAGTATGCAATACCCATTATGGAGACTGTACTGTAACATTTAGATTAGATTATTAGATAATATGATAATTATCCTTACTATTTTGGCATTATATTTATTGACAAGGGTCTTAGCCATTGGACAAATAATATAATGTTCCATGAAAAAGGTACAGTTTTTTCTTCAAGAAAAGAGAACAGTTCTGTGTCTATAGACCACTTGTTCCCTAGCTAAGCAAGTCAGGTATGTATTGAATCTATGCCAATCTTTTCTCTTTATATTATAATTGGGGGGGGGGGTGCAGGAACTTCTACAATAATGACCCTGCAAAAATCACTGTACATGTATCAAGTTTGGCTGATCATCGTGAACGTGTAGACAGTGAAAAATAATTGTATAATTATCAATAAATTAAATTTCCACAGCTTCTTGATCTTATTATGTTAGAACACAGGCCACGAAATACAGTACTTCAAGTACTACTTGTATACGTATATACATGGTTGGTCAAAATACAAAATAATCATGGACAAAGTATATCTAAAAACGAAATACATACAGGATCTTCACTTGTAAAAGAAATCACATGCTTTATCAATATTGGTGGCATCTTCAAACAAGACAAAAGAAAGGAGCGTCAATGCCTGCAGTGCCAGTGCCCCTAAACGATATTTTTCAGCGGGAACTAAATTTCATCGAAGAAATAATCACAACGAGGCTACATCACTCTTGAGACTGTGTCCCCCAAAAACAGGCACCGATGAGCGTTGATAAAAATTAGGGGTCTAAAAAAGGGGGGGGGCTAAAACCGTATAAAACAAGGCTTTACTGATAGGCTAGTACTAAATATTTGGCATTTCTCTTAAAAAGTGGGGGTTTCACCTTAGTGAAAAACACTTATAAGGAGAGTGCTGCGATTATAATGATCGGTGGAGGCCAAAGTAAAGGGTTGAATTGCTGAAGTAAATAAAGGAGAGGGCTGTATGTCATGGCAATATGGAGACCAATGACTTTAATTATATTCAAGTGCCAAGGCAGAAAATATTTAAATATTGCAAAAATGGTGTCCTCCTAATGTTAATTTAGAAAAACATTATTTGCCAAGTGGGAAACTGAAACTATCTTTCCTTCCTTAGTAGAAGATATATTTTCAGTATGTTCCCAAATGACAATTTCATAATTCAATTTAATTTAATTGGTATACTACAGAAGAAGAGTGCTATATACACGACCCAAGAAAAGTATGCACTTATCCAGCTTGGTCCGCTAATAACTGAAAAATAAGGAAAATTGAGAGCAACATAATGAGACTAAAACATTAGCAATTTGTAGAAAGATCTAAAGCAAGGATTCCATGCGTGAAAATGGGAAAATTGGGCAGTTATGTAACGATGTTTATAACTTTATTGAAGAGAATAAATCTAGCGATAGTAAATATTGAAGATTTTGCTGAAAAATTCATACCGAGCCTCAGCCAAAAAAATTATTCTTCAATTAAAAAGTGCAGGGTCATCCAGAAGTATATAGATGTGGTAAAGCTGTGGTCTAACGCTAAAATGATTGGTGCATTAATTGTTGCAAAGGTAATGAGGCTTCTTTTGCCTTGGCCAACAATGTTGCATACAAAGTTTGATACGGATCAAAATGGTTACGTTCTGTTTTGAAAACCAGACCACCTAATTTTTTTACCAATTTTTTGAGCTCATTACTGTAAGGCATATCCTGTACCTTCAGACAAATTTACACCTTGGCCGAATAGTGAGTTTTTCCAACCAGCTAAGACAAGGAAAAAATCTAAAATCCATTCAATAAAAAAAATTAACACGTACTTTTGATGGATTGCTTTAAGCAAAATTTTAATCGCGTAAAAAGTTGAATTTCCATGTCATGTCATTGGGACCTTAAAAAATTCTTACTTATTCATTTCATAACCAAGTCATAAATAAAAAAATCAAACCACTTCCTTCCCGTCCCATACTGTTTAAAATGAGTCGATTAAAGAAAATAAAAACATTGCTTCAAGAGCGATTGATTTTTCTGCAAAATTGGGAAGAAACAGAGTGACAAAATTCCAGAAAAACCCAATCTACTTTCATCCAGCGAGTATGATTAAGGTAACAAGAAAATTGGGAAGAAACTGAGAGACAAAATCCCAGGAAAACCCAATTTCATCCAGCGAGTATGATTAAGATAACACTTTATCAAATATTTCTTTCGAAGATTTTTCAGAGAATGATGTAACGAAAGTTATGAGAAAAAATGGAGACTTCGCTTAGCTCTGGTTGTTTGTGAAATCGCAAACTTTTCTAAAGTGTCCTTCGCCATAAATTTCAGGATAATTATGCAAATTTTTGTCTTTTTTCTCTGGGAAATTCCCAAAGAGTTGAAAAAAGCGCGAGTTTCTCCAATTTACAATTAGAGAGATGATTGAAAATATATTTTTCCTCAAGCATATAGTCTTTTCGACGAGAGATACATAACAATGCATTAACTTGACGAATATTGCGGTCCTGCCATCAAACAGTTCAATAAATGTAGACCACATCGGAAACTTTACGGTTTTCCATTCTGACTCGGTGGAAGCATCTACTTCTAAAATCAATCTTCAAAACACTGTAACCAGATACGGAATCTGGCATAAATCACCGCAAGTTGAAGGAAAGATACAGAAACTTTAAAGAAATTGGAGGTATCAAGAACAATTACAGGATGTAGAGCACAGAAGGACAACAAAATTGCAGAAATAACGAGAAGTCAGTTAAGTGACTCTTTATTTAAAACAAATATCAACCTTAAAGCAAAATGAAAAGCAACTTAGCTTTGCAGAACAAGGAATTTTCAACCAAATTTGCAACTAATCACAGTGTATATAGATTATTTCAGATGCATTCAAACCTCTCAACTTATCAATGAAAGAATGAAATGTCTTAATTTGTCAAAGTCTAGATTCATTCCTTTTACTTCAGCTTTGAAAACAGATCTCTTGAAACCTGAAAAAGAGATTGATAAAAAAGATGAAAAAAATAGAATTTAGGTTGTAAAATATCTAAAGGCAATTAAAGCGCAATCTTTGCCTCGTGTTTTCCAAAAATATTATAGAAGACGTTTTTATTTCCTATGTCAAAATCTTACAACACAAAACGTACTTTGAATACTAAACTAGCATTTCTTTGTCGGAAGGATACGACAAATGATTCTAGGAGCATATAGTGAAATTTTATAACTCTATAATTTCAAAGAAACAGCAGTATCAATTTTCCCGTTCTGAGAATTTTTTATGAAAATTTGTTTTTTAAATGCAAAGGATGGATCATATTTTTAGGCAATTTGTCTGACTGTTCATAATAAGTTCATAATAGAAGTGTTTATAATTAAGAATATATTGCATCAAAATCTATTCTTCACTTTATTTTTTCACATTTATGATTATGATTAATGAGCAATGAATAAAGAAAACATTGTATCTTCATAATCTAGCAAAAGAGGCAGGAATGAAGCTTCCCGTGGCAACTAAGCACTTAACATAAGTATAATTGCCATAAAACATTTTTCCTTGCATCTTTAAGCTAGAGAGTACATTTACTTGCCGCAACCATATTGGCACAAACCTCTGCTCTTAACGAACAAAGTTTCTGTCTCTTTTATTTTAATTCCAGTTTGAAGACAAGCTAACTATTGTGAAAGCTGCTACTTACACACTTGTCCCGGCATTTGATAAAATCAAGATATTCTTCTAAACATGTTTCCTCCGTCTGCGATTTACTTGTGACTCGTTCTTCACATGTTTCAAAACTTTTCATTAAAGGTCTACAAGAGGCAGCCTTTGAACAAGATTCTCTTATGGCATCAGCCGGATCTTCAGGGTCTTCCTCATCCTCGTCTTCCTCGTCATCATCGTCATCTAGGCAATCAAAAATGCAAGTCAGGCCTGGCCGTGAGCATTTTAGCAGGCGAGCGGTACATTGCTCTCCTCGGTAAAGTCAGGCGGGCGATTTTTAGTTTCTTCAAAATCAGCAATAAAGTATATGAATAAACAACAGTCGTTAACAGCTAAGTTTACAAAACAAGATGGCGATTCACCGACAGAAACAAAACAATAGTTTCGTATAGTCGCAAATCAACAACATTCTCACTAACAAGGTTTGAACAGAACCAACTAGCATTCATTCGAAAACTGTCATGTTTATGTTCAAGTACTTGGAGGCTTGTCATTTCCGAGTTCGTTGTCACAGGGACATACATTCTCTCAAGATTTTGAGAGAAGACAGTTTCGTACCGGTCCTTGAAAAGCTATATCAATCAGTGGGGGATCTCCTTTATACTTTAATTAACATTATAGCCAGTTTAAGAAATCACAGCTGTTCATAAATTACTTAAAGTTGTTTAGCGTTAAATTTGCACCAAACGAACGTCACCATCTTCTTTTCATCTATCTTCTCAATTTTTCTTCCAAGAACAGCTTCTTTGTCGTATTTTTCGAACGTTCTTAGCTCAACAGTTGATCCTTTCTGGTTATTCACCATGTTGAAACGATTCGGGTTTCACATGTTAGAAATATTATGAATACCTTAAAGGCAACACAATTGAAATGTCAAATGACATTTCAATTGGCCTTCGAAATAGCATTCTGGCGAAAATGAAACCATTCAAAGGATTCTCTTCCCTATCCGATTTTAAAAAAGGCTTCGTTTGTTTTTCGAGTGACTTGTTCAGTAGTTAACCAGTTTACGGGAGTAGAAAACGTAGGAGATCAAGTTCCTATCAATATTTTAGTTTTACTTCAAGAGGTGTCGAGAAATGAAAGGAAGACCAAGGCGCAAACTGACATTCAGGCAAGCGAAGAATACCAAGAGGCGAGCGTGGAGGCCCCTAAGGTCAATGGCCCGCCTCAAACGGCCAGGTCTGCAAGTCTCCAAATAAACCATTAAAAAATAGTAAGCAGAAAGTATGAAAAAATGGAAAGTTTTATGGATGGCAAAACTAGGTGGATTTTAGAGCAATGGGAAATAAGCAAATTGTTTGGAAAAGAGAAAGACAAATATGGCATTAACAGGATAAATCTGTGCATACATATTTGTTAGAACCTTTATACTTCTGTTTTTTCCTGCAACAGCAAAAAATATTTATTCTGAATTCTTAAAGTTTAACAATCCTTGTCTTAAAATCAACATCTTTACACTGGTAGCTTGCATTCTTATCAGTCCACATATGCCATCACAAAACACAGAACTAGCATTTTCTGAATTAATACAAGGAAACCCACACTCTTAATATATTCAGCCAATTAGAAAAAAGGCAGCTTCAAAGGTCGGCTGGAATATCAAAGCTATGAAGGTATTTTTCTTGAAATCATACCTAATTATGCAAAATTTGAAAAAATATGTTTTCAAAATTCATTAAAGAAGGGAGCCAAAAATTTCTTAAGCACCTTCATCTTCTTCTCCCTCTTCTTCATTTGCTGCTTCAGTTGAATCTTCTTCTTCCTCAGGCTCTGGGTCCCCAGCACTGGCATCAGCTTCCTCCTCAACTACAATTTCACTTTGTTCCTGGTCATCTTCAGTGACTTCTGCTTCATTACTTTCAAAGGATACATCTTCCACCACTTCAGCTTCACTAGAGGCATCTGCAAATACTTCTTCATGCATCTAGATTGAAATTGCATATCATATAGAAGTTGTTTAATTGTAAACATATCAATGCATGGATTTATGGTTTTATATCCATTTCACAGCTAATTCATACAAAATGGTTATATTCATAATATAGTCACCAAACTCCATGTGCAATCAATCAATTTTAAAATGTATTTTTATGGTGTCATGAATTCTAGTATATGGTTTAATTCTAGTAGAATTCCACATAATCTTTGCTGAGTTCTTCTCCTGAATGATCCCACAAAGTTTCTGGTGCTTATTCCTTTTCCTTTCTATGCTGTATTCATGCAGCTCACAGCAGGGGCATTGTGGCAAATGAATTCTAGAGGGGGCCAGAAAGATAAATTTTTTGATAAAATTTATTTGATTTATTTGAAATAGAAGCATTTCATGTAAGTGTAAAGGGGGGTGAGGCAGAAAAACTCATAACTTTTGCCTTAGCTGGAAAGAAACTTAAATTCACTTTTATCTTGTCTCTGTTTCTTCATACTTACAGTGAACGCCCCCCGACATCCGTTAATTAGGAGAACGGTAGGGTAGAATAAAGTTACTACCTGAGGCAGCATCATGGTTGCTACCAGAGGGGAAATTCTTATATGATCTAATGCTTCAAATTCGTTGGAAATCGCATCATTTGAAGCAAATTTTTAATGATAAAATCTTATTCTTAAATTGAATATCCACTGGAGGAAATCAATGGTTTCGATTGACTTCTACATTTTTTTACCTTATGCAACATTATTTCATAAATTTTCAAATCTGGGACACAATTTTTAAAAATCTGGTGATAGGCACAAATTTGGTACTGTCCTGGCCTTCAATATCAAATAAAGATATAATTTATACCAATTTTGACCAATTTCCATAACCAAATTTAGCCCTTGAAGTTTCGGATTTTAACTGACAAAATTCGAACAGCAAATCACTCTATGGTGGGAATCGGTAAATCCTGAGAAATCATTTTGTTTTGTGGAAATCTAGTATCTTTTTTACAAAAGTGAATTGCCTCTCAAATTTACGGTAAGTACTTTAGTCCAAGTAATTTATGTTGCTAAGAGTTTGAGAATCACCCACAGCTCACATTTGAGAATTTTCCAAAAAAAACAATGATTTTCCGAAAATCCATCAAATTTTGAGAGCAGAGGGGGGCCACACCTAATACGACAGCCTATTTTGAACCTTTTACTACCATCAAGTTTTCGGACTTAACATGTGCCTGATAAAGTAATTAATGCTATTTTGCCTATCAATTTCTGATGTTCTGTTGCTATTCTTTTATGTTTTCAATTTTTTGCTGGTATTTTAATATTTTAATATCTGAAGTTTTCCTGAATTTGGGCCTGCCTTGTTTCTTTTGTTGTTCTTATTTTCTGGGCAAATCTTAGCCTGATGTTTCTTATAAGAGTTGTGCAGCACAATATTATTTCTTCGTTTTATGCCAGTATGCTAAAGAAATTATTAAGTCCATGCAGGATGATTTATCCGGTGTAACTTACATGAATTCCATCCAGGTTGGAAAACATGTATGATTTTGCAGACAAACAATGCGACCAACAGTACATTATCAGCTGCGACCTGTGAGCGAAGCATTCAAGCTGTGAGCAACAATGCTCATTGTATGGTATATAAATTTCTTGATATTTTGGGTCACTAGAGGTACGAGGTGCGAGCACAAGAAGTCTAGCATCGCTGCAAGCATATGCAAGTTTTCCAGCCTGGGATTCCATACTGGTCAGTGGGAAGTAAAACACTTGTATACTCAATATTTCAATTTAAGCAAAAGATGCAAACCTAAAAAAATTATAAATTTCTTGTATCCCAGAAGAATTGACAACAAGAAACATTTTAGTCACCAGCCAGGCCAGTCAGAATATTGAAATAATAACAATTGAAATCATACTTATTTCCATGGTTGCATCACATTTCCTCAACAATATCTCATTGTAACCATCGAAGCGAAAAGTTTGTTATGAGGAATTTTTTCGCGAGCATTTAAGTACGTTTCTGGAGACTAATAACCAACAGATCTTAGTTACGGGAAAGAAGGGGAGGCGAACTAACTTAGCCTAGGCCGGCCCAGTAATCTGAATAACGAAATCTGCCGGTAAAAAAATCAATTATAAAGGTCAGAACTCTAATTTTCCATTATTTTCGTGAACCATCCTCATAAATACATTACTATACCTCAGTCTGCTGCTCTTTAGTCGTCTCCTCGGAGTGCTGTTCGTCTTGGGCAGAGCTTGTGCCAGCAAGGTTATCCTCATTTACCATCTTGATTTTCAGAGGCTGATGTCAACCATTTTCAGAATTAAAACGAGGTCGAATGATAATGGCGACCAGACCCACATCTTGGTGAAAAATTTTGACTAACGAGTAGTAGTGTAAGAAGGTAACTAAAGTAGTGGTGCAATATGATGCATGGAGATGACCTTTATGGCACTTTCACAGCAAGGGTTTTGGCTACCATGATTGCCTTTTTGGTGCCTGAGAAAAGTGCATATCAACGTACAGGCACGGCAGAGCAGGGGCAAAGAGTGCAAAATATTGAAAAAGCGAATCACTAGTAAAGCCCCTTTTTATTTGGTTTTAGCCCCGCACTATTTTCTCCCCGGCTTTTCTCAATACTCCGCAGTTCCTGACATATGTTAGTTAGTTAGCTAATGTAATGCTAGTGGCCAGTGCCTATTTTAAAATACAAAGCATGTTTTGGTCTAAAACTTAGAAAACGGCGTCTTCGTATATCACTGTCGAAAAAAGTCGGTCTCAACAAAATCTGTGCATCTTTGCATTCATGGTGAAAACCAATATCGACTGCCGATCCAACGGCTAATATGATTCAGCCTGCGCTGAATGCTTGTTTTCGGTATTGAGCAAGGTAGATGTCAGGGGCGGACTGGCTGGTCGGGCTATTCGGGCGATCGCCCGAAGGGCCGGTCGGTTTAAGGGCCGGCTGATAAAAGTGCAAAAAAATAAATTAGCTTAAAAAGTGAATGCGAGGCAAAAAAAGTTTTCAGTGACTTTGCGGGAAAGAATAAATATACACGTTAGTACTTCAAAACCATCAAGATTATGAATTCATTATTGTCACCGCAGCCCAAACACTTTTCTTCAGGAAATATGTTATTGACATCTTGTTATATTTTTTCTCTTGACGGTATTTCCTTTTTGGCAACATATTATACTGTAACACCCCAGTTTCAATGCGATACATAAGATTTTAACCTGCCCTGATTTTTTTTTACTTAGCTTTTGCTTGAAGCTGGTCATGTTTTTCCCTAAGCACAAGCTATTGCTAAATGTGATAAATTTAAAAGTTCAAAAAATTATAGTTCACTAAGCGATTTGCTCTGTGATGTGAAGCAATGAAGAGGACACACGTAGAACAAGGGAAGAGCAAGAAGACTTCAACCAAAGGTGGTGCACAGAAATTTCGTGAGGAAAAGCTGCGAGACTTAAAAAAGGATTCAGCTACGATACAAAGCTTTTTTTATCAAGCAAAAGCCACAAACGTCACAAAAAATAGCAGGGTCTTGCTCTTCGCTCCTTTCAATAAACTCATACAAGTTATGGTAAGTTTATAAGGCCTATACTATCATAAGTCAAATGGACCCTCCGCCCAACAGGGGTATAGCGCTACACGATAAAATTGAACAGGGGTGCCCATGTTTTCTTTTTGGGGTCAGAAATTGACGAAATGATATTTTTGGGATGCTTAAAATCATTGTGGTTTCCCGGAGGATTAGAAAGTTACTTGTCACAAGTGGAGTGTGATAGAAGCTTTTCCACAATAAATATATAAAGAACAGATTACGTAGAAATTTTTCGCAGCCAAACCTGGAGTCCTTCATGTTAATGTTCTTAGAAAAACGCCTGTTAGATGACATCCAAACCGATCACATTATCAACATATAAGTTGCTGTATTTAGAAACAAAGTCAAACCAATGATTTTTGTTTATACTATTTAGTCAGCAAATGACATATTTAATATGTTCTGTTAAGCATGTTCTGTTAACCAGCATTCATCCATGCACAAAATTGCTGAATTTAAAAACTTTTTTTCCTTACAAACTAACATTTACTTGCATTTTCCGAGGAGTTTTTTATTTGCTATTTTTGTGGGCCGGTTTGATCAAAATTTGCCCGGGCCAAAAAAATTAGCCAGTCCGCCCCTGGTAGATGTTGCAAAACAAGCCTCGAACTTCCTTTATTTTGAACGACAATCTTTGATGTCATTGCAGTTTGATGACCTTTTAGATACGATAAGGCTCCGTTGCACCTATAATTATAGCTAAGTTCCCTTTTACTGTTAATTTTTGGATTTATTCTGTTTAACAGGGGTGAAAATACCGGGGGTATGGGGGGGGGGTGACAACCCCCCAATCTTAAAAATAGCCGATTTTGCAGGGCAATCGAAGATTTCGCAGGTTACCAAGAAGAGCTTTATTACCACGCAGAAATGCCACCTCTGAAGTTCGAAAAGGGCCGTTTACGAATTTTTAAATGGAAATATTATATTTGTTATAAACCTCCCGTCCTGACATTGCATTTTAGAGAACGGAACAGGTATGTCAGGAAGAGCTCCGCTATTAGCAGAGCGAAAGCATTCCTTACCGAAAGTCATAGCCAATGGATGCAATGATTGATGCATAAGTTTATGAGGGCAAGGTTGAGTCCACACAAATTAATTTAAGTTGTAAATTATTTTCATGACAGGTACGGCGCCACTGGGGGGAATAGGGGGCTGGAGGCCCCCACTTTGGTCAAGATAACAATTTTTATCATTTTTTCTATGACTATTTTACAGTGTATGAAATAAAAAGAGAATAAACGTTTAAAATGTCGATTTTAATTGATCTAATTGCTAACTTATTCACGTACATTTTTTGTTATTTTTCTTTTATTTGCATTAATTCAGTAAATCACTGTTTGTATCATTGCAATGTTTTCATTTTGAAAGTGTAAACATGGCCTTCTCGAGATAAGAAACTCCACATTTCTGTTCAGGAAATAAAATTCTCCCAATCAAAACAACATTGCTCTGTCATTCACATCTTTGTGCAATCTGAAACAAAAGGTTACCGTTTCTTTCCTTCCACAACGTCTATCACTAGACTTTTAGCATACCATCCCCCCTCCCTATTTTTTCAATAAACAATAATCAGTTTTTTAGCAGTATAGTATTTTGCTAAATTTTAGTCTGGGAGATGCTTTTTAGCCCTTTTACAAGGTATAATTTCAAAATTTTTCTTCACGTCGGACCCAACCATGGTGGGTCCTCCTACCTCAGTAAACTTGATATGCCATGAAATACAAGATTTATTACAACGGAAAATCAAATTTTAAATTTAATTTACGCTCACGTAAAAAAATAGATATTTCATAAGCAATGAAATTTCAAGTTTGTTTTTATTGCTTAGAAGTTTGTTCTTGGTAAAGACAAATTTACATTGGTAAAGCTTTCACTAGTGACCTATAGACAAACCTTTGCTACGAGGTATGCAGGGCACCACTCATTTTCGCAGGGCAGAAACCCTTTTCACCCCCCCAACCTATCGGCCAAGTTACGCCCCTGCTGTTAAATACGTAATAGAAGACGAGACGATTTCTTCAGATGTTTGTGTTTCTAATCACCAGTGAAGGAATATTACCAAGACTCTACAAAAAATTCATTAAATTGCAAAAATTATTTATTCGGTGCAAGATGATAAATCTGTACCAAACTCTGTACTAATTTCTGTATCAATTGCAAGATATCCAATTTTTGAAGATTCTCTAATACAGTTAGTTAAGTTCTTCAAAACCGTTACTGAAGTTCTTGCCTTCAAATAACAAGCAACAAGCTCTTTTGCTTCGTTCAGTTGACAAGCCGACCTTAACTCGGCATTGTCCGTCAGGGCGTCACTAAAGGAGGGCGCTTTTTCCCATACTTTGTTCGTCGACACATAATTTTGTCTCAATCTTTTTTAACAGTTGTACCGTGTAAAGATTTCTGTAGCAGCTTAACTTTAAAGTATTGCACTAGAAATGCTTCAAATTGAAATGAAAGGGAATATCAAAACAGAAACACACAAAAGCAGCAAATAAAATTACTTATCTCGTGACCACAAACAACAAAAAGAGTTAGGCGTACCCTTATTGTCGGCAAAAAAGCAACATTGTATCCCTCCGAAAATTTTTGTTGGCTTCACCTCTGTTGCTCGCCCACCTTTTCAGTGCTAGCTTCTTACCTGAATACACTTGCATGACAAAAGTATTAGAAAGATCGCTTCAAAGCAAAATTGTGTTAATATCATGCTTAATGTCACGCAGCCGACAATTACTGCAATTTCTAAATTACTTTTCTCATTATTCTAGTGAAAAACAATCTTCACTAGCTTTTTGTGAGATACTTCATTCTTGAGAAATACTGGCCTAAAAACCAAATCTTTCAAAAAGCCTTTCAAAATTCGTGGCATAAAAAGTCTCGTAAGGTAACCTAATATAAAGTCAAAACCAACGGTTAGAAAACAAAGCCAAAGTTAACAAATTTTTTTAAATTCAGATTCTGGTACTTTCTTAATTCCGAAATAGAAATAACTTTGAGGATTAAATGTTTTTGGCTGAAAAGTTTAAAAAAGTTCCGTTACTAGGCAGTCAAAATATAAGACTTTTATTGTATACGACAAGCAGCAATTAATGATGAACCAGAAGTTCATCAAATAGTGGTAAACTCCAGAAAAAGAAAAGAATTTCGGTATAACGCCAAATCAAATCTGGAATTAAATAAAATATAGATAAATAAAGCTTTTGGCAGCAAAATTAATTCGTTTTGAATTATACAAAGCTAATAGATATAAATCACAACTAAAGGTAAAGCAAGCAAAGAAACGACAGGTAAACTGGCACACTGCTACAAAGCTGCCCCTGGAGTAAAAAAAGGGAAGTTTGATGCCTCAAGGCGGCATTAGCATTTAAGGGTCTGGAATTGTCAAACTGACCTTTGAAAAGCAAAGGGCTGAGAGACAGTTAACGTGAAAAGTACCAAAATTAGAGACTCCTAAGCAACATAAAAAGGGCTGAAGTTGCACTTAAAACACAACTGGGAAAATGACAATACACACCATTGGGACCAGAGGTGGTGCTATCTTGGAAATAACTAGGTTGAAAATGACAAAAGGAGGTATTTCTCCTCATGGCTTGAAACTACTGTATGTAATGAAATTATGGATGGGTTTAGTTCACAATCAGAAAAATTTCCCGGGTATTGTTTAAAAAATTACTCAATGCTACAGGAAATTAACGCAATTTGGCAGAGACACAGTCGTGACTTTAACGAAGTAAAAATCCAACATCGGTAGAGAAATTTTTGCATAGGGTTCATGGGTACAATAATGTTCATTCGTACACTGGACATGTGCATGCAAGAAGGAAGCAAAGCAACGAGAATGTTGAAGAATGTGCTCTGTGTACCGCAAAGCATTGTTGGATGTAAAGCAGAGACATTTCAAAACATTTATGATAAAATTACGGCCTTTCTAATCCAAGACAGACACAATCTATGGCTGAGCAAATCAACGCAAGAGTACAAAACTATCCCGAAAAAATCAATGAGAAACTGATGCTTTTCATCTAAATCGTCAATTTTGTTATAGTATCTTTTTCGCCCATGTAATAGATGTCAAAATTAAGATTCTCTAACAATCAGTTTGGCTAGTTAGAAGCAAAATTTTACAAATATAGCAACCTTTGGTAGGACTTTCTTTATTAATCAAAATAATCTTGAAGGACTAGAGGAGTATCATAAATCAGGAATCTGTAGTTGTTTGTACAAAAAAGTCTTCTGTCCCTTTGAAAAAGTCTCCCTTGCAGTCTAAAGTAAACATCCAAATATTCATCTGAATTACACCGCTGGTAGAGCTCAATATGAAATTGAAACATTGAGGAAGTAAGGATTCGGAGGAGGAAAATGTAGCAAAAGTAAAGAATTGCAGTCATGCGTCGTATTCATGTTGCCTCGCTCTCTTTCTCCTGTAATTTTGCGTCTGGTGATTGGAATGTGATCTAAAGAACTATAAATAACCCTTCTACACAAAAAATTCTAGCACAACACCAATAAGCATATATTTAGTAACTCTATGCTAAATCTTTCCTGAAATTATAATAGGTTTACATACGACCCTGAAACTAAACTTTTACAGAATATTTATGTTGTAAACGGATCTTCAGTTTAACGGTGGCTTGAAGTTCAAGAGTAGATAAAGTAGTATTCAGGTCCCATCAGTTCTACGTTAGGGGAAATGCAAACAACAAGGAAACTGGACTAGGGAAATGGGAATCTATCCGGACAACTGATCTGTCTGGAAACCATCTGTTCGTATGGAGAGACGGCGTCTGGCCGCCAATTATATTTTCAATTTATTTACCTAAAAATATTTAGCTAAGTAGCAAATTGCTTTACTATAACTGTCGTAGAAATATCCTAAATAAATTTTATAATTGCTATTGTCTCGAAAATTCAATTGATTGTCAATTAAACATAATTCATATAGATTTTGCCCTTGCATGTTCCATTCTCAATGAAAGTCGTGGAAATGGTTTCAACGTCAATGCTGAGATGGTGCTTATATCTGAGTCTAACATTTTGGAATCCTTCTCAGACACAAAGGTAAACTGAAAATTGCTGAGTAATTTGACCAATGCAACTTTAATCTCAGCCGTAGCGAACCTGTAGCCAATGCACATGCGTGGGCCACGAGAGAACGGCAAAAACTGGTACAGGAGCGATCTGTGTTTATCATCACCTAAAACAGAAAGATGACATTTCAAATGAGCTTCGTGAAAATTGACCACCGATAAGCAGGGTTGCTTTGCGAATGTTGGAAACTGACGTCGAGGCGGCGGGAAAAGGGGGTAACAATTCTTTTACCCAGCATATCCGAAATACAATCCAATTAAATGCAACTAAGTCTGAACTCCAAAAGTCCCTCCTTAGAATGATCCATGCTGAGAAGCATTGATTTAGCCAAAGCCGAGTAGCACTTTTCAAGCGGTCAATATGTCTTATCAAACAACAAAAGAATGAGGAAAATGATTTGCGGTTTGATTTTGGATGCAAAACTTGCCAATACCACTTTCACATGACAAGTCAATGGCCTTTTACGATGGCAAACTGCACACACAGGGCACCTCACTCGCGTAAATGAAGAAAGATCTACCCAGCCTACATGTCCGTTAATTAACGTTTCTCACTCTTGTCATAATAAAGGTAGGTGCGACCAAGCTGACACCATGTTGGGTTGATAGGAGAACAGGCGATGTGCCCAGAATGTTTTAGATGTCACCCCCTTTTTATAACATATTGCAAAGGGAACAGCGATAAACAGTGATTTCATCTTCGGCTTATATATGTACCATATGATCATTAAGTGTTCTTTATATACTTAGTAAAAGTTGAAATCTCGAAAAACAGATCTTTTAGATCTATCTATGAAACTATTGAGTTCTGTTTTGTCCGCCATATCATGTTCTATACTACTGAATTGAACAATCGTTGTAGCACAGAGTTGAAAAAGACTTTCTAAACTTAAGTTAGACAGTGAAGCTTGAAGGTGACAATTGATTAACCAGAGAAAAATCAAAATTACACGACATTCCCCTCCCACAATTTTCTGGTTGATTTTGGACGAAAGAAAAAATAATCCTTGAAAAAAGTACGGTGGAATTCTATCCATGGCAATGCCCCTGATGAAACCAAGTAAACAGTAAACATAAATACCATACCTATCTCATCAAATCTGCAAGGGTTGAAGGTATCTGGGTCCTTCCAAAATTCTTCATCACGGTGTAGAGTACCTGTTCCCACCATAACGTGCGTTCCAGGCAAAATTTTGTGAGGCCCCAAAGTGTCAGCCCCAATCGAGGTTCGGTCGGTTGTTATAGCAACAGGGTATAATCTCATGGCTTCTTTTATACAGTTGTCTAATAGTTTCATTCGCTCAATCTGTTCCCACGTGATCTCGGCACAAGGTGGATTGGTAAACCTTGATATCTCTTGCCTAACTTCAGTTTGAATGTCAGGATGCTTTGCAAGCAAGTAAAGCGTCCACATTATCGTCAAGCTGGTTGTTTCATGACCAGAAATTAGAAATGTAAATACTTGATGGTAGATATCCTTTGATGACAATTTCAATCCACGTTCGTCTACCATTGAAAACAGGATGCTAAGTAGATCATTCTCAGCAGTAGCATCTCCATTTTCCAGATGTTTTCTTCTATCTTGAATCACCTGAAATTTTGTTTGAAAAAATGATTAGTTAATCAGATTCATTGCAACCATGCACAATTCTTTAAAGGATATTGGCCTAAAACTTGAGGACAACCTTTATTAGCACTTAAAATGCTCCTATTCTCGTTTCTACTTAATTTCAACGTCCTTCATGCGTTGAGATGTTATCCTTTAAACATGTAATAGAAAAAAATTTAACTTCAGAAATGTCTTTTAAGCAAGTAACATTTCATATATTTTGGTATTCCGTCTTTTTGCATACTCTGTTTACATGTATATGGAGCGCTTTATATTTGTTTTGAAATTACGTATGTTAAATCTTCCATATGAGTCTTCAATTTGTGAATAACAAAAGCTATCTTTCTTTTTTGTGAATATCGTCTTTCATACACCTGTGTAGGCAGCTAAACTCTTGCACGCTGTGCAGCGCAGTCGAAGCTATAGATAAAATAAGCAAAGTTTGATGACGTCAAGGGAATGCACATGTTTCAGTATCTTGCGTGTCCAAACTGTGCATTCCGAGGCCCTCCGGCCAGACAAATCCAGCGGACAGCGATCTTCAATCTTTTTCACGCTAGTGTTTGTGGCGGAGATTTCATTGTTTTAATGTTCTAGCTGGCGGTTGAATTTTTATTTCTGTACTCTGTACTGGGGTGCCAGCAAACAAAGTTTACTGTACTCCTCACTCTTCGAATAAATTTGTCAAAACACAAGGTTTATGAGCTTTTTAAATCAAACAAACATAAACATGTGAACAGAGCAGTAAAACTAAATTAAAAAGATAGAAACTGTCAAAAATAGAGCATCTTTGAATCATTCACTCAAAAAATATTGAAGAATTTTAGAAAGAATGATCAAATTGGAAATTTTCATGCAAAACCTTTGTCAAACAATGATTTTTTCTAAACAAGGATGAGAATCACAGCATAAATTTTTCCTGAAAAACTCAGCATTAAAGGGCAGGAATAGCACTTTGCCCATATACCTGGCGGATATATCCGGCTGGGAGAAAAAATGGAATGCTCTTTGGGCGTGCCTGGCATCTCAAATGGAAGCTCAAAACGCCTATCTTTGCTATGTTGCTTTAGAATTACCGGATGCAGAAGCTGGTGTCCCTCAACTAAATTGTGAATTCATAATAACCGGGAACAATATAGGGGAGACCGTTATGTTTCAATAAGATAGCAAAGTTAACTGAGAATGTCAATATATACAAAAAAGTAACAATAAAATTAATACCGTATTATTTGTTCGATTTTGTTCACCCTTAATCGTTACATAGAAAAAATTGACAAACATGACAAAAATTGGCTTTTAACACATTCGATGTAAGTTAGCAGTGCAGTAGCACTATGTCTTATGTCTTGAGCACAGCTGTTGTGTTGTGTTCATGATTGTGTGTCGTTAACAAATGAATTTACATATTAATTGTGTATCTTACTTGATTTATAAGATTCTTTAAACAAGTCTCAGCTTTGATAAACTCTTTTTGAGTGCTTGATCGGAACAACGTGAACAATGGGATCATCTGCTCGAGGGAACGGCGCTGCAAATCAAAGTTTCCACGTAATACAGTGTCAGTTGCTTTACTCTCTTCACTGTGTCCTCCCATGATACAGTTGAAATTGTAACCAAAGGCACAGATGCCAATGATGTCCAATGAAAGGTGGGTCAGCTTTTCTAAGACATCAAGCTCAATGGCTTTGTTACTTGAGTTCATCAACTGGTCATTCCAAAGCTAAAGAAATGAGAAACAAAATATGTCTATTTGAGTAAAGAGACACAAATTTTTCCCATACAGGCAGAAAATCTTTGCTATATTATCGAGCTGCGGTTAAAATTAACAGGTAAATCAGGGGAGTTAACAAAACATTGTTTTAAAAAACTCAGTAAAAAGGTTTTAAGTGTATTTAAGAACCAAAAATTATGCTGGGCCTTTCATAGCTGACTTGCTTAAAGCTATTGATTTACTTCTGCAATAGCAAATACAACGTTGGCAGATAAAAAGTAACTGAGCTTGCAATTGTGTTCTACAAGGTTCTGTCATAGGCACCATGATGCTTAATAAGTTAATTGATTTGCACTATTAGTGAGCACGAGACTGGTATGCAGTGAAGCAGATCGATAAATCTTGTCTCGATATATTATATTTCAATGTTTAGGCATTGCCCACATATAAATGGTATGAGAGTTCATAAACATGATCTCATACATGGTATGAGAGTTCATAAACAGAGCATAATTAAATATATGCGCATAAATATAAGTATAAGAATCGGTATGGGACCGTCTCTAATAAGAAAATGTGGTCTGGAACTTTTGCTGTCTTTAGGTTCCAAACTTGTGTTGAAAGGCTCAAATACCTTGAGCGAATGAAAGAAATAGTACAGTTGAACTTTAAAAAGACAGAGGTGGAATCATCAGAAATCGGCGACAGTTAGAACTATTTTTCTCCAACGATGGTTAGAGTTAGAATGAATGCAGTTCAAGAACCGACAATCATTTGGGTGGTGATGATGATATTGAGGATGACGTAAATCAGGATTAAGACGCAACTTGAGAGACTTGATCAAAAGGATACCTAAATTTGATTTTTGGCATCATGTAATAGTTTCTATGCGAATTTCCTAAAAGCAAAATATTTCGGCGTGAGCAAATTTCGTCTAATTTAAAACTTAGTCGAATACATTTTCGTCAAATATTTGTCTTAAACTTTGGCAAGACGAAATTTTTGTGGTTAATGTAGCAGTTAAGGGATCCTGACTCATCCTTACTGTCAACTTGCCAGACTGCCTTCGTTATGGGATGACTGTTGAAATAAGAACATGACCGTTGTGTTTTTTTAGAGCAGCTCTCTAAAAATCTTTCTAAATGTAAGAGCCTTTACGTTGCTTGAAAGACATAATACTTAATTGCCAGGAATCCACTTCATGTAGAATTACCTTAAAAAGCCCTAAGCCTGTAAACACTTGCCTGATCGGATATGTTAATTTCTTACGAAAGCCACATTAAGAGAAACGCCCATAGTCTGCAATGTGTTTGGGATTTTGAAAGAATTAGAAGGGTAGTAAGAATTAGAACGGGTTAGCTCAGGGCCGGCGAAACGTATTTGAAAGTGGAGGGGCCAAAATATCAGTCTTGAAAGGGCTTAGGAAAGGCCGATAACATGGTTGGTGGCGAGAAAAATTTTAGAATCATGGTGTCTTAGGGATGGCCAGAAACTGTATCTAAAATGAATTTTGACTGAAGGTGTCGCATAGTCGCGTCTATTGTGATGTTGACTTGAAATAGAAAATTTTTTCAAAGTTTTAGAATAACCACTATCATATAGCTCGTAATGAAACTTTTTTTAGATTTTAAAAGTACCCGAAATAAGATGAGAGAGAAAAATAATTAAAACACGAATTAATTAAAAACATTAACGTCGAAATATCAACAGAAGAACTATCAACTGAAAATAAAAAGTTAAGCAATTTTGTACAACATCTGAACTTAACTTTTCGGAAATTAAGTGCTTTAACAAAAGTTTGAAAAACCTTCAAACTAGGCTTGTCAAAATGAATTTAAATATAATTTATAATTGCGTCGATATGTTCTCTTTCTTAGTATGAATGGATTGTCCAAACGGTCAAACTATGAAGTTTTCTTGATGATACTTTTTAAGAACAAATCTGCCCAGTGCCCATACTTTATATCTCATATCCTCAAAAAAGTTCTTTCCAGCTGTTTCTTTTTCTTCAACAGCTGATTTCTCTCTTTTTGAAATGTTTCTGAGAAAGTTTTCATTAACAAATAGACCTTGTGTGCCAAGTTTAGGCAATGGAAAAAACGAAACTCCGTCAATTTGTGCTGGCACCAAGTTATTCTGGACTAGGTTTCTCGATCAATTTGCTAAAGGCTGGGTTACACGATCACTTTTTACCATCACTTTTTTCAATATTGGACCAACGTGCTGAAAAGTGATCGTGTAACATACTAAAATTGTCCATTTTCGTTTAATGATAAGCGCACTAAATTCTGCAGCTCATTCCTATCTTCAATTTTATGTATGTCTTCTATGGCAAAGACATAGCAACCAAGGCAAAGCTAAGGACACATTCAAGAGAATACTAGGCAGAGTTACTTACAGAATCATATACTACATTTATTTCCACGTTTGCCTATAATGTTTCTTTAGCTCTGCAGAAAAGTGGGGGGGGGGGCATCGCCCCCCGGCCCTCCCGGTTTCGCCGGCCCTGTAACTGTCACTGTAAAGGGGCTTAGCCCCTTGATCCACATGGCTCTGCACCCAAGGGTGTGTTCACAAAAGCCGTGTCACACCCTAAGGATAACAAAGACAGGATTTCTAAACCGAAATCACTAAATATCCCCTTCATGTAAATACCCCAAGGGAATCTCCCAAGTCTGGAAAAGTGGTCATAGTTCATATTTTTAGAAGTTTACAAAGATGTGAGGCTGTCCACAAGGATCTCTCAAAATTCCTCGAAATCTTATGCTTAATATCACTAAATATAAATTTTGGCAGTGTCACAAACTAGCGGACTTGGAATGTGCACATTTTTCTTATTTCTCTACTTCTTGGTAGCAAATGATAACTTATCGTGGCCCAATCAAGCCCATTACGTACACAAAGAAATCGAAACCCTTCTCAGCCTCGGTGATAATTTATGGTGACTTGGTAAACACCTTTAGAAGAATCCTATTGTCTTTGTTTAAGGGCCAGAATTGATCCCTCCACGAATTTACAAAATTAGAAATAATCTTCTTGGGGTCAATAAAAAGGCAGACTTAACCTAACCGCATTGATAGCATCATATAAAGTTCCTGATTGTCATCTACTTAAACCAGTCTAGCAAATCTCTTCCTATTCTGGAAAACAACTTTATTTTAGCAAATATTTGGCTGTCACAAGCAATGACACTAATTGTTTCCTGGAATTACGGTTCCATGAAACAACATCGATTTGTTTTTCCTGCTAAATTAATCCTCTCTCCATGCTTTGCTAAATAGCATTCGAAAGGGGAAACGTGTGACCTTTCAGGTCCGGGCGTGCACCAGGCTATACCAGGAGTTGGAATTACTACAAGCAAGATAAATCTTTTGAATCTTGCTCTTGAATAACATTTAAGGTTGAAATTGGGAGGCCTCTAGTTGATACCACGGGAAAGGCTGAGATTGGGAATCGCTGTTATTTTTATTAAAACAAAGTTTCAGCCGAGAGAGCCTTGGAAGTGTAGCCGGTTTATTCTTTAATATCTTTTTGCTGTCTAGGCTTTTATTCCATGCATTTACCAATTTCAAAAGCAAAATCTGCAGCTGAAACAGATGATTGCTAGCAATGGCGGCGTCAGCCACTAAGCTCTGGGGGGGGGGGGGGGGGGGTGGATAAACCAAAAAAAAATGTAAGCCACGCCCTTTTCACCACCAGAAAACGCCCTTTTACCAACAGGGAACGCCGATTTTATCCGAAGGGAACGCCTAAAACTAACTTTTGTTTGAAAATTGGCAGTTTGAAAATCATAGGATTACATCACAAAAAGTTCGGTTTCAAGATGTTACCCCTCCCCAACATTTTCTCATCGAATTCAGACGAAATACAAACTCGATTCTGCTGAGAAGTGGGGGGGACGTGTCCCCCCAGTCCCCCCCCCCCCCCCGTGGCGCCGCTACTGATTGCTAGGGCCATTTTTAGGGGTATTGAATAATAATATGCTAAATGTGTTGTGTCTTTTTCCCTGTAACTGTAGATGCCTCATAGATGTAGGATAATCATCAGTTTCTTTTTCGGACACTGGCGATTTCAATTCTTCTATTGCCTCGTTTTGAAATTTGGCCTTTTTTGGCTTTATACCATTACCCATTTGGATTTGCGGGTTTTTGGAACCTGGCGCAACACTGCGCAATTGCTCCTCAAAGTACAGAGACCAATTCATTGGTTTCAGGGAACAACTTTTGTTTCATCAATAAGGCATTTTTTGACCATTTTATTCTTGTCAGATAAGTTGCAGCTCGCAGCGAAGCAAGTCAAACCATGACTTTGTAAATGTAGGCGGAAACGACCAAGATCGATATTACGAATCAAATTACGAAAGCTTGATATAAGGTGCATTAAATAATGCCTGCTAACCAGTTTTGATGCAAATTTGGTCAGGGCGGACGCTCAGACGTTGGTGTCGCGAGAGCTCTTGCACTTTTTGACCGTGAAAATTATTTTGACTTCTTGGTTTTCAAATGTTTTTTTGCACAGCTTGAAAGTTGGAATCTCTTTGCATCCAATGATACTAGCAATTTAATGATAGCTTTTTCTCATCATTGTTTCATATTGTTTCATTCTGTTTCAATAAAACATTGTTTCTAGACACTGCTGAGAACTCAATTCTTTACTTTCGGTCGCTACCATGTTGAGGAAAAACCCTCACAGAGTTTACTTACATATCGGTAAGATTATTTTTTTCGACGAATAAATAGATTAAAGGCAAAAAACTTCAACGAAAATGATAGCGATAACATGAGAATGTCTGGAAACTGGAAACCATCATGTCTGGAAACAGCTTTATTCAATTTACATAGGAATTTGTCTGATCAAAGAACACATTTTGATAGAAAAACAAGAAACGTGCACAGGGATATCCCCTTCGCTCCACAAAAGAGATTGGATGAGGTTATTAACTCTTTTATTGTAGGGCTTTTCAGCCTTTGAATTCAAATGACAGCAAACAAATTTAGATGATAACTTTTTTGTATGTGCAGCCTCAATATTTAACGTGGCCTTTTCTCCTTTTCTTGTTGACATCGCGCCTGCTAAATTTCATGATTTCTGTGTCAGAAAAAATTGCGTTTAACACTTTTTTGCGATAAACACTTTTTAACCTTGCGATAAACGCTTTTTTTGCAACAGATATTACGGAACGATACAAACATTAACCAACAAACATTTTGCTAGCAAATGATCCAAAATGATATGATTGTTTGTCACAGGCGTAAGAGTGACAAAAGCGTGAACGCAGGTCTATTGCGAGTGCAACTATTTTATTCGGGGCATGGCTTACTTTTGCTTGATTTTCTGTAAACTTCTACAATTTTCAGCTTAAGTTCCAACCTGAACCCTTTTTGGAGCTTGTTTTCCCGAAATTTTGAAATGCCCAGAAATCTAGGCCCATGCAAGAGTTGAATCTTAGCTTTAGATTTTAGATAATATGACTTACGTGGGTTGGCCTTATCTAGAAAAAGAAATTACAAGAAAGAAACGCACCGCTATTAAAGCGTTGGTCTTTTCCACGAAGATTGGGAAGAACTTCTGGACATTTGCTAAGGAAAAGAACGGGTTCAGCTGTTTCCTCTGTGTAGCATGGGTGCGACCATTGGCCGTTATTAATCCAGTACCGAATCCTGGAAGAAGCTTCCTGAGCACATCCTGTCTTCTGTAGTTCTTGAAATTCGTAACAAGGATGTGCCTGGCAATAGAAGGATCTGTTATGTAGATTCTGTATCCCCCTGCAACAAAAAAGAAAGATAGATAGCAGCAGCGAGAAAAAAATTCTTTGGGAGAGGAAGAAGAAACAGTGAAATTTAACTCCGAAAGTGATTTTTCTGTATACTGACAACTTTTGTTTTTAAAGACTGAAAAAGTTTTCAACAAGAAGAAAATTCTTCATTTCAATTTATGGAAACACATGAAATGTATCTTCATAGCTCCCCAATGGAGCTTTTAGGAAATTGAGAAGCTGTGCCTATCGAGCAAAGTCCTGTTATGTAATCAAACCAGCCTCGTATAACGAGTAAGGTTTCTCTATTCATTCATCTTATATTACTTAATGAAGTTACGTGTCGTGTTTTGATTTTTCAGCATTTGCTACTTAATGTATTCTGGCATTGTGGTTTTCAGGTTCATGTGTCTTTTGGGTCCTCGTGTGCATTTAACTTCATGAGTTAGCAATGTGTTGTCTCTCTCAATTCAGGCCCTAGGGCCTAAACAACTATCCCTCGACGCTGTACGAAAGAACCACTCATGATTGGATTTCCAAGGAGTTCCCAATACATCTCAATACAATACTAACAAGGAACGAATAGTGGGGTCTGAGCACTTCCCTTGATTGGCCCCGGAATTACAGTTATCTTCCATCATTTTAAACAATAAGATATTGTACTCCTCTTTATATAAACAAAGGGTTGCCCCCGCCTCAAATTTTTAGATAAATTAAGAATAGCCAGACCACCGAATAGAAATGACCCTTCTATTCTATGGCCAGACTGAGTTTCAATTTACTGATTCTTATAAAAAGAGTGTACCGAACTTCATCATTTGGAGGCAGTGGCGACATGCAGCGGTACTAGTGGCATTTTTGTATATTTTTGTATTGTATGATTTGCTTTTTTATATGATAATTGAATTAATGACAAAAAAGGGAAGGGCAGCTGAATACACCATATCTTAATTCTGACCCTCCTTCATCACATCTTAATTTTCATTGAAAGATTGGCATTGAATAAACCCCTTGTGAACACCACGGTACTAGCTAGACCTCATTCATCCAGGACTGCAGAAGTTTGTCCCATTGTCACTTGTGACTCGACGTGACGTAAAACCGTTTGTCGATAATCCAACAATGAAAAAATCGTTCGCAGTACTAAATTCCTCTTTCTTGTGATAAAATGCTGCGAGGCGATTTAACCCCTGCAGCTGCAATTATCACATGACGTCAAACCAAGGTAATGTATGAAAACTTCTGACCCGCCATAGAAATATAATTTGGCTATATTATAAGGTGAGGGTCAGTGCAAGTGCAAGCTTAACTTTAATTGGTACTAAGGACGGGATGGGCCAAAATTACAGAACGACCCACACCAAGACTAATCAAACCCTTGTTAAGCCTGTTATGCCAGAGCTGCGCCATATTAAAAAAATATTGGAATTAGCCCTATTGCGTAATAAATTGATATCCATCAAAATACGCAGTCATCAATAATTCAAAATGATCAAATCGATTTGTATACGCACCAAAAAGGACATAATACTTGAATATTCTGCCATACTGTCTTGTCCATTGCAGAAAAAGCGCATGCTGATCGGTGTTTCCAGAGAACTCAAAAGTGTTGCCAATGATTGGCCAACCAGTCGGGCCGGGTATACATTTATATGGGTTTTTCCACCAGGAAATTATAATCCAAAGAAACAAAACAAATGCACAAAATGCAACAATACCCACGATGGAATATGATGCAAACATTGCTAGCCTTTACTTCTTTATTCAAATCAGGCGAATTATAGGACCATTTAGGCCGTAAGGATTGTCCTGAAATGGACAATTGCCAGTAATTCGATGACAACTGTTGTATCGAGAAGACAATAGGTCCACCGAAAACAATGCCCTCTATGTATCTTTGACACCCTGTGAGATGTTCTGTTCATATTGAATTTTCGTTGGCTAAACCAAACAAAGTAATTTTGCGGAAAAAACTGCGAAATGCGAAAAAGTTCGCCCGAAATACGTCTTAGGCATGCGCAGTAATCTTTTGCTGGGATTTCTCGCGAAGAATTTCTCTGCGAAAAAGTTAAAATGAGTTTATTTTTTTTCGCTTTTCGCTTGCGAAATCCTTCAACAGCCAATCATACTCCGTATTTCTTTGTCACGCTTCCAAACTTTACATTCCAATGTCGTGAGGTCAACAAAAGCATTCAAAGGAATTTGTCGCGTGAAGTATTTCGCAGCGAAATTTCGCAAGACTTTTTCTCACTGGAGATTGGGCTTTACAGAGCGAGGTTTGCGGAGAAGTTTTTTGTCGAGCAGTGAACGGATCACATTCAAATTTCATCTAAAAACGTTGAGTTTTTGCCATCAAGAGATGCTTTCCAGTGAATTTTCAAACTTGAATAAAGAATAGCTCGCTGGCTTAATTGACAAAAAGGGTTTAAACATTCTTCTTGAGCAAAATAGGAGATAACACTGCATAAACCCTAATTATTTAAAAACGAATTATGGACAATCCAGCCGTAAAGTTTTGCAAAGATTAAAAACAACTAGCCCGAACTTCAAACCTATTGCACATGCATCTTGTCATTTCTCCAGTTCTCTGAGATAAAAGTTGAAGTCAGTTGAACTTTTTCGCATTTCGCTTGCGAAATAACAAACTTGGCCTTTCCAATTTTTTTCTCGTTGAAATGAAAGCGTTCAAAGAAATTTTGTCTTTCGTATAAAGCTTTTTCTCGAAACCTTTTGTTATGGGTGTTTAATTCCTTCGCGGGGCCCCTAATCAATGCACTAAGTGAATCCCTATCTCAGGAAAAACAATTTGGGCTTTCGGTGCATCAGCCTGTAACGTTTTAGGACTTGTATTCTTCAGTAATTATTATTATTATGTTTAGCTAGATCTTTGATTATGTTGCGTGTTAATGTCACATGTTTGTTTGTCGCGCTGTTGTGTTAGTAACTCCCTTCCGGGAAATGTGCGTCACTGTCATCTTGTTATGTGATGTTTCACAGTGTTCCTTTGTCAGTGTTTTTGCCCGCAACTCGCGCGCGACAGCGACAGCGCGCGAGTGAAGGGCTTATAGTCTGCCCCGCGTATAAGTAGCATATGGAAGCTTCAGTTCATGTTGTCAGCACTTTGTCAGCAGATTTTGTCACTTTCTGCTGCCATGACAACTGTCAATCAATTTCATTGTCAATCAATCGGCTTTGTCGAGGAGGTCGTTAACCGCCACCTCTTTGTGCGAAAGGGAATTATCTTCGGAGCGTTGCTCTGCCAAGACTCTGTTAAAGGCCTTCGGTTTTTTGGCACGAAAACGGTGCTGCATCACAGCTCGGTTCTCCGCAATGGATGGAAGTTTTGATTCGAAGTTTTGGGAATCAAAACCAGTCGAATGCCACACTTTTCTCCCAAAAACTCGAGACCGTACGAGCAAAAGTTATGATTGTCGTGATTATCGAAAAATAAATGTCAAACCCTCGAAAAACTTCATGATTTTCAAAAGAGCGTTGGACTTAAATCAAAGGCAAACTGAACACCAAAAATTCTTGATAAAAAGAATAGTTTAGCATCAACTAGAGCAGCTGTTTTTATAGAATTGTGAAAACCCAAGATGGTGTCTTCTTCGAATATCCTGACCTACATTTTCAAAACAATCATTATCAAGGAACTAATTGTTTGCGGGCAGTACTAGCAAGAGCTATTTCTAGTAATATAATGTAAGTTAGAGATAACATCAAATCTTCACCGTCATGACAAGAACCCTTACAGTTACAAGCCCTTGTATTGCCTGAGCAATGACGTAATTTAAGGTAGGTGTTTGATATCAGGGAACAAACCTCAGTTTTTTAACCCGCCAATCAGACTGATACACCCGTCAGGAAGAGAGGGAGAAGGAAATGTGGTCGGGGCAGGTAGGGAAGAAAAAAGGACTGAGGACCTAAGAGAGGGGTGGGACTGGGAGGGGGAATCTCTATGGATTAAACGCATACAATGTGGCGTAACCCACAAGCTGCCAGGTCGAAAACTACATGCAGGTTAGAGCACTGCCTTGTAAACGCACCATGAGGTAATTAGCATAATAATAGATGACAAATTATGATTGACAGCCTAGCAAGGATGCACGTGCAAGATAACACGACCCTTGAACGAGAATAGGCGCCTTCCCCGCGGGCATTAACTCGAATTAAGAAATTAATTCCCATTAAATTTTTCCTAACCCCCCCCCCACCTTTGCCCCCCACCTTTGTCGGAGCCGATGCGTTATAAAGGTGCAACCAACTTAAAAAGATATATTCGACCAAATGTCGTTCAGAACACGTTTTCGCAGGCATGAGAGAAATATTGCGAACAGAGTGGAAACAGAAAAGCGACAAAATTTAACGAGAAAAAAGGTTCGCGCGAAGTACTTCGCTGAGATCTTTCTTAGTGGCAATCAGGCTTAAAAACACAAAACATTTGCGTGCTTAGAACCGAAGCTTTCTTTAACACAATTTTGTTTTCCAAGAACTCAAAAGATTGAACATCAAAGTTATGAAATTTCATTCTGTCAACAGCGATATTGTGCATAAACAAAAGAGATAGGATTATCTTGTCTCTGTGGTAAGCCGCACAGGCAGAATTGCCGGACCAGCTCAATGTTCACTTAAGAGTCCATTCCACAAAGCCCGTGGCAGCTCCTGAACAAAGCTGGAAAAGCATGCCCTATTCCCTTTGAACAGGGTTGCTCGAACACATTTGAGGGGGTTTAAACTTTAAATTTTCATAAACCGTTTCTTATGCTTTTCGTATATAGTATTAAGTTTTCGTAGATTTCGTAGATTTTTACTATTTTCTAAAAAACTATTAAAAATAGAACCAAAGTGTACAAGACTTTAAGGGTCGTATCTGATCATAGAAATACAATATATTTTCAATGCTATTTCTGGTCGTATCAGTCGTGGGGAATTTGCTATGACCACCATGATTATAGTATGATGCTTTTTAATGAGCAATGGCAACAGACAGACCAGGGGAGTCACCTGTCCATCCGATAATTTTGGGTAAGAATTTTCATTGTGATCTGATAATTTTGGGTACCTGATTTAACAACATACCTTTTTCAAACTTAGAGGTTCAACTGACACGACAATATCAAAAACAAGCAAAAAGGGACAAATGTGTTTGAGCTGATTATTACAGGAACAGCCTAAATTACTACGACTACACTCTTTTTTTTATAAGAACCAGTAAATTTAAGTTCAGGTTGACTGCTCTTAATTTTTTCGAAAATCTGAGGCTCGATTGTTCTTAATTTGTTCTTAAATTTAGAGGGTGCAAGCAGTGCTATTGCTAGCTTTTTCGCTCTAAGGAGGTGTTTAGGCCTCATTTGCCAACAAAGTGAGTGAGACAGCCTTAATTTGCTGACAAATTTTTTAATATTCACCGAAAAAGCACCCACAAATCGCTAGAAGTCCTCGATTTTGAGAAAAAACGTTGTTCAAAATTGCATTTTGCAAAAGCTCAGCCACATCTTGTTCTTAATTTGTTCTTAACTTTCGACCAGTTTTGAGGCTCGTGTTCTTATAAAATTGTTCTTATAAAAAAAGAGTGTAGTGGCCTGATCATATCTATATTATTTTGAAATTTTTCGGTTTTATCAATACTTTTTAGCTGATAATCATGGGTCTGCAAAATTTGCTTTTGTTACTTTTAGGTGAATCTTGATAACTGCGGATGGACCTACCTGTTTGTAGAAATTTTGAGTCACTTCCCTGGGACAGAAGACCACGAAGATCAAAGGAGATTATTCAAACACAAAAAAATTGTTTGGAAAAGTTGTCATTAAAATCTAAGTATTCAATACAAAAATGTACAACTTCATTGAAGTAAACGGCAAATTTAAGGTCGAATAGAGTCGAATGGCTGGCTACCAGAAAATGATCTTTGTAGAGCTTCAGTTCAAGAACTAATATAGCAAAATCAAGGTAGCGGGTTAATACAACATATATCTACAGCTCCTTAAACAAAAATAGCAAATTTACATGATATATACCTTCCACTATTTATCATAAAAATTGATAATGAAAAATGAAACTGATCAACAATGCTTTCAGTCCTTTTATTTAGACAAATATTTACAGCACTCTATACCATAACAGTATATACATTTTTCAAAAAGGTTTCCAACTGAACAATGTGTCAGACAGCCCAGCCCACGTTAACAGGGTGCTCAGATTATACAGCTCAGGGCTCAGAATATGAAAATGCATCGCGTTATAATTTTCGGATGGAAAAGGTTCGGCAAAACAACTTCGGACAAAAACGCATTTTCGAGAATTTCGGATAAAAAACTCTCGGACAAATACCAAATTATATGCTAAATTCAAATGTAATTTTACGTTAAAATGGGTGTAATAGAAAAGCTGGGGGAAAATTAGCCCCACCAAAGCCTTTGCACACCGCTGCGGAAAAAGAAGCAAACTGAGAAGAATTCAAGAGCCAAGTGTTTCTTCCTGAGAGGGGTGGAACGTCTTCGATGAAAAATATCACATATCACCAATTCATCATGGAGGACAGAATTTGTTTTGAGTACAGTTTTCAAGATCAGACTAAAAGAGAAGGTACCTCCATCGACTCAAGGTTTGGAAACTAAAAGAGAGTGCTGGATTGCCGATGAAAGTATTAAACTTTTCAGAAGCGATGTGAGATAAATTGAAAGTATCGGAGCTGATGAAGAAGGCAGTGATCAAAAAATCGATGGTCAGAGCAATGTGCTGCCAGTGATTATTTGACAAGAAGGCTACGAATCCGAACCATAAAAAGCTGATATTGAAATTAATGTTTCCTGTAAAAAGAAAGAGTATTGTCAAATGCAATTCTTTGTGTTTTTCTTAATTTCTTAGAAATTAAAACTTTCAGACAAAAAACATTCGAACAAACTTAGATTTCGGATAAATCAAGTTTCGTAAGAATTTTTGTCTGAAAGTTTGATCACCCGAAAGCTTTCGGTTTTTAAGTATTATATGACAAGGTCTCATGGTTGGGCTGGTTGTTTGTTTGTGAAAAAAAGTTTATGTTCTTAACCTTAAATAGAATATTTGAGACAGGTAATTATTTCCTTAAAAAAATTTTATAGTCAGAAAATGAAGAATGATGCCTCAAGACCCCTTAAATCAATTGTAAAGTCAAATTTTCCAGGTCAGGTGTTGAATTCAATAAAATCTGCTCACCTTAACAAAAAAGACAAAACACTTATTTCACAGAAAATCAAATTTAATTTGCAAAAGTGAAAACATGTTCATCTTTGCTAAATATATTGAATAGAAAGTACTTCAAATTTTGTTTAAACCATTTTATTTCTGTTGATTCAAAAAAGAGGTAAATTGTGGTGTCAATGGGTGTAGATAATATTCCATCAGAATGGTGGAAGTAGAATGTGACAGTTAAGTTTTGAAGTTAGAGAAAATATAAAGATTTGGTGATGTACTTTTGCTCTTAAATTGGGGCTGTACTTAGATGTATGGATGCATAAAATTTTATGCAAGCATGTGCTTGCTCTTTGATTCAATCAAGCCCTAATTCATTATTGGTGTTACATTGAGGGTTGATTCACCACTACACAGGGCCAGTGCCACAGGGGGGGGGGAGCATGACCCCCAAATTTTCTGCCAACTAAAAGTTTTAAAGTGAGATTTTTTAATTAAAAAGCACCAAGATCCACTGGTAAAATAGAGTTAGAATTTTTTGCCAACATGGGCTGGGGTGGAGGGGGCCTTACGTAAAAGTACTATGTTGGTACTTTTTGCCCTCCCCTCCTCAAGTTAGAACCAATGGCACCGGCCCTGCTATATCTTGGTGTTCCATGGATGGTTGAAAAGTACCCACTGCATTTAAAATAGATTGCTACGATTGCAGTAAATAGATGTTATATTTGGTAGCACAAGTATTGAGGAAGTGAATTAACCTTCCCTATTTAACCTGCCTCACAATTATTTTTGTAGATATTGGTCTCATATCAACTGACAACATTTCAGCAGCCTTGAATAGCAAATAATCATCGCTTTTCAAAAAAACCTCAAATTTGAAGTCTTTGGCATGTATTACCTCAATTACTTCATGGTTTTTCAGAAGATCGATTTGCATTCTTTTGTTTTTGTTGTTCCTGCAGGTAACCTTTGAAGAAAACAGCAATATGGGAATATTGTCTTTGAAGACATAATAGACTTATTCACTATGATTGTACATCTAAGAGGCACATAAACAAAAGAAATAAAGACCATTTGATACCTTGATCAATCTAAATTCAGCTGTCTTGGGATTATTGGTTTAATGGATTAACTTATCAATCTTTCAGGATACCATTAAGCATAAGGCCTTCATGCCAACTCACCGAACTATCCCACTTTTGAAAGCAGGTAAATGCTAATAACATTAAGCTCTCTTTCACAAGAGACAGGCCATATGGCAGAAAATAAAACAAGAGCCCAAAAAAGGGCAAGTCCTATGGGACAGCTTAGATTGTTAGACATCATGAGTCCATGCAAAATGGGGGCAGAATCTAAAGGTGTTGCCTGGGTACATCAAAGATGGAGCCTGAGAACAGCTCTGCAACTATCATTCACAATAATGCATACAAAATTTCCCTGGTAATGAATACCTGAAGGCAATTAACTGCGGATGAGCATGATCACCTAATAGTTGAGATCAATCTCGCCAATAGGGGAAGGGTGAGTCTGCCAGGGCACTGTGCTCAAAATTAGCTTCTTTATATTTCAATGATAATGCATCATTCCACACAAGGCTTTCTCTTGCAAGGGCCACATAAGTAGTTGTGATCAAAATTGACTTTATGTGATCAAACTCATTTGCCTTTAAAAAGCTCATATAAGAGAGAACCTCATGCCAAAGGTTCATGAGAAAGATTTGAAAAGATGAGAATTTTAGCCATTTTTGCTTCAATTTCAGAGCAAGGGCGGTTCCAGTAATGAAAAAAGGGGCAAACTTAGAATTTTGTTGCCTTGAAAGTGCATGGGGCCCTTGCACCAGCGGCCTGTCTCAGTTAGCAGTGGCCCTGATGATGATGATGATGATGCTGATTGATGATCATGGCATATTACTTCAGAGCTCAGTATCTTGTACATAGGGCCGGCCACGAGCATCAGACCCAAACTTGATTCTAAGCCCCCCCCCCCACAGGCTCAATTTTGTGACCCGGTCTCTGAAACTGCTCCAGGATTGTCTACAATCTCTTATGCTAATTTTGTTCAAGAAATACTTTTCACAGAATTTAAATTTGCTCTCTGCTATCAAGAAGTGGGTCCAATTGAAAAACAGAAGAGTTCGGTTCAGTGTTTCTAGAGGTTGAATAAGCTACATGACCACAAAAGCTTATTTTAGAACTTTCATAAAACTAATAGTTTTACAGCTGAAGTTGCTTTGTCTAAGCTGAAATTTAAATATTAACAATGCTAAAATATTCTGTTTGCATTAACGTAGTGTAATGCTGCCAAAATGTACTCTGTAGATAAAAACTTGTACCCCCCCCCCCAAAAAAAAAATTTCCTGAAACCGGGCCTGCTTGTACACCTATGATGAAGCTGACTGAATATCATATCAATCTCAAATCTCATAATGAATATAACAACCAGAAGCAGTGTTTTAAGTGTAAGGTGTTACCTGCCCATAGACTTCATATAGTCCTGTTGTGTTGATAACTATGAATGAAGAAGACTCGAGTTTACAGTTACCATGAGCCTTGCCAACTTTCCAATCATTAAGTATTTCACCTGTTGAGGTAAAACATGCATTATGACATGTCTTTTGATGGTCTAAGTATCAATCATTTGAAGAAAATGAGTCATAAAATGAAAGTAATTTATCTACATCAACAGGCAGCAAAATTGTACATACCTGCATTGTAGCGGATAAATCTGTTGCCATAACCAACAACTTCTATGAAATTATTCAACTGTGGAGCAGCATCTTTCTGTGAAATACCAAAGAACATTATTCTTATGTCACCTAAATACATAAAATTTACCCCTAATTTATAATTGGCCTGCCTAGGGCTGCCGTGAAGTTTCGGAAGGCCCGGGGGGGGGGGGGGAAACTGAAATATGAGGCACCATGCAAGTGAAGCCAGCAGAAAGTTTTTGCTACCATGCCTTTTTGATTAGCTAGCTATACATTATAGTGTACATTTTAGAACATTTCTTGCAGTCAATTTCTTGTAATCATTTTAAACTTTACCTATTTTTAGGCATACTTTTGTTACATTTAATTAATTCCACTCGCAAAAAGAAATCCATAATTACTTTGTGAGCCCCCCCCCCCCCCCCCCCATATATTGAAGCTCTGGGGAATTGGCTTACACCCCCTCCCTCTTGGTGGCCCTTGGTCTGTCTAGGAATATCTAACTGCTGTTGCTAGACCATCTTGAACAGATTTTTTACTGGTGGAGCGAAACCTCCAAACACACCCATTTGTAACAAATGTAACTGAGGTGTTTGGAGGGGTCCAGAGATCATAGAACAGTTCAAAATTTTAGCAAAAAATATAAAAAATCTGATTACTTTTTGCTATACCTAAGAATAACCTATACCTAATATAAAAAATCCTATACCTAAGAATAACATCACTGCACTTTTTGAGTTGCTGTCTTATCGTTAAAAGGTTGCAGTCACACTTTTGTGGAAACGAAACACCTTCTGACCAAGGCCTTTTTTAACATACAGCTTAGGAAGGGGGGGGGGGCAATTGTTTGTTTGTTTGTTTGTTTGTTTGTAACCTTATTTTAATTCGATATTTTTTCTAGCTATACATATATATATGGATATATACACATACAATTAATCTAAATCGAATCTACTGTATAACAAATGAAGAGGAAATAACTAAGGGGTAAAACCCCATGGTTACCGCAGTGATTTTATTTTATTTTGAGCAATAGGCTGTTTTGTTGCGCGGCTCATTGGCAATTGTTTGTTGAATTGCGAGGGTCCTCGAAATTAGAGAACATTACAAATTAGTACAACTGATCAATAGCAAGTAAGAGGTCTCCTTTGCTACGAAATGAAAACTCACTGAAATAGAAATTTTCTTCTTTGTTTCGATAAACCAATGAACAGCGCAACATACTGCCTTTAACCTCTTTATATAAACAAAGGTTTGCCCCTACAGCTCATCTCCCTTCGTCGAAAAGGCAATGTTCTGACCCCAGGGGGGCACTCAGCACATAGTCATACGTGGGGGTCAGTCCGATATTTTTGGGTCAAATGTTTACCCAAAGTGATATTTTTGGGTTAAATATTTATCAGAAATGATATTTTTGGGTCCTGCAAAAACAATAGACACAATATTTCTAGGTATCAATATAGAAACACTGATATTTTTGGCTTCTTGTAAGATTTCCATATATCTGAATCAAATGTATTGTTCATCGGCTGAGGTTTTTTTACCCATTGGAAGTCATGCGACCATACTCTTTGGAAGCTTTAATGCTATAGCCATGTGATACTATCTCTTCTGAAATTACAATTTGTGATATTTTTGGGTATAAAATATACGTAGAACTGATATATTTTTGGGTCTTTTGAAAATGAGCTGATATGTCTATGTCTATGTGCTGAGTGCCCCCCCCTGGGTTTCTGACCAACCATTTGTCTAAGCGGAAATTACTGGTTCCCTATTCCGAGGTTCCTTTGTTCCGGGTTTGTGTCTATATTACAATTGTACTTCTCTGATGCATGAACGCATGATTCCGTTACAGATTTCCCGCAAACCCGCAATACAGATGGGTGGGGGGCCGAGGGAAGATTTTTTGACAATGGTTTTTGAAAAGAGCTCTATTGTTTTCCAAAAGGTGGGGAAACAAACTGACAAAAAGAACAATTTGTAATATAGACACAAACGACGCTACATACTTTCCAGCTTTCAAAATTGTTGGTTTGATTTTGATTCATGGTGGCATTTGGAATCCAATTTTGAATAACGGAAATGCATTTTAATGGCCAAAAACCAAAAGGTGTCTTTCCAGTTATTAAAGGAGAACTGACACGCAAAAATAACTTTGGCTTATTCGATGCAAAATTTGTCGCTGATTTCAAATCTGGAAAAAGTTTTCTTCTTAGATTCGCCGTTTTTCTGATATTTGCACTTTTATCCGTCAAATACGTCACAGCCAGGACTCGGGAATTTCCCGAAGCGGAAACAAGATTATCGCCAGGAGTTGTTAAAATTCTCGGTTGACGTCACAAGTGACATGTTAACAATGCCGTTGTAAAGGCTTTCACCGCAACGGTGAAAATACAAGTGAAGTTTCGTGTTTTATTGAAAAAAGTCCGCGGTGAAAAGACAAAAAATTGTCAGGCATTTCATTTATAAGTATATAGAGGCTAGAAAATCCTAGCTACATGTCTGCTAAGACGCTTATATCCACATAAAATTTATTTTCATGCCATGATATCTTCGAACCAGCATGCTTTGAAACATTGAAAGAACCTCTAAGCTTGTGAAAAAAGGAGTCGACTTTGTTTGAAAACTGATACCGTTTCTTCAAAGTTTTTATTTTTACAATTACAAAAAAATCGCAACATGGGGGGTGGGGGTTGAAGCAGTAGCCAAAAGACAAACGAAATCTAGTGGAGACAGCGGTAAAAGCGATCCTGCAACCTGCTTTGGGTGCAGAAATATGAATTCAAGAAAAAACCTTGGTTGATGGGAGCTGCGAGTGTGACTAAATAATAATTTCACTGAACTTGATTATTGTATTTTAACAGAGGTTGAGATACTAGGGAATAACCTAGTCTTGCAAAAAGCCCATCCCCCACCCAAGTCAAAATTGCTTGCAAAAGAATATAATGCGCCAGTTGATATTCCTATGACAGCTAAACAGCATTTTCTTCGACTAAGAAATCAAGTTTTTGACTAAGAGCTAAGAGCCTATTTCGTAAATCCAGATCTTTCGACTGCCAGGTAACTTATCAGTTCCCGAAACCCTTCACGCCGGGTGAAAATGGCATAAAATCCGCACAAGTCGACTTTTAACCCGCCTTTACTATTCAATATCACTATACAGTTAACGCGTTTAAAACATTGAAAAACAATCATAGAATGTTACATTAACAATTAATAACTTGCAGTTCCGTTTAGGGCATCATGGGCATTTTAGCCAATTTAGGCCATACAGACAAAGCAGTCTGGCCAAAGACGCCTCAATCTGAAATAAAATTCTAGTTTTACGATACCTGATCTCATTTAGATTGTAGCAATAGCATTATTTTTAATAGAAATTCCATATCAGTTTGTACTTCCAGTCTGTTCTTTGTTTACAATATCGTCACTGTTGAGCCATGGGACGACTGTCTGCCCAAGCGGCAGCGCTGGTTGGTAGCAAAAACTCAGACGGCTGAAACTCTCCATTTGTTTCGAAATCAGTGTAATAAAACTCCGATTCAGAGTCCCAAACTATTGAAAAAGTCAATTATGTGTCAAAAATGCAAAATTAGCTCCTTTCACATGCACAAAATAAACATTTGTCCGCAGCATTTTGTTAAAGGTTTCTATAGAGAAACACAATACGTGCTGAGAACATGTCACTTGTGACGTCAAAGATGATCGTCCACTCGTGACGATTTTCGCCTCGAGTCTCAAGTTGTCGGAACAATTGTCGTTTCTCAACTTAAAACGCCTGTATTTCAAAAACGGTAACTGTGATTTAAAAAATTTTTTCGATCCTGGAATTTGCTTGTCACAAACTACCGTTTTAGCCAAACTTATTTTTGCGTGTCAGTTCTCCTTTAAGGGTTTTATACTCTGTTTTTATAAGACCCAGTAAATACTAACTTCAGGCTGATTGTTCTTAATTTGTTCTTAAACTTACAGGGTACGAGCAGTGCGATTGCTTGCCTTCCGCTCTAGGGAGGTGTTCAGGCCAACAAAGTGAGTGAGACAACCTTCATTTTTGTCGCCATGTTTGAATATTCACCGAAAAGCATCCACACATAAAAATCCTCGTTTATGAAATAGAACATTGTTAAAAATTGCATTTTACGGTAGCTCAGCCTCAGCTTGTTGTTAATTTGTTCTTAACTCGTCCTTTTAAAAAAAGAGTGTACTGTCGCCAGTGTGAATCTGACTTAAAACATAACAATAAAAATATACCTTGGAAAGCGGAATTTCCCGCCTTTCGCCAAGGCTTACCAGTGAAGCTGTTTTTAGACTTCGAGGGCTTGTCGTAAACAGCGCTGGTGGTTTCGTTTGATCGGCTAACAGGCCATGGCGAGAACTGTTTGCAACCTGTGTTGAGATTTCCGATTTTGTAGTCGACAAAGAGCGAAAGAAAAGGAAATAGGCTAAAAGCGCCAGAACCAATACGAGCAATATAAACAGCGCCATAACGCTAAACAAAATGTTCGTTCGTCTGCGCAATTTTCTCACTTCAACTATGGCGTCTTCGCTGATGCTATAGCTGTACACTCTGTTGTAAGCATTCTTTTGTTCGTGAGGAGCCTTTCCAGAAAACACTTGCAAGTCCATTTTAGCCTCTCTAGGCAACACAGGTGGAGGAACGTTCTCAAGTTCAGTCGCATCTCTTGGATAAATAAGTGCAGGCTCTTCAACCATGCTGATTTTGTTATTGTTTTTGGATGCACCGTTAACGACACGATATGCAAACTACACTAGCGCTTGTAGAGTCGAGCAAGGGTGTTATATTCATTATACGGCCAGAGGAAAACAAAAGAACAGGGAATGACCGCTCTAGCCGGAGGTAAACGACTAAAAGTGCTTTCTTGGAAAACAACCCGCATCTTTTTCTCGTAACCAACCCGCAACTTCTGAAGTAGCTAACGTCTTTCAGATAAGTACCAATGATATTTCTTATAGAATCAAAAGAGTTTCTTATAAAGCGGTAGTTTCTTATAAATTTGCTGGTCCTGTTTCCCTCGCACACCAAACTACTGTGTTTTAACGTGATTCGAAGCGCGCGGTTCGACAGCTCAAAATTAACGTGTGCTTGACAAAAATACAAAATATCTGTTCGGGTTTGCCAGATCCTCTGATTTATTACACTAAATTTTTAATTAAGGCTCATGTCCAAGCCTAGACAAGGCCTCCCTTTCAACAGGTGTGAAAGTCCGTACATTTGGGGAAACTACCCTGCTGCATCTACCGTTCCATCGAAAATCATTATTGGAAAACTACCCTGCTGCATATAAAATACAACACATGATGATTTTTATTCTCAAACATAATTATATTGCCTTTACACTCTCTTTTTATAAGAACAGTTTTGTAAGAACACGAGCTTCAAAATTGGCCAAAAGTTGAGAACAAATTAAAAACAAGCTGAGGCTCAGCTACTGTAAAATGTAACTTTGAACAATGAACTCAAAAACGATGAGTTTTCTGCCACCTTGGGGTGCTTTTTCGATGAATGTCCAAATATGGCGGCAAATGAAGGTTTTCTCACGCCATTTGTTAGCAAATGAGGCCTGGGCACCTCCCTAGAGCCAAAAGCTAGCAATCGCGCTACTCATTGCTAGCGAAAAACTAGCAATCGTAGACAAAATTAAGAACAATTCAGCCTCAGATTTACGAAAAAATTAAGAACAACCAGATTGAACTTCAGTTTACTGTCTCTTATAAAGAAGAGTGTAATGGTAAATTTTATTAACCCCCTTAAGGAGCCGCAACCCTTTGCCCCAAATTGTGCCAACATATTCATGACAACATATCTCGAGCAATGCCCCGATGGGGTGTAGTCGAATATTTTGGAAATAATTTATCGATGACATAGTCTTCATCTGGCAAACACAAGCTTGAAAACATAGATATTAAAAATAGATATTAAAACTGTATATAGTCGACTCCCTTCTCAAATCACGCTTCTGGTTACAATCAAAGCAAAGCAAATTTAGACCACAATATGCAAAACCATACCATCAAATTTTGACCCAAGCCCCGTTTACAGGGTCTTAGTTTTCTGGCAGGCGGTGTTTGTTATTCTAGTATATGGTTTTGACCCTTGATGACAATGAAGGACTAGTTCAACGGAGAACGATTGGGAAAAAAAGAAGGGGTGAAGTTGGAACATTCACGTCATTGGTGCGAGGTTAACTTCTTATTGAATTCATAGGGCTGGCGAAATAGAGGACCATGTCCTCATTTTTTACAAAGCGCTAAAGAACTTTTCAGTTAAAAATGAAAAATATGAGTGTACACTCTTTTTTATAAGAAATTAGGATATTTTTCATTACTCAAAGTTTCTTTATTTTTGGCTAATTAGGGTAGAGTTTGGGAATTAAGTAGTTTGGGAGGGAAGGCAATTAGATCCACTATTATTGGATCTGAATAGGTACCCAGTACCCTTACTACCCAAGCTTAACCCTTGCCCTAATCCTACCCCACAGCCTGCACCTAACTGAACCTTACCCCACCCCGAGTGCACTTCCTGCATCTAGGTGCAGAGGTCTTCTGGTGCAATGTCTGGCGTAGACTTTAGATAGAATGCATCCTGGCGGAAATTATGGAAGGCTTGGAGGGCTGAAGCCCCCTAATTTAAAACCTGAATTTTTGTTGCAACTCTAACACCCTTACTTAATTTATAAAGCCCCGACAGTGAACCCAATCCAAGTAAAGTGAACAAGCTTGAACCGCAAACCTCAAACTAATTGATATTAGATTTTTTTTAAAAAGAAGAAAAATTATCTTTCCGATCTGGTATCGTATCTGTTGAATATTTATTTATGCACAAGGGACCTCTGTTTGAGACAGGCACGTCACACGTACTGACAGGGAGGCCAAAATGAGCAGCACAAGCACTATTCAAGTTAGGTAGAGTTATTTCACCAAATACAAATTCGCGTGGCTGAATCGGACGATAGGTTTGAAGAAAGCTTCTGGACGACAATCTCGTGTAGGCTAGACCCGAGTTTTTTATTTTTATTTGATGCCTCGTTTTGTTTTGTTCTTTTGTTACTCATTAACTTATTAAGTTTTTCCCAAGTATCATGCCTCTTCATGATTAATTCAAATTAAATAGGCTACCACGAGGAAATGAGGCGCTTATTCTTGCAAAGCATTGTGGTCTATGAGAACGCTGGGCCGATCGTGACATTTCATTTTGAAAATGAAAACGAAAATGTTTCTTTTGACCACTTTCAATGTGATTTTCAGAAACAAAAAGCAAAATTCTATTTGAAACTTGGAAATTGAAATGTTTCTTTAATTTTTTTATTATGTTTATTCTGCTTTTTGACATGTTATTTTAAACTTCAAGAAAATAATTTGAATTTAATGTCAAATTTACCACAATTATCTGTGATTTTTTTATATTTCATAAAATATGTTTGCACCACCATCAGGGCCTATTTTAGTGTGCAGTATTACACACTTTGTGCAGTATTAATTTAAAAACGTGCAGTATTGATTTCCAAAATGTGCAGTATTGAATTTTGGGATTTGTGAAAATGTCTTTTTGCGGCTATCCCAGATTCCTGCTTTGTTCACAAAATGTGAATTTTCCTCGTCAGTTCGATATAGAGTTCATGTATTGTAATTCTCGTATAACCATCGGAAAGACTTAAAACTTAAAAACTTAAAACAAAGCGAAATGCCCAGAACCAAAAACAAAACATCTACTTGTAAATGTCAGAATTGCTGTAAATTTCGTAATTTGATCTTGTCGAAAATAAAACATTCAGTAATAATTTATCAGTTGCCCTAACATGCTCTGGGCATCTAGCAGAAGCTCACCTAATTTAACTGAAAGAAAGATAAAGAGCCGAATAAAACTTTTTTGTTGTACTGTCCAGACAAAACATGAGATAGTAACTCCGTTTACAAGAGATAAATGAGTATGTTTCCATTCAGGTTTTGTAGCTACTTTTTGTTTTGTTGCTGTTTTGAAATGTCATTGTTGATCGTGTATATATTATCGTCTGTCTGTTTGTGATTTCTGCGTCATGGCGTATACACATGTTCAAAATTCGGGCCATTTCCTCGCTACACTTGCATGGCCAAGATACCTGGGGTTTGCATGGGTTTGCATTGATTGCAACAAAAAATTTCCTATAAAAAATATGATTATAAATGTGCAGTATTGAAAATTTCTTAAAATAGGCCCTGACCACACAATAGTGTGGACATAGTTTTGAAACTTCACCAAAGGGTTTCATTTAGACTGAGGTACTTATACCTAGTCCACTGTTGGCTATTGCCCTTAAACTTTATGACCTTACAGAGAGATTGGTAGGTTTTCTGGGTAAGGATAATATATTTTCTTGTTGAGTAAAAATCATCCAATCCCCCCCCCCCCCCCCCCTATCAAAATGCGCTTCTTATTTGAAAAATGTCAACGAAAATTACCTTTACTTTACGCTCAAAAGCAAAAACAGGCGGAGTATTCATTGGTCCTGTCAAGTTGGCGGTAGCTGGTGGACCTTGTTTTCCATTTGACTTCGCAACCGAACGCTCATTCGTAACGGCAACAAGACGGGAAGCAACAATGATCAGTGCAACCAAAAGCACCAGCGACAAACAAACCATCAGCGAAATCCATGGAACTCTACGGCCGTTTCCTTTACTGTCTGGATTCAACGCTTTAACCATTGAATCCTTCGATGTGATGATGTGAACTTCGGAGAGTTTTTCTCGGACATCCATCATGCTAAAGCCTTTGGTCGATGCTTTGTATCATCATAACATAGTCATAAGAACGGATAGTCTGGAAGCGAACAATACCCTATTGTTCTATCTTTATGATAAAGTTTTTGCTAGTGCCCAGACTTCTTGAGGTGCACAAAATTGTTAATGGAGTGTTTATGTCACAGGAATTTTCTACACACTGCCTTGTTTTTGCTCGTTTTTATTATTCTTGGAGTTAATTGTTCAGCTTAAGGCTGCCGTACATCGGGAAGGCAAGAAGGAATTAGAATTTTTCAAATTCTTTTGCCAAGAAATGATTTCAACAGAAAATAGAGAAGTTAGTGGCTGAAAATTGGTAGGCCTACCGAAGACTGGCTAAAAGATGAAAGCCTCACACGGCAAATTGCATCAAACGCAACTTATATCTGAACGATACACCTCTCGAGTGAACAGTTATGAACATGTAAGTCTCTTTAAACAAAATTGTTTTGTCTTGATATTAGTATATATTTTCGACATGAGCGCCTAGGCCCAAAGCTTGCATGACAACCCACAATATAGGTGTTTAGACCGTTTTTGATTATTTTCTGGGATGAAAACCTCTAGAAATAATTCTACCAAGTTATAAAAAGATTTTTGGGTTGAGTTTGTTTGGCCATGGTACTGGAAAATGTTCGTCGTTTGTGGAACCTCAACTGATTGATGACTGATTCAATTTTGTCAACAGAATCTTCAACAGATGGTTACAATGTTCAGTGTGGACCCTGTCAATACGTTGCAGCAAAAGCTAGATGAGACCAGTCATGAAGAATAGAGGTTGAACAAATCTGCTAAGCTATCAGCTTCATTGTAAACTGATTTTTATAAAAGAGGGAGGGGCTGAGGTGCAGGGATGCTGTCCTAAAAAGTTAAGAATGGGTAGGCACCCGCACCACAGAGCGATGAGAAAAGTGGGGGATCTATACGAAATCACTCAAATTATTAAGTGACCCTTGAAGGCTAATATAAATCTTCTCAATCTTGGTAAAATCATTAGCAAAAAAGGGTTAATTCACATTGCCAAATAAAGAATTTTTCCAACCAACATATACAGGTCCCTTTTTAACGGGGGATGTGTCTTCCAAGTTCTCTCTTAGCTTTAAAAAGGGGGCTGAGCTCCCTCAAGTCCCCCCCCATGTTGCCACTGCTGAGTTTGCAGGAGCTTAACCCCCTAAAAATTTCCAAAATAATCTTCAAACCATACAAAAGAATTGGATTTTGGCCTGTTTAGCCCCCAAAACCTTTGAACCCCTTTAATTCATGGTTCTTGAGAAAAGGTATCTTTGCAGCAGAAATATCTAAGTTGCAAGCAGTTATCATTATATGTTTCTGATATAAGAGACAGTCATTGCAAACCACCAGTTGCCAGTCTAAATCCAGTGGTATTAAACATATGACCTAGTGATGATCAACTTTTGCTTTTTTGCATCTAACTTCTCTTGTTGTTTTTCAGGTTCTTTGCTATGATAGTAAATAAGTTTTTTAGGCTACGCCCATTGCTCCTCTTTCTCTCAGTAGATGGTGCCTCCACTAAGTACACTAACATTAGAAGCAAGATTTATAAATTCCGTGTCAATTGTAAATCAAAAGTTTGAATTAGGTTGATATGGCCCTAGTACTTGAGGAAGCACACTAGGTTTTGTAGTTGGTGGATTGGCATTCCTTACAGAGCTCCCAGATGTGGGAGTTAATTTCCTTACTTGCAGGATATAGGTTTTTACCAAAACCAGATGTGGGGTGGTGGGTAAATTGAGCCCCATTTTATGGTATGAGGGCTGTGTTTGGAGGTTCTAGCATATTGCCTGCTTTCTATCTTCCTACAATAAGTTCTCTCTTTAAAATACAGGCTTGTCAAATGTTAAGTATATCCATACTGACTTGCTTGTTAACCACTTTATTGGTACCTATGCATTTATTTTTATAAAATGATTTGGTGCTTGGTTTTGCAATAAGTTTTGAAGCTGGTAACTAAAAATCAATTTGTTGTGAAACATACAGTTTTCAATATGAAGGAAACGATGCAACATGCAGCAAAATTGAAATCTCATCATGGTTGAAAATTTTGATTAAATATTGCAAACTTTAAGAATAAAAAGACTATCATAAAGACATGCACCATTTTCTTCTCTAGAAATATGATATTTATTCTAAAGAAATTTAGTTATATATAAATCAGCAAGTTAATTCAAACTTTGATAATTCAAACAAGATAAATAAAAACAATTTTCTTACAGTTTTCTTTCTTCATGGCTTTGTTGAGCCGTCAGAAAACTCAACTTGAGTTCTAGCAAAGTGACTCAATTGAAGATAGCGACTTTCGACTAACATAGAGAGTTTGTTAAAGATTTTAACGAAATTTGGACAAGAGCACATTAACCTCTTGTAAAGTATAGAATATAATAAATTTTTTTAGTAAATTCTTTCAAATCTTATAAAGTTTTCACAACTGCGTACAAATAAATAGCATCATCGTTAGGATAGGATAACGAATCGCGCGAGAGCCGGTCGTAAAACCAGTCGGCAAACGTTCATAATTGAAAATTATTCAGCCACTTTCAGTAAAAAGTTTTCGACGAACGACCTCATCGGTAATAAAAAAAAGTGATAACGAAGATGATGAGCACTCTAACAAGGAAGTCTAAATGTGTAGTTTGCGACATTGTGCATGCTCTCGAGTTGCAGGGCCTAGTGAGAACGCGACGCGACTTGCAATGCTTTCCACAAACACCATGCGAAAACAAGCCGTTTTTCATGATCATTGGATACCTCAGTCGCTATTCCGTCAAATTAACGATATACATTTTGGATTTTACTATATATAATTATTTTAAAAAGTCAAAGTGATTTTAAAGTTCTCTTTCGTTAAAGTGTATAAAATGCTGAAAATGCACAACTGAAAATTTTTATATCGATTGTGATTTTACCTTATCTTTAAAAATCTTGGAGTAAATAAGGACCATTCAAAACTCTATTTTTTTGCCCTTGGAATAAGAACCTATTATATTTTATCAACCATCTTAAGTATATCCTGCAATTCCTGGAATCAAAGATGATTAAGCTGGTTTGGCTCATTTTTTTGTCACGAGATTTACAGCAAGTCTACCGTAACAAACTAAACATTCATTGTACTGGTCAGGGCTGGCGAAACCGTGGGGGAGGGCATGGCTCCAACTTTTCTGAATAACTTTTTTCAGGCAAAAGTGGAAAGAAATGTAGTCTACCATTCTCTAAGTAACTGTGCCTATAATTCTCTTTATTGGCTTGGTTTCTTTTGTCTCTACCATTGAAGGCATATAAAAATTGAACAAGGGATTTTGATCGAAAATATAGGTAATTTTCCAAGTTGTACAACGAGTAACCTTAACTTGGCTCACAAGGTCTATTTTTAACAGAAAATTTCTCTAAAAAACGTTACAAAAAGAGAGAGAAATCAGCTGTTGAAGGAAAAGAAACAGCTGGGAAGAAAATTGTTGAGGATATGAGAAATAAAGAATCGCGGCAGATTTGTTCATTAAAAGTATGATCAACAAAGCTTCAAAGGTTGATTGTATTGATAATGTAGAAAATCTAGACGTAATTATAAATTCTATCAAAACTCATTTTGACCAGCACAGTTTGAAAATTTTTCAAATTCAGGGTCTTTTTGTAAAAAGCATTTCATTCACGAAAAAATTAAGAACAGATTTTATAGAATGATATCCCAGTCGTACTAAATTACCTAATCTTTTATTTCAACGTTATTTTTTTTTTCATTAAGCCATATTTCATTTATTTGACCTGCTCCATCTTAATTTTCTTACTTTTTAAATCTTAAAATAAGTTTCATCCCAAGCTACATTACAAATTCTGGTTGTTCTAAAATTCTGCAAGACCTTTCCTCTTTCATGTCAATAGACGAAACTATAGGACATATTGCCAAAACAAAGGTTGAAAACCTTGCCTCGGATTTTCTTTCAGTCAAAAGCCATTTTAGATACCATTTCTAGCCATCCCTAAGATACTCCATTCTTATATTTTTTTGTCGCCAAACATGGTGCATCTTTTCAAAACGTAAATATTTTGGCCCCTCCCCTCCACTTTAAAGTACGTTTCGCCGGTATAGTATACTAATCGGTCCCCCATGCAAAAGTGTCCCCTCTGAAGCGGTATGCGTTTCGGTAACCGTGAAACGGGTAGCGTTTCAGTAACCTATATGAAGCGTTAGATTGAGCATGTGGTAATGGCGGAAGTGTACTGCAAAGCTTCGAGAAAAGTTTAAGATGATTGCTTATATATTCTTAAGTTCAAGATGACTGTTAACTCGTCGCTGGCCCTGCTGGTGAATTTGTTGCTGATATCAACAAAGATAAGAACAAGAATAATGAAGAAAAATAAGAACGAGGACAAAAATAATCTAATATTATTAAAAATATAGATCTTTGTAATAACAACAAGCTTGTTTTCGTGATTTCACGTGATTTCTTGCAAAAGGCGAAAAGCGGTCATGCCTAGACGACCAGGTCACATGAGAAGGCTTTGAATGCTTAGAGCTTTCTGCTGACGTAATATTCCTTTTTAAAAGTGTTTCTCGACAAATCCTAATTTAGAATATCTTTTAACGAAAAGTTGTTTTCACTAAGGTACTTCACGTGTCATATTCTCGAGATGCCCGAATTTTAGGTTAGGATATTTTTCCCAGTTGAGTAATATTCACCCAAATCTATTCAATTCCCACAAAAATGCCCTTGGTATGTGAAAGTTGTTTGTAACGTGTTTGGTTTTGCTGTTGATTAATTTTATATTATTTCGCCATATTCTGCTTATGCAATTCATTCTAGAATGTGAGTGTTAGCTTTTAGTTTCCTGGCAATGTGTTTTCGCGTTTACCGTATTTGATCTATTTAACGCCCTCTTCCTTTTAACGCCCTGTCCTAATTAACGCCCATCCTAAAAGTGAAAAAAGTTAATAAACGCTAACTTCCTTTTTAACGCCCCCTTTCTATTCAACGCTTTTGTACGCACCAAAAGAGGCGTTAATCCATTTGCGGACATCACGGATTCTGACGTGGAAGATGCCAATGATCTACAAAATTTGATCGACTCTGACCGTGAAAGTGATGGAGAACTTTGTATAGAAGATTAATACTCCATCGTGAGACTTATTTGTCATTTAATTGTTTTGTTATAAAAATGTTTGATAAATTGTTGTCAGTTGTTTTGAGGTTCTTCTATTTTCTCTGTTGTATAATGTTTCTGAGATTCTTGGAAGAAATTCAGAGGATAAGGTACACAAATCTGCTTTCGGGTATTTTTGAATAAGCGCCTACTTCCTAATTAACGCCCCTTTCTAATTAACGTCCGCCCTATAAACTAAGAAATTAAATTAACGCCCTAGGCGTTAAATAGGTCAAGTATGGTCATTGCGTCACTGGCGCCAATATGTTGTCTTTAGACGCTTTTATTCGGTAACTCTTGTGATTTAAGTTCGTTGTTTTTTTAGCATCGAATGATCCAGATCAATCTTCGGTTCCTAAAAGTGTGGTCTCTCTCAGCTTAGGGCCTAAGCACATATTCACTAAGCACTATCGAAAGAACCCGTACACGCCACATGTTCACTGCAATTTACGGAAAACAACTCTGACAGACTAACAAAACTTTGATCGTTTGCCCCTTTAAAAGTCCAGTCAAAGAGGCAATAGTTCAGTCTTGTAGGGTTCAGGTCAAGGTCGGTATGTAGGTGGAAAAGGATGATCAAAGAAAGCTTCCAAAGTCTAACATTGGCAATTCAAGGGAATTTACCTCCATTCACTCTGAAGTATACTCGGACGCAGCATTATTTGCTTCTATCTGATTGGCGGCAGCTCCTGGGCCTTGTCTTTCCCTCGGCTTTGCAACTAGGCATTTTTTAAGGTCAATTAGGATGACAACAACCAAGATTAGCGACAGCAATTACATTCACATTCATTTACAGGACAATACAGTAAAAACCCGCGAATAAGAACCAAGAGATTTAAGAACCTTCTGGCAAAAATTTGCTTTCTTAAAACTCCCATCAGGTTTTCACATATGGAATTTAGCCATTTTATTTATATAATTTTTACCAAAAACCAAAAAGGTGACAGAAAATTAAATTGTTAAAATAAAACTCAAAATGCTCAATGTATGTTAAGTTTGAACTGTTATTTTGAAACAATATTGCCACTATATTATAAACAGTACTGTATCATTGATCAGGTGTTTGTGGAGTTTTGGCAACATTGTTACACTATCAAATAATTAGAATGAAGAACAGACAAGATATAGTGCTATTTTCTGATAATCAACAACGATGTCTAGTCTGTAGAAATTAAGAACCTTATTAAGAACATATTTAGCCTAAACTGTCAATAGGTACCCCATAATACAAGCAGGGCCGCGGAGGCAGATATACCTAGGGATATGGGGAAGCCTCCCCCAGGAAATTTTTGAAAATGATGGTTGCATGTTTTTCTGGTGGCCATTTCCGTTGCTAAAATTGCCATGGTGGCTAATGTTATACTACACTTTAACTACAGTGCAACCAGTGGTGTAGTGCTATCAAAATAATAAGGGGGGCTCTTCCACAAAATGTTGCAAAAAACAATAGCAAAAGTAGAAATTTGTCAATTTTAGGCATTAGCAAGGGGTGCTCAGCCCCTATGAGCCCCCCTAGCTCTACACCCCTGAGTGCAACCAAGTATATACAAAATAACTCACGGCCCTTTTCAACTCGACTTGTGGCAGAGAGGAGCAGAGAGACAACGACTTTTTCGTCAGCACTTTGAACCAACAGCAAGATGCTTCTCCCAAAAAGCCTCCCTCTTAAAACTACTACAGCGTATTTATAGATACAAGCATTTTACAAGTATTAATAACAACCAATCAGTTAAAAACACGTAAGACCTACAACCAAAAGAAACATAGATAATTAACAGCGGAAATAAAGTGTTTGCCAAATATTTAAATTATAGCCTACAATGGTTCGTTCGATTTGGTGCACAACACTAAACTGCTCTGGTGGAAGTGGCGTAGATAGAAGGGGGTCAGAGGGAGCAAAACCCCCCTGTAGAGCTACGCTCCTCTGGTCTTTGTCGGAAATTTAACAGGGTTGTCTATTTTTTCTAGTTGCTATGGTTTGATAGAAAAGAATTTAAAGTTGAATGATCGTATGAATCACATAAATATATCAAAATATTTATTTATTTCTGTTCCGATGTTGTTATGTTATGTTAAAATTTATGAAAACAATTTTAATGCTTTGTTTCTCACCTCTCCTATGAATTTTCCTATCTAGGCCATTGTCTTGTGGCTATTACTTCTGTTTGCTGTTTGATACAATTTGAGCATAACTGATATCTTAACACCATAATGCATGAAAATGAAAATTTTTTTTGAGGTTTTAAAAGTCTTAGAAAATGAAAAACGTTTTAATTCGTCAAATAATTTTTATCACAACCGACACACAGTTGCAAATAGATGTGCATGCCATAGTGTAAGTCTTGTTGTATGTTGCCTGTTGCAGTAACATTTTTTGGTAATATTCAGAAGCTTTTCAACTTCTTTAGTCCAAACCCACAAAGATGAGAAATTCTTAACAAAAATGTATTTAACACTCAGGCAGTCAGACTCAAACTGCTTCTACCTTACTTCATTTATGAATTATAGACTTTTGTCATTATTGTATCTATTAATGACAGTTTGTGGTAATAGCGAGGCTGGATAAATACTTAGTAATTTTTGAATTGAGGTATTATTTATGGGCCCCTATAGCCATAGGCCCCCGGGTCAGTGACCCCCCTCCCTGACCCCCCTCTTCTCAACACTGAATACATGTTTTGCCAAACTCTGAAAAAGGTAGGTTCTTACACGCGGTTTTTTACTGTATTGTGTACCGTTTCATACCGTTCCGTTTGAAATACTGGAACTTATATTTTATTTTATCTAATTAAATATTGTATATAATTATCTGGAAAGTAATTACTATTTTTAGCATATTAAAATTCTACCGTATAACTTGTAAATTCATTCAAATGTTCTGTTTTATTAGGTACAAATACGTCACCGAGGCCAAATGGCTTTTTAACCACCTATGATGCAACTTTTAACAATCTTATTCTATCTTGAAAACTACTTTTTCTTAATTATTAGCATCTTAATATTTGTACAAATGTATTAATAATAAAAAAAGTGGAGTGGTTAGAAATTGGTAAACTATTTCTACACAAAAAGTAGGAGGAATAATGGCGTTCCCGTGTGAACAGAAGAAAAACTTGGAACGAGGTCGTGACTTAATGATTTTTTTGCTTCAAAATATTTTTATTTTTGTTTCACAATTGGACCGAAACGCAATCGTTTCCTTTCGAACAGGACCTAGCATCTGCTACGCCCATGCCATCACACAAATAGAATCCTATTCTGTTCTCACGAAGGGTTGGCTGTTGTTTGTCTGGGAATCTTCTTTCCTAATAAGGTGCAACTTCCTCGTTCTATCAGTAAAAACGGAAATTTTCCGTGGAAAAGGCAAAAGACCGTTCCATGTTGTTATACTTACTACGCCATATTTATATTTAGCTCTTCTACACACCGCCGAACTTTTATCGTCTCCAGGGGCGAAACTTCACTATTTTCATTAGGGGGGCATGAAGCTTAGTTAGATGCCTGACGGAAGGGCGTGGCATGCTTGATGAAAGGGCGTGTCATACATGAACTTCATTTTTAGAGCACATCGCCTCAAGGGCTGAAATCATCGGGAAGCCCGAGAGAGGGTCTTTAGACTCAGGCTGTTTGTTTAAAGTCAAGAAATATGCCTCTAGTTTTTCTTGTGTTGGCTATAAACATTTGTTTCCGAAAAGCAAGCATTTGTAAGGCCTGTCTTTTCTATAAAAGAAAAAAAAGTCTTCACTTTCTAAATCACCTACAGCTATTAAGAGAGCAATTCAAAAAAGGGGATTTAAGTAGGGTCTCAATTTTATCAAAGTGGAACACCAAAACACAACTAGGAAATTTCGGAATTTAGAAACAGCTACGCAGATTACATTGTTTCAACAAAAAAGAGCTTCAGTTGCATTTTTTGAGTTTCATTTTCAATTTTCGGTTGCTCCGGAAGCAATTTCAACATTTTTAGACACCCAAGCACAAAGTACGTATCTCTAAATTCACCATAACAAAATCCCTCAAGCAAAGGAAAGTTTTTTATTGGAGGTATTTTACAGGTACACCTATCATTAAAGCTCAATTTTTGTGTCTTCGTAATCATGGATAATGTTCAGAAATAGAATGAACTCGAAAGTTTTTTGCAATGCGTATCTTAACTACAATTTCTTGATAAATTTTATATTATTTCCCGCTTGAACTGATTGAAACTTTCTGTTACTTGTTACGGTTATTCGATTTTTTTAGTTAAAATACTTTGGCGTCTGTTTGACCATTTTCTAGCGAAGGGTGCAATACTTTCGAACTGTAGGTGTAACTCCTTATGAATGTATGATGAAAGTTTCATACATTTGGAAAAGAAAGTACGATGAATTCTCAACAACGTATTCCGAGATGGTATATCCTTCATGCTTTGATTTATGATGCTTCTAAAACTGTCAGTGTTCCATGGGCTCCGAGGCAGAATGGAAAGGGGGGGGGCGGGGGCTTGTCAAGGGAAAATTTAGAAATCACAACAAAAATTTTTGAAAAAAGCTCTCTTGTTTTGCAAAAAGTAGGGGGGAGGGGTATGCACAGTGTTCATTTCCTTCTCGCATCAAACACACTTTACTTTCCGTCTATACTTTCGCTGTCAATCAATACTTCAGACTTCATCTCGAAACGAAGATAAACATGTGCGCGTCGAGCTCGAGACGAAAGCGCTGATTGGTGGACGAAAGACAGAAATGTAGATATGTTGCTGTTGCTTGCCTCGTTTCTGTTTTGTTTTTCCAACTGGGCGGAGGTTGAATAAAAGATGAGGGAAAAGTCCATAAATTCAAAAACCAAGCTAGGGCAAAAAGTAGCAATAAAAGTGCGACCTAAAGAAAATTGCCAGATTTGCCCGACAGTACCCTGGGTACCAGACTCACCATATATAGTGAGTCTGGTACCCAGGGTAGCCCGACAGATACACTGGCAGCAATAAATTTGCCCGACAAAATCTGCTTTTTTGAAGATTGGGGGGGGGGTGCAGCACCCCCATACCCCCCAGTAGTTTTGTCCCTGATTGTCTCCTGCAATTCTAGCCTGAGCCCCAAAATCCAAATACTTTCAGTTTGGGGTCCTGAACTCAGGTACCGAGAGTAAAACTCAGGCTACTGCAATCAGGAGCGGATCCAGAGCAAATTTGAAGGAGTGGCAGTTGGTAGTGGGGGCGCTGAAAAAATTTCAAAAATTGGTCACGAGAGTACGCTGTATACAACAATTTCAGATACCTTTTCAGAATAAACAAAATAACTTTGAGGTAATCCTTGAAGCAGATTAACCTATCGGTCCAAGAACCTTTTTCATCTGATTCTCATTCTTCAAAAGGGGCGCAAAATTTCCAAAAAGGGGCGCCAGACTTGCTTCAATTCGTTGAGGGAGGGGCAACTGCCTCTAGTTGCCCCACCCCCTTAAATCCGCCACTGACTGCAATTCTTGTTACCAGATATCCTGGACATAAGAACAAACAGTATTTGTTTGGCCTGGCGTGGCAAAATAAGCAAAGTTTTGTGTCATCTCTATGAATACATCATCTGTCAGTTGCCCGTCAGTTGTTGGCTTATTCCACAGCTGAAGGTTGGGAATGAGAACAACTATCCAAGCAACGCGGATAATTTTTGACATGGTTATAAAAATAAATCCTAAAAGGAAAACAAGCAATACTGTGCATTGTGTACACACTACTGACATACAGTCGAATCCCGCTATCTCGAACTCGGTTATCTCGAACAACTCTCTATCTCGAACAGATTCCCATCCCCTCGTTTTCCTAAAGAGCTTGGTATAAAAATAAAACTCATAACACTAGTTTTTTATAAGAAACAAAGGTCGATGTTGAGTACTCCAGTTTCTTAATGTTCTGGAATTTTCAATGTTCATTGTTTCTTAAGAGTTTCTTTATTATGATGTCATGAACGATGTTATGAAATATTCGTGACCTGTTCCTCACGTCAAGAGATTCGATTCCGTTTTGATGCTGTATCTAGATGTGGGAAGTATATTTTTATCCCTTGTGTCTTAAATTCTAGGCCAACAGGGCAATCATGTTCTTGGATTTTACAACATTTCGTTGTTCTCAGTTTTATCACGAGTTAATAGTTTTTAATTTATTTGCTCCGAGTACTGGAGTTTCTTAATTCTTTCTGACTGTCCAGTACTCGTTTCTTATAGCCAGACATTAGCCAATTTTGCATCATCAATGAAGAAATCAGCATTTGTTCCAATGCACATAGTCTCTGTATTGGAAGTGTTGATGCGCAGACCCATTTGCCGAGCAAGACTATAATATTCTGTTAAAAGCAGTTGCAAACCAGGAGCTGTGTCGCTAAAAATTGCCATGTCATCAGCATATTGAGCCTCTCTGGTGAAATCTGCAAGAACTTTTTTAAGGTCAAAGAGATCACCATCGTAACGAAATCTGATTTTTACCCTGCAAGTATGTTTGATTTCTTTGAAAGCGAGCAACAAACTGCTGCATAGATGCCAAAAAGTGTTGGGGCAACCTTGCTTGATGCCACTGTTATACTCAAAACACTGTGTTAGATCACCGTCCACAATGAGCCTGGCTTTTACTTCTTAATGTAACTTTTTGATAATCCTTACAAACTTTGGCGGGCAGCCTAGCTTACCCAGGATTATAAAAAGCAGTTCGTGATTCACGGTGTCAAAACTTTAGTGAAGTCTACAAAAGCTATATATTAACTTCGCTCCCTCGTTTTTTCCATTAATTGTCGTAATGTGAAGATTCCATCTATTCATCTTTTCGGTGAATATTCAAAGTTGTCAGCAAATTAAGGCTGTCTCACTAACTTTGTTGGCAAATGAGGCCTGAACACCATCCTAGAGCGAAAAAGCTAGCACTCGCACTGCTTACACCCCATTAGATTAAGAACAAATTAAGAACAATCCAGCCTCAGATTTTTGAAAAAATTAAGAACAGTCAGCCTGAACTTAAATTTACTGGTTCTTAAAAAAAAGAGTGTATATAAACTTCGCTCCCTCGTTTTTTCCATCAATTGTCGTAATGTGAAGATTCCATCTGTTGTGCTTCTTCCATTACCGTACCCTGACTGCGACTGAGGGTAAATAAACTCCGCTACCTGTTGCAATCTTTGCAGGATGATATCCGCAAACAGTTTCCCCACAACGCACGGTAGTGATATACCTCTGTAATGTCCATACATGCTTCTATCCCCCTCTTTGAACAGTATGGTGATATTTGGATTTATCAAGTCAGGAGGAAAGTCCTCTGTTGTCCAGAAGATGTTGAAAAGTATAAGCTGGAAGTCTCTCAAGCGATTTCCAACATGTACAAGTACTTCAGGGATGATTCCGTCAGGACCTGGGCTTTTTCCTAATTTGGTATTTGCAAGAGCTTTATCCAATTCTTGCATTTCGATAGGGCTGTCCATCGATCCGATTATTGTGTGTTCACGTTAGGACTCCATTGGTAACATTGTCAATAGGCAAGCGGCACTGATTGGTCAACCACTACAGTCATGGGCTCGCGTTTCTGATTGGGCTATTGCAATCCCCAACTGGGTATATATATATATTTCCTAGCGTAGAGCTTTCGAACTATGTTCTGACGTTTTAAACTCTAAAGAGCATCAGACGAAAAGCTTTAGTTTTCTTAAATGTTTGCTTTTTTCAAAGCCATTTTCAAGTTTTGTACCACCAAAAGATTGTTTGCAGAATCCTTGTATTTGTACTTTTATGTGTATTGGCGTGTTTTCGTATTGACAGGAGAAAATAGTTTGGAAGCGAGTTCACGCCCCAGTAATGAGGGGCTTGTATTCGTGGGACTATATTTTGGGGATGACTACTTTCGGAACTTTACTTTATTTCATACTCTAGCTATTTAGTTGAAAAGACAGAAGGGTTATTCTGGAAAAGTCCTAAAAGATCTTTGTTGTCCACCATTAGTTTCTTAGCTTACTTTCTTCGACACTAGAGATTTTTCGTACAGAACGTAATTAACACTTCTTGACCTCTCTTTAGAGAATTACCTGCCAGGAATCACTACTAAGATGTAAATAGTTAAGATCTATTTACTTGGCAGGTTAGAATTACCATATAGGTTCATTCGTCTTGAAGATCAAATTCTATATCAAAGTCAGAGGACTGTTTTATTTTTTTATTCGAATTTATATGCAAGATAAAGTATAAACATCAGCGAATATAATGACATAAACAACCACGAATTATTAATCAGAGAGAAGAATTAACGTCCAGAGAGAAGAAAATAACGTAAGAATTTTAACGAAGTCACCTCGGTCCATCAAGGTCTTGATTTAGTATTATTTTTTAATATTGTTCTTTACGTGAATCGTTCGCATCTATCTTCCTTCATCGTGACTGTCGTTCGCATCTATCGCGAGTTCTTTTTGAGATATAATTCACGTCGTTCACGTCGTCGTCGTTCGTAAGCAAGAAATCTTCTTTTCAACTGAATTCAATCAACAACAGCAACAACTATATACAAAAGAAAGAGAGAAAGAGAGAGAGAGAGAGAGAGAGAGAGAGAGAGAGAGAGATAGGAAGGAGCGCTCACAATTTCCTACACTCTCTAATGTAAGACACTCGGTTAAACAATACGCAGAAACTTCGACATCAATTTTTGATTCATCTTTTGGCTTAGGCCATCAACTTTACAAAAACACACGGTTGCGTGAAAACGAGGCAAATGGATTACTTAATCCCCTAAAAGAGCTCCTTATTGGGAGGGGTTTAAAAAAACTTGAATTTACCATCTAATAATATAAAAGATATTATTGTTCTTACAATCCAACACTGACACGTGTGAAAATTAAGACAGCCGATGTTACAAAGCAAGACTTTCACTAATTTTACATTCTAAATATCTAGCTATTGAAATTACCTACGAAGAAAATCATGAAACACCCTGCTCAGATCAACATTCTTGTAAGTAATTGGGAAATTTTCGAAGATCGTAGTTGAGATGAAAATATGCAAAACAAAACAGACAAATTCTTCAAATCTACAGCAGCTGTCCCCAAACCTGGTCTAGGAATTAGGGAATGGGCAGATTCTGTGTTCATACTAACCACACCAAGGGGACAAGTGTTAACCAGGAATACTGCATTTTCTTTAAACGGAAGTTAATTGAACTTCCCATTAAATACAGTTGCAAAAAATTTCACATTTAGTGACACTATAATAAGCATAATAAGTAGGATTCTGTTTTCTTAGTTAAAGGAAATACAGTAACTTAAAAGATTACGTATTGTAATGTCCTTAAGCTAAATAAAACTTAAACCTGGTGGCAAATAAATTGGGTGCTCTAGGCAATTGCTTTATAGTGCGCAAGTCATAAGCAGAGAAAAACTGTGAGATACATTGAAAAGAAACAACTATGAACAAACGACAAACACGTACTGACATGAGAAATTTGTTGAACTATACAACGATCGTTTAAGTTAGTTCAGATGGCAAGATGAGTGGTAGCAATGAAACGAAATATGTAGTTTACTGATATGTCTCTTCAAGCATTAAAACCATTCCACGTTGGACGCCAAAACATTCCAAAGAATTTGGAGAGTGGTTTCTCACATTTTAGATTATTCACATGTAGAGCAACGCAAGTTAAAAGAGTTTTGCAATTGCTGATCTGAACTGACCATTAAGTAGCCCGTATATGAGTGGGTTCATGGCAGAATTTGCAAAGCCCATCCACATGTTGATGGTGTCCATTGTGTTGTTGTCTTGTACCGCTCGAGACGCTCTGAGAATATTGAAAAGAACATAAGGAAACCAAGACAGAAGAAAGACAAGGATAACAAGGCTAACTGTTCTCAGCAAATGATATTCTTTGGTCGTTAGGATCCTACCATGTCTTGGAACACCTGCTGGGTTTATTTTTGAGCTCGCGTTTCTCTTAACATCAGTTTCAAGCTGGCCCACTATGTGAATTTGGACTTTTCCTTTTAAAGGATCTTTGTTTTCAAGTTGAGATCTGCTAAAACATTCTGAGCTGAAGTGAGTGTTGTCCCTCAAACAAATTTCGCTGTTGCTGCCGTCAGTCGCAAGAGTTTGCATCGGGATCTCAAGCACAAAGTCATTGTCTTTCCTTGTTTGAATTTTCAGGCGTTGCAACCGTAAAGAGTTGAATATCTTGATGTAGCAAAACGCCATGATTGATATAGGTATGAAAAGTCCAGTGCAAAAGACAGCTAATGTGTGCGAGAGGCTTTTGTAGAACAATACCGTACAAATTGTTTTGCCATCATCGAACCCTAGTTCGCCCCAGCCAAATGTAGGTGACACTGCCAGGACAGTTGAGATAGACCATACAGTAGCTATCGATGAAATCAATCGCTTTTTAGTTGCGACTGTTTCTTTGTGTCTCACAATGTAAAAGTATCTGTCCAGGCTGATCCCTGCTAAAGACTGTACGGAGGCAAGAGTTATAATTACTTTTAGCAAAGCGACAACTTGGCACATTTTGGTACCAAGTGGCCATTTTTTGAAGTAAACCGATGCCAAACCAAAAGGCATGATGAATATAGATTGCAGTAAATCGGCAATGGCAACATTGAAAATAAAGGTATTTGATACTTTGCGTAATTGCTTGCAACGCAGTCCTGCAGCAAGGATCAATATGTTGCCCCCAAAAGCAATGATTTGAATAAGAAGCAGGGATACAAACTTGAGTATCGCATCGGCGGTATCCAAACCTGCCATCTGATATCACCTACAAGCAAAAACAGAAATTCTAAAAAGAGCAGATTGCAAGAAACCATTTTTCATCAAAAAATGAAAAATCACCTTTAGCTTCATATCAAATCACCGTACGCTGCATCAACCAGGTTTCTATTTGCAATTAAATGGAAAGGGTGGGATGACCCAGGGGCAAATCATTCCTGCAAACAGCTTACGAGATTTCTACGAAGACAAAAGGATTTCTAGAGATTTTCAAATAAAGCAATAAGATTTCTACCAAAAGTCTACAAGATTTCTGTGCAGTGATTCCCCCCTCAACGCTAACACTGTGACGGTAACGTGAATGCTTCTTCAATTATCCCGGTGGACATTTTCCCCTTGAAGTTCTCAAATTGATGACTGATGTCTTAAATAAATTTCATCCAATGACATTTCTTACCTTATTTTCACTACTGTCATAGCCTATACAAAAATCAGCTACTCTAAATGAGTTGCTCTAGATACAACGAATGGTGCTTCATAGCAGCTATTATTAGCTTCTCCAGGTATCATGTTTGAATCTTCAACTTACTATACCAAAAAATGGAATTCACTGAATGTTCAAATGTCTTTATAGGATAGGTGGCATTAAGCTTAAACAAGTTATAACTAAACCACGTGATTCAAATTTCGATGATTCTCCTACTGCATGTTGCTGATAAACTCACAGTGAGTGCGCCAGCAGAAAAAGGAGCTACTTAAAAATGCTAAGGAAATCGAAGGCTCTGAGCATTTCTTAAATCTTTTCGCACGAAATTATATTTGGATTAGCAATAGTACCGTTTAAACTTATTGTTTTGCTAGACAGATTTACAGTTTTTTCAGTAACAGCTGTATAAATGTACACAAATGAGGGGAATTGGAACACAAACACATAGAAATCAAATGTAACGGGTAATCTCAGTGTTAGACCTCCTACAATCAATTATTGAACGACTGGTTCTCAAATTGAAGGTTCACCTTGCTATCTAGTTAGACTTGGCATTAGCCTAGAAAGTGAAGCAAGGCAAATGGATAAAGTTTCTTTGTTTTTATGTTTCTTCATGCCAACTCAAACTAGTTATTGTCTGTTCATTCAAAAAAACAATTGCTTACACAAAATGAAGAGAACAACCACTTTACCAGATTGATAATGATTTTCACACTTGCAAAAAAGCCACCGTTACGAAAAAAGCTGCTTGAGAAGTTGCTTGCTTAAAAATAGAAAGAAGATAAATTACTATACTAAATTACGAAATAGATGAAAAATACTAAAACAGACCTTTCAAGGGTCTGAAGGGCGTGGCCGAGAGAATTTGTTTTCGTCCACTCCAGTTCTTTTGAGCTGGCGACGCCACTGTCTGTTTCTAGTAGAAGGTCTCTTATAGAAAACGAGTGTAGTCAACTGGATGATTAAAAGACAGCCTCGTTTCTGCTATTCTGTTGGATACAAAAAATGTTTGCATTAATTCAATAGAGGAGTTACAACACAAGAAAGACAACATTGGGCTTAAAAACTACCTCTTGCATAAAGACAAGACACCGTTAAAATCAGTCCCTAACATTTCATAGAACCAAATACCAAAATTATTGGCAAATGCGCGTCAAAAATAAATATTAACATCATACCATGTGCATTGAAGTTTCATGACTGCATAAGCACGCAAGTATCAAAGCCATTGAGTCATGCCAGTATTTTGATGAAGCCAAGAGTTTAAATTTTTTTGCTTACGGTTCGATTTAAGTCACCTGACTAAACCTCATCTTGAGTTACCTTTTTATACCATACAACAAAGTTATTTTCGCTAAATTAGAAAACCGCAAAAGAGCCCGAACAATATTTTGCCCTTTTGATCACACCAAGATGGCAGTATCCAGCGAGTTAAATCCAATCGCTAGCGTCAAAAGCAGGTGTTTTCCAAAGGATCATATAGAAAAAGATATAGAAAACTGCAAATAAGCACCGGGTGATGACTCAAAGACTGACTCGTCGAATATGTCCAGCAAAGTGCATTCAGCAACTCATGTTGATCAAAGTAACCGGAATTAACTTCTTTTTGCTATTTTGCTGGATACAAAAAAAGCAAATTACTCAATTAAGGTGCTATTTTTTGAGTAAGAGATACTTCTTCGCTCGTTGAAAAAGGTGGTACAGTGATACAAAATTTGCATGAGTGTTGCTCGCAGGAAGATAAACCCTGATCAAGGAGCTTATTCAAACATTATTTTTTTGTTTTTTTGTTTTAATATCATACTTCAGGCTTTAAACCATTGTATATATATGTATCTATTGTGAATAAAATTTGACACATTAAGGGAAATGGAATTCAAAATAATGCAAAAGATTATCGCAAATTGCGAGGGAAGTTTGGCTTAGAAGGGGTTGGGTAGCGTATCTTGTCATGTTTAAATCTATTATAACTATTTACCATATTCTTTTTATGTTAGCTTTTATTTTAGTTTAGATGTATAGCCCCTTGTAAACCAGCATTGCTGAATGGGCTACCATGCTTAAATAATTGGATATGAATGAATGAATGAATGAATGAATGAATGAATGAATGAATGAATGAATGAATGAATGAATGAATGAATGAATGAATGAATGAAATAATGAATGAATGAATGAATGAATGAATAAATGAATGAATGAGTGAATGAATGAATGAATGAATGAGACAGTAAAGACACGGTAGGCCAAGAACATTTAACACCATAGTGAAAGCTCAATCAATCTCTAAACTATCTTTTAAAGAAGCCCCAATTTGACTAGAGCCTTTGGCAGCATAGTTGTAGCTTTTTTCTATCAAGGCTTATCTAAAATGATTCAAACATGTTTCTATTATCCTTTCTTTGTGTCAGAAACGCTTCCAGTTACCTGAAAAATCTTCCCTTTTCCTGAGCTTTAATGCTAGCGACATTCGACTTTTTCGACATTGCAGCTAACTGTGTATAGTATAACTATTACATTGAGGTTCTTTTCTATGTTTCAATCGATCAAATATTAACCACAAGCTTAAACTTCTTTCAAAGCCTCAAACAAATTTTAATAAAGCAATCTTCTACTGAATAAACTATGAAGCAATCAAGGCCCGAACAAAGTTGCAGCCTGCTCAAATAAACTGAATTGCACAATCATAAAAGAGTATGCTTTGTATATTTACGACTTCGAGCACTAGCAAAACAAAGTATTGCATGTCTTCATCATGGCATGCTTTGTGCATTTTTCAGTAATTTCATCAATAATAAAAACAGAGCCTGCCTTGGTCCTTTGAACTATGAATTAACTAAGTGAGGTCAAGTTAAAAATTATCATGTTTAAAACCTAAACTCTTTGGCACAAATAAAAGAAAGATACATTTTAGACATCGCAAGGACTTTATTGGCATGCTAGGATCATTGGTAAAGTAAGACTTAAAAAAGGCTTTCTTGACCATACTTTTAAAGAGCAAATCTCCCAAATTTTCTATTTTATATTCATAAAAATATTTTTCCTAGCGGTTTCCTTTCCATCAATAAATCCCAGAGATATTCTCTGTTTTTGTAACATTTTTGAGAGTTTGTCCATGAGCAAACAAACTCTGTGAGCAACGTTTAATATAAAAATGTTTGCATTAATTCAACAGAGGAGTTACAACACAAGAAGGACAACATTGGGCTTAAAAACTACCTCTTGCATAAAGACAAGACACCGTTAAAATCAGTCCCTAACATTTCATAGAACCAAATACCAAAATTATTGGCAAATGCGCGTCAAAAATAAATATTAACATCATACCATGTGCATTGAAGTTTCATGACTGCGTAAGCACGCAAGTATCAAAGCCATTGAGTCATGCCAGTATTTTGATGAAGCCAAGAGTTTAAATTTGTTTGCTTACGGTTCGATTTAAGTCACCTGACCAAACCTTATCTTAAGTTACCTTATTATACCATACAACAAAGTTATTCTCGCTGAATTAGAAAACCTGCAGAAAGCCTGAACAATATTTTGCTCTCTTTATCGCACCAAGGTGGCAGTATCCAGCGAGTATCCATCCAATCCGATCGCTGGCGTCAATAGCAGGTGTTTTCAAAGTATCAAGTAAAGGAAGATATGGAAAACTGTAAATAAGCACCGGGTGATGACTCAAAGACAAGTGCAATAAATCAATTGTCAAACTTTATTGCAACTGTCCAAATGTTTTCTTTAAAATACAATTCCAGCAAATCATTTTTGAAGCAGTAGATTAGCTAACACAATACTCAGAAGAGTGACAGAAATTCCTTATCCCGAAACGCCTATACTAAATGTATGTCAAAGGGCATTGTAGCATTGTAATCACGTTTCTTGGGAAAGATATGATCAATTTTCATCCGTCTTTCAGGAAGTTTTTGCATGAAACCATACCTTGCCCTTTTAAAGATCAAATAATGGTTTCAAAGTGGTAATAAAATGTCCTCTAGCCCCTTACGTCTTGTTCATAGGTATGTTGTGGAAGATTCATTAATACCTCTAGGCAAATCTGTCCTTTATAGTGGCGCTTCATAATTGGCATTTGCCACTTTAATGCCTGAAGCTGCTGCTGCAGCTGCCCCTTCAAGGAGAGTAGTAAAAATTTCGTTGCTGGACAAAAAGAGGGAATCATTGTCCTCTTCTTAAAAAAGGTTACACTATTTTTCCAGTTTTCACAGGTCTTAAAAATTAGCACAAAAAAGAGTTATGGCGATTTCATAT